GTATAAACAGCTGCGACAATAAACACCAATTTTGCTCAGCCTGCATTTTTTTAATTTCGCTCTCGCGAGAAACTCGTAACTTTACCGTTACGTAGCGCCTTGTCCTTGCGGTGGCTTCTTTATTTTTTATTTATTTCCCCCCCCTTCAAATTGCTTAAAGTGCATGACTTAAACAGCCTGACGTGACAACGTACACCTTGGTGAAATTGCAGGAACGTATTGTGCGCGCTGTGCCTTACGTGCGGTGACATGCCTTGGAATTGCCAGAATACAGCCCTTGAACCGGGCTTCATTCCAGTGGCAGGTGTGCGTCGGTCTCTGTGACCCCCACAGCACGCTCGTACTTGCTGCTGATGCTGCTGCCGCTGCTGCTACACTAACCTGCTAACACAATTATCGCCATTGTACACGAGTCGGACAGAAAGAGCCGCAGCGTAGTGACAATCGGCGAGCGTGCGTTCAAACAAAACGTTGCACCATCTTCCCCACCACCCAAAAGATCCTGGCTTCTAACACCACATCGGTGTAATGTCCATTCTTGTATAATAGAGATTCTTTTGGGTTAGATCGCGTAAAGATATAATTGTGTCGTTAAAACCCGCCACCACCCGACACAACCAACTAGTAAGGGTTGTAACGTAAACAGAGCGTGCCAATTCCATTCCTGTAATTTTATTATTCCGACACAATCTAACCCAAATTTAACTAATTATGAATCATAATTTTGGTGGTGAAAGGCTACGCGTAAAATGTAATGAGTGTATTGAATCGGTTCAAATATATTCCTTCGCTCAGAATGATGCTTGCAGCGATGGTTGTGAGTTATGATACACTCCGTGTGCTACTGTTGTGACTACCTCCCGGGATAAGGAATGAGGCAGAAATAACAGGGCCAGAGCAAACGAGACACACGGAAAAAACCAAAACGATCCATGCAAGATATGTTTTTTAAATGTCTTAAAGCGAACCGTGACTGACCCTGAATCATGGTCATTCATCTAATTGAGGATTCCATACAGGGCGGAAAAAATAACGATTTGAGTGTTCATTTGGGTATCTTCATGCCTCGGAACGGTTGTAGGGCTGTTCCGAGGTCATATATTTTTTTTTAAAAACACCGTTGGCTTGATAACGAGACTTAGGTGATCCTGTAGGTCAGGGGAAGACGTGATTCATTCGGGGTCTCATGGCCATGAAAGGTGACTTCTGAACACAGTACTAAGTTTCCTGTTTTGTGCAAGCAGAAGCTATTGTTACGGCGCTCCCTCGGTAGAGGGGCTTGATTCCACGACCACCAGGAACTCACTAATCGTTCACAAACGCTGGAGAACAAAGCTGGGAGTGGCGGCCACACGCGTGTGACCCAGCGAGGGGTTGGCAAATCACGATCACGTAGAGAATTTGTGAAAGAGGCACTTGCCTGTGGGGTGGCCATCAGATGGCAGTACAGCAAGTGGGATTGTGAACCCGCCTGCTTCAAACCTGTTTCGGTGTTGGTTTTCTCCGGCTACTCACGTGTTTTTCATCCTTCACGTTAAAAAAAAACCACTCCTCGGAAATGAATTTGGTCAAACAGACCAATGCAGGGCAGTCTCCAAAAGGCATCTCTTGAGACGTAACAAAAACGCTCCTCGGATTTTTTTTTTGACTGAGTACACTTCAAACTTGATTTGAACCAAAGAGTAAGTACACTTCTTGGAGGAAAAAAAATGCGGCGAATTTTTCTAAAACATCCAAATGCACAAGAACCCTCCTGAGAGAGAGAAAAACAGAGTCTTCAGATTTGTCAATGCTTTTCTGACTACATACGCTAAATGTATTTTCGTAAATGCGCATACAAGGCAAATGCATGGACGACGCGTTGAAAGTTTGTCACTGCAAATGCCCTCTCGCAGGACACTGGGTCTACGGAAAGAAGACAGCGCACTGGTTTATAGCGCGTGGCAACGATAATAATTATTCGAGGTTTCGCTTTGAAATCCCAAGTTGCATCCGTGGCCTGATCGCCACGAGATAAAAACAAAAAAGTGTGTCTGGCTCCATAACGCAGATCGCAAAGTTGCAGTCACGATGAAACATTGAAAAAGAGGACTCCGATTCGCCGCTGATCCCTCGAGAGGAGCGACTCCTGTCAAACAGGGCGACCCGGTTTGGCAGGTTTTATCCATGTCGTGAGAGCACCGAGTTTTGTACATGCACCCCGACTCAAGGCCCCCCACCTCCCTCCACCGCCCCCCCTTTATTTTCCTCGTCGACATTCCAAACGCCTGTTCACAAGCTGGTGCGAAGAAGAAAAAACAAAAGGGCGTTCGAATGACCTGCTGCTGCCATCCCTCCCCATCGGTTGCCGCTCAGCTACGGCACCGCTTGAGACGGTCGATTGCAAGGGGAGAACCCCTCTGCGCTTAGCCGGTGGCTTCGTTCGCTCGTTCCCTTTCTACGGACATTTAAACCCGCAGAGGTCACCCCGAGCTCGCGGGAATTCGAATTGCAAAGTGGGGGGGGGGGGGGGGGGGCAAAACGCGTCGGTACGTTACCCCCCCCCCACCCCCTTTTTTTTGGGCTGACAATTGAGCTGAGATGAGCTGCGAGGGAGGGTGGGGAGCGGATTCATTCCGCGTGCTTCTGTCGCCCTCTGCTGCCGCGTCTGGGAGACTGGCGCATTTCGGTGATTCCGAGTCTGGCGTGCGTGATCATGATGGCAGTTTGTTCACGAGGTAAAAAATTAACCCGTAAAAAATAAGTTTTTCACTATAAATCCTTTATATGCGTGTGCAATGGGCCACAACCCAGCCCACATTGGTCTTTGAAACGGGCGGCTAGAGTCCTCTCGTGCTCTGGCTTGAGATGGCTGCCACCTATGGGTCAGATGATTTCCTGCCACCATTAAGCAATTGGTAATTAAATATAATAATTTATTTTTTCCTAAAAAGTGTCAAATTTAGGAGAAAAAAAATTCACGAAAATAAATTGTTACGCAACAACGAGTCTGTGTGCAAAATGTCAGCTCGATTGGATCACGGGAAGTGGGTTAAAAAACGACCGAAATATTTGCACTGTCGTAAGCGCGCAAGCAGCAAGCAAGTGAACTTAATATAAAGGATTTTAAAATGCCAATGTCCCAGGTCTGCTACGGGCACACACGAGAGAGAGAGAGTTGGTGGTGGTGGTGGTGGTTTTTCTGTTCCACCATTTAAGGCGTTTTAAAGCTTTCGTGACTGCAGGGATTCATCTTCTTGGTTCTTTCGGTAAAGTCACGTAGAAGGGAAATAATAAAATAATAAAAATTTAACATAATAAAATAATTCTCACGCCGTTTCGGCCACAACGCAAGCAGCCGTCCTCAGGTGAAGAACAGGTCTGTCGGAAAGACAGCGTCTGAATGAACAGGTCTGTCTTTCCAACAGACCTGTTCTTCACCTGAGGACGGCTGCTTGCGTTGTGGCCGAAACGTCGTGAGAATTATTTTATAATGTTTTATTTTTATTATTTTATTATTTCCCTTCTACGTGACTTTACCAAAAGAACCAAGAAGACATTTAAGGCGTGTTCAGTGATTGGGGCCCATCTGAGCGTAACTCGCCCAGGCTGAACATCTGAGAGAAAAAAGCTTCACAGCTCACCGGATTTCCTCCATTCTCAAATAAAGATTCGGATAAGATGAAGGATTTTTTTAATCGGTACGTTTATGCCAGGATGTTTCTGCTGCGCGTCGTCGCTTTGGGATGTTCTGTATTCATCTTTTGTTTGTTGCGGTTGCACCCGACTTAAGAGCCGCATGGCTCACAGGGCTATCCTTAATAAATGAAACTTGAAACTTGAAAACTATAGATAATTATGGTGATTCGCTTGTAGATACCCCGCTGAAGTGACAGCAAGAAGTTGTATAGAAAATAATCCAACGCCTCGTCACGTCTCCACCAATATTAAATCGTCTAACGCTCTCCCCTGTAAGACCTGCGCCCATCGCTTTCACGCAATATTCTGTCACCTGCTGAGAAGAGAGGCCCATTTCAAATCAGTGGGCTGTCTATAAATGGATCGATCTGCATTGTATCCGCAATAGCTTGACGTGAACCTCTCCAGCCACTGGAGGTCGCTGCATTCATCGCCAACGTTACAACAACAACAAAAAACCGAATGGAGTTGTTAACGCTCGGTTCAGTGTGACCGGTAACTTAACTTCATTACGCTTATAGCCAAAGCGCTATAACAGTGAATTAACGATGATACAAAAACATACCGCGTGGCATGGGACGAGATGGAATGGCGCGGTGAATGTTGTAAATATGAGGACGACGATGATGCGTGACAGCAAACGGAGGTTGAAGGTGACGAGATGAACGAGTCGATGGAGGATGACCGTGGAGACGGGGAGGTATCGGTGATGACACGGAGGAGGGGTAGACGAGGAAGGGCAGGCGAGCGAGACTAGATGGGGAGTCCATTCCAGTGCAGAAGGGGCTAAGAGCGAGAAGGAACGGGACCGTGATTGAGCACAGAGAGGAAGGGGAAACAGAGAGATACATCTGGGATTCACCATTGGAACCTCATTTGCCAGTAAAAAATATGATAATTGTTTTTTTACCATTTCATCTGGCAACAAAACTGACACCTTTTTTTCTGGGATTGTGAACGCAGAGAGCGAGAAGTAGCGTAGAGTGAGACGAAGGGACGAGGCCTTTCTTACGGACCGAGTAACTCCCAACACTGGCGCTGGCCCATTGCTCGTTCACGTAGGAGAGCCACCGTCGGTCACACACAGATCTTGGCAGCCGCTTGTAATCCGAGAAGTGTGTATCTTCTGGGCTGGGCCACCTCTGAAGCGTTCCATCTTCTCTCGAGCTCTCGCCACGCGCTGCTGCGGGCATCGCTTCGACTTGCTGGAGATGCCCGCAGCAAAGCAGCGCGCGGAGAAAGCTTTTTGAAGGCGTCGCTGACTTGACCCGACACGGGATTGCGTTGCAAATCGTGCGTGCTCTGTCGTTGCCTGCCTGCAGGGACATCCAGGATCCATCGGCCCTCAGGGACCAAAAGGAGTTCCAGGCTTTCCAGGCCCCGAGGGCGTAGCAGGCGCTGCGGGAAGGAAAGGAGATGAAGGGACCCCAGGTTTTGCCGGGGAGAAGGGAGAAAAAGTGAGTTGGCCAGGTCTTCTTGATCGCGTGAGGGTACACACGCATATATCTCTTATGCTTTTCTTTATTTCTGTAATTTTATTTATAATTAATCATTACTACATTCATTGATTGTTCATTCCTAAATGCTTTGCAGGGTGGTAAGCACTTGTGTGCTGGGCAAACGCAAACGTTGCTGGGTCGAGTAATAAGACATTATTTTGGGTGGATAATACTGGTGACCTTTCGACCTGTAAGATGTTTCAATCACAATGTTTTCTTCCTTCACAGGGCCCCATTGGCGTTCCAGGCTTCCCTGGTAATAATGGTGTTCCGGTGAGTGGAGGCCACATGTTCTGTAACCGAAAACAACTGCAATTGCACCATCATCGTAATGACGATGCTGTAAAATGCTGGGAAGGGGATCGGCGTCGTTAAAGGCTTCCGCCAAAATCTATTCGTCTCATTTGTATGGCTGGCTGACCAGCACACGATGCACAAAGCATGCTCGCGGTAGTTGGTCGGCCGAGCAAATCATAAGCAATACGATTAAATCAACATGTCGATATCACATAAAATGAAAGAAATATGGGTTTCAAAAGCCAGGCGCAAATTTTGGCCACCGCTTGCGGTGTGCTGTGCGGTGGGGGGGAGGGGGGCGGCTCTTTGGAGGGCGAGCCGAAGGATTCGCTATCCGCGAACGCCACGGTGCAATCGGCACGCTACCGACGGACGCGGCAGCTGGGTTTGACGCCGTGCCCGGCCACTGACGAGGCCTCACCCGATGCGAGGTTCTCGCCGCTGCAGAGTTACGGGAGGGCTTTTGAGAGCGCTCCCCATTCCAGGAGCTTCGACAAAGGAGGGGACAGATGAAAGGCCCCTCCGTCGAACCTCAACCCCGAATTTTTTTTACGCAACCGTCGCGCACCCTCGGGGGCCCGTGGTAGGGAGGAATGCTGCTTTAAAAAAAAAAATTGAAGAGTGATGGATGGCAATGTGAGGATTGTAATGTAGAGTTTGTCATCAAAGAAGGTTGTCTTGCGTAGAGTGCCGAGTGGGAATTTCTCCGCCGCCCGTGTGACTCTGAGGAACCCCTTAGGGACCTGAAAGTGTTTGAGCTTCGTGTTTCTGATCAACAAAGCGCAGACACAGACCATGCACCCCCTGCTGAAATGCAGTTTGCATCATTCTAAATAGAATGTTTTACAGTTGAGCTAAAATAACCAAAGAGATGTAAAAAAAACAGCTGCAATAAATATCCGCATATTTCTGCCATAACTAACGTGACACGTTTGTCGATTTTCCACGATACAGGTATCCCTCGATTTACGAAAGGGATGCACATCCTTCAAAAGACTACATTTCGTAAAATCGGAAATGGATTTTCCCATTAATTTGATACGAAACAGTAGGCATGTGTCTCGGACAGTCATTTCAACTCTACTCCTAACGTAAAAATTATACACTACCTGTATCACTTTTCACGACACAAAAAATCATTATTTAGAACATGAATATTCAAACGATTTGCATAATACTAAATTTCAAACTATAAATTATTACTCTCTTCAGAGAACTCGCCAAAAAGATCTTGCTGGCACGTTGGAATGACTGGACAGCTGACGTGAAAGCGTCACTGCACTTCGCACCTCCGATTAGCACCGTTGGCTACGTACGGTGCGAAAAAAGTTCAACGTGCTGGGACGCATGTGACTGTTGCACTGCAGGGGACACCCTGACGCTGTCGCGGATGGACGATGACGACGATGACGACGCAGCCTCCCGCGTGGCTTCTCGTTTGATGATCTCGTGGCGCGCGTGGCCTCGGCGACATTTCGTGGACGCGAAATTTTGTAAACCAAAACGTTCGTGAATCGAGCGACACTCTACCGGCACTTGACGTTGCGTGCGCGTCTAGGGCCACCCTGGCCAGCCCGGAGTGAGGGGCATCCCCGGCCTCGACGGCTGCAACGGCACGAGGGGAGACGCCGGTTTCTCCGGAGACAACGGATACCCCGGATCGTCGGGCCGCCCGGTGAGCTTCCCTCACATCGCCGGCAAAATACAAACGCTTTTGAAAACGGACCTCCAGATTAATAACTAATCTATGTATGCTAAAACTATTTAACTCAACTATTTTTTTTATTTTATCAGGTAAGACCCCCACTGAGCTACGTAGCTCTTTTTCAGAAGTGACCTGGCCACAAATGATAGCTCAACAAAGTGGCTTGTCATCGTGTGGAAATTTATAGCAGCCAAATACTCTGACGTTCGTGTTGATTCTAAATGTGGAGGGGAAACACCTGAGAACCCAGAGAAAATTCCACGCGGGGAGAATATGCAATTAAACCACAGAATCCCTATCCGTATTATTACTTTTTGTTACGTAATGATTCGTGGTATAATTCGCTGAAATATCAGCAACTAGGAGATGATGCTGCTACCATTGTGTAAGTGTGAGCACTGCTGGCAATCCAGAGGTGTCCGTTTGATTCGAATCTCCCGGTTACTGAAGTTCAAACATTGGTTCATGTTTCTAAAATCTCTCCGCCTCTGTCTAACCAACAGCACGAATGTGTAGGGGTACCGAGAGGCAACCCCCACTTGTTTAGACTAGATATGGGCCGCAGGGTCCGGAGGGCTTTCCAGCCCTGGGGATGAGAAGTGGACCCAAGGGGTGGTCTGTGCAGGCACAGTGTGCCCACTCTCACCTATTGCAATACATCTGACTAGTGTGGCATGGTAGACCCAGAATATCATAGTCTTCTGTTCTTTCGGTAAAGTCACGTAGGTAGAAAAATAATAGATCGTGATGTTTCGATCGCAACACACAAGCAATCGTCATCAGGTGGGGCAACCACAGCAAGAAGAAACTGCTGAAGTAGGCGAGAGATCTATCGTGGCATGAGGTTATGTAGGCCTCGGCAGTAGGGGAGGGAGAGTGTTTTCTTGCTGTGGTTGTCCCACCTGATGACGATTGCTTGTGTTGCTATCGTAACGTCGTGATCTATTATTTTTCTACCTGCGTGACTTTACCGAAGAGCCAAAGAGTATGGATTCCTGCAGTCACGAAAGCTTCATATCCAGAATATCATCTCAAGGGGTTCTCTAGATCAGTGCCAGGCTTTCTGGCAGCAGTAGTATCATAAATAAATTGTAGGGCTGCACTTTAACATTTTATATAATTCCCAGGTATGAGGATTAAGGAAATAAACTAATCTACGAATCATAATATTGGTCCTGAAAGCCAACGTTTAAAATTAAGAAAACAAATATTCGAATGAGCACAGGGAAAGCAAATGTTTCGAATGGAATTCAATGCATTTGTGTCTGTGTGATTGTTTCATGCAGGGAATAGTTGGGCCTAAAGGCCAGAAGGGAGAACCTGTCACCACACCTCCCGGATACAAGGGCGCGACGGTACATTTATCCACAACTTTCACATTGTCACGTCATCTTGCTGCTGCTGCTGCTGCACAACAAAAACATGGCTTCACATTAGAAAGGATTATGAAAAGGGATTAAAGATTTGCATTTATCTGTGGCGCTTAATTGCCCCGGAATCTCACATTTCATCGAAATCCATTTCCAATGACCTTGCGGCAGTTCCAGCGTGGGGGACACCAGTGGCAACTGCCTCTGTGCAGCTCAAAGTGTAGACCGCGCCTGCCTGCAACTGGGTGGCTGAGCAGTCGGAGCACTTGGCCAGCAACCTTGAATGCGGATTTCGGTGCAGGGAGTTGTCGGCCTTGGCCGGAAACACATCACACGAATTCTGGTTTTTCGTTCCATTTGGCTGCAAGCTCCAGCTCTTAGAATGAAAAATTATCGGGTTTGCTGTCATGTGTTTACAGTACCATGCCGCTCTGCAGATGTGCATATGAGCAGATGAGAATGCTCCGCTCCCTTGTTAATGTGGAATATTACAAAAAGGTCATTTGAATGGATCGCAGAAGTAGTTCTGGGAAATGGCCCTCAGCGGACCGTTCTCTAACACAATTTTATTATTTTAAAGTACAAGACGACAAAAACGAAATCTTTGTCCATGAATTCATCCGTTATCTTTCAACCCACATTTTGTTGTTCTTATAATTTGAACTTGAAGTGGGCGTCTATTCTTTTTACAAATACACACTGGACAAATGTGTTTTCTCTCGCAGGGAGAAAATGGCTACCCAGGACAAGATGGCCTCCCCGTGAGTCCGGTTGCACTTCCAGTCTGGTGGCTAGACAACATTTAGACGTGATGTTGTGCATCCCCTCGACACTCGAGGAGTCGGGGATCCCTCGTGAGAAGCCTCGGACACCTGGGGGGGGGGGCTTCCCTCCAGTGGTCATTTTGTCCGCATGTTATTTAGTTCTTTGCTTTGATATTAGCCCTAGGTCTAGTTTGTTGTCGAACGATGGAATCCTAGTCAGGTCTCAGTGTGTGGACTTTTAACTATTTTACCATTTTTATTTCACCCGGTAAGGCTCACTGAGATAGACAGTTCTTTTTTAGAAGTGACCTGGCTATCACAAATGATAGCTCAACGAAGTGACTTATCACGTGAACATGTATAACAGTCCAAACACTCTAAACGCGTGATTTAGATTCTAAATGTGGAGGGGAAAACCGGAGGTCCCGGAGAAAAATCCACACGACCACGGGGAGAACATGCAAACTCCAAATATATGAAGCCGTAAGGATCGACATCAAACCCACGATCTCCTGTATGCCAGGCGAGGGAGTTAACATCTTGTCACTGTGGATTTAATTTCATCGTTCTCTTAGTCCCGTCGATTAAAGCAGCCATGCCTTTAGTCCCGTCTTAGAAAAATAAGTTCAACACGCATACATACATACAACCGATTGTCATTTACTGATTTGAACAATCAGTGAAATCTACATGTAAAGCCAACTTACCATTGTCTATATTCCTCAGTGCACTGCTGTCTCTAATGATGTTACACAATGATTTTAGTCTGCGTGATAGTTCAGACTCGTTCATTCTGGCGCGTCATCGTCAGTCGTCGTCACCACAACGCTGGGCTTTGATTTTCATCCACTCATAGCCATCGTCAACCAAAAATGCATTCTAAAAACACGATTGAATATTTTCGTCCGCAATGTCATCAACGCGGTTCACTCCGATGTTCACTCGCGAAACCACGATGCACCGCTGCTGTGGCAGCAGAGAGACGCAGACAGACAGTAGCGAATACAAAATATATTTTTAATCATGGTGTACCTTGGTGCCATCTGCCAGTATCGCCCGGTTTATTAAAAATTAATTGACAAAGGACACAGAAAACAAATGAATCTGGACACACTGTTTGCGTGGCCATGCTGTGTGTCCGTTTGCTATGTTGTGCCACTGCACCACAACAACAACAACAACAGCTGCCATTCGCCACAGCGCTTGTGCCAGGCAAGGTGCACTTTTAGTCGTGCATGCATACACATGTACACGTCATCGCTGTGGTTTTGCTGATTGCGCTCGAAATGGCAATCCATAAAACCTGCGCAAAAATGGAAATGAACGCTCATTGTAGGGAGGAGTGGAAAGCATATCGTAGGTGTAGAACACCAGCCAATGAAATGCTGAGAGCCCTGCCTTGAACCCTAACCAGCTGGCCAATCAGTTAATAGCAGTCGCCCTCCCACTCCCGCTGACCCAAACCCAGCCTCTGCCACTTCACTAGGACCCCTTTTCAACCACTGTGCTTGCTTTTCCATTGTGGTGTTTCACAGCACCATCTGATGGTCAATTGAACCCTAGAATTCCCCTGCTGAGCGTTCTCATCATCTTACACTGTGCGCGTACGCATGCATGAATGGGTGTGTGTACGAATGCGTCCATATTTAGGGTGGGTCACGAATAGCCAAATTTGCCTCCCCCGCTCTCACAATGACAAATTGCTCAATCGGTGCCCTTTGCGAGCCGCTTGCCTCGCCGCGGCCCGCACGCCGAATCGGCGTAGGCCGTTCTGTCATCCGTTTATTTCCTGATTTGACGTCTCCTTTGACCGCGATGGTGAGAGGGGGGTCGCAGTGGGCGTTCATGATTGCACATTTACGTTTAGCTGATTTGCAATTTACCAATGAAACGCTTGGAATCAGAAGGCTAGTTGTTGCTCATGCGGCTTCATTTTCCACCACTGGGCTTTTGACTCATTGGCCCAAAAATGCTTATTGGTACCACTCAAGGTGGCAGATGCTATCAGTGATTTCTTTGGGGAATTTTACTGAAAGAGCACAAAAATGAATGATAGCAAGGTGGCCATGCTAGCTATCTCTGGAAAACGATAATTGAACAAGGGTACTGCAGTTGTGTTTGACAGAGAATGTCATTTCAGAATAAGGACAAAACAAATACGAGATATGAAACGTGAAATAAATATTACGTTTGTCTGTAAAACAGACGACATGTGCACGAAGATGTCTGTTCATGCTGGACACTGGTAGCATATGCCACTCCAGTTAGGAACCGTTCAACCCCGTTGGATCATGGGCTATTGTTGTCTTGTGTTGTTCTGTTGCATTGTTTAATTGTATTGTTCTCTTTTTGGTCTCAGGGCCAGAGCGGATTTGTGGGGCAACCAGGGCCAGCTGGCCCCCCAGGACCTCTGGGCTTCCCTGTAAGTTGGTTGGCCTTTGCATTGAGGCCGGAGGGGGGGGGGGGTGTGGAGGCATTCAACAGCTCTGGGCGGACACGACGCAATCAAACGTTAAACAAACCTTGAACGCTTAAGCAGAATGAGTAACCATACCATCTGCATTTGTCTCTCGTGCATTCCGCATGTCTGTGTCAAAGGGCTGCGTCTCCCGCCCATTGCCTAAATGTGCAATAAGAATTCACAGGGCAGGCCGAGTGGCGTCGTGTGACATTCGCCCCTTGCTGGCCCTCGGGGAGACATCCCGAGCGTCGCGAGTACAAAAACTCGTAGCTCCTTGCCTGCCGAGGAGGCTTTTGCAGCGATGCACCCGCCAGTCATGAGTTGGACTCGGATCGCACACACGATGCAATTCGTAGAGTCATTGAATACGTTTCAGTCTGTGTTGATAACTCACCTCTTTAAACAGGCCTTCACGCCCAAGTACAGGCCGTTTACCCAGCTGGTTCTGCTTATTCCCTGCTTTCCATACAATGGTGACACATTGGGATCTACGGGTGAAATGCGCCACTTTACAAATGTGAATTATTATGATGTGGGAATTGATTCGTTATGACGTCACATTAATTCTGAACATGCTTTATGTGATGTAATGAACTCGACGGACAGGAATCACAGCGGTTCATACGAACGAAACAGGCAGAACAATCGAGGCAGACAATTCTTGAAGATGCGCAAGCTATGCCCAAGACAGACAGCACAATAAAGACAATAGATCACACAATAGGGGCAACATCAACGATGCACACAACGCAAAGGAGAGGGCACAAACGAGGCAAACAGTGCAAATGAGGCAAAAGAGAATCGATACTTCTGATTTCCCATTGTCCACTCTGATTTCCCATCGTCCACTCTGATTTCCCATTATCTACTCTGATCTCCCATTGTTCACTCTGATTTCTCATTGTCTACTCTGATTTCCCATTGTCCACTCTGATTTCCCATTGTCCACTCTGATTTCCCATTATCTACTCTGATCTCCCATTGTTCACTCTGATTTCTAATTGTCTACTCTGATCTCCCATTGTTCACTCTGATTTCTCATTGTCCACTCTGATTTCCCATTGTTCACTCTGATTTCTCATTGTTCACTCTGATTTCCCATTGTCTACTCTGATTTCCCATTGTCTATTCTGATTTCCATTGTCTACTCTGATCTCCCATTGTCTACTCTGATTTCCATTGTCTACTCTGATTTCCATTGTCTACTCTGATCTCCCATTGTCTACTCTGATTTCCCATTGTCTACTCTGATTTCCATTGTCTACTCTGATCTCCCATTGTCTACTCTGATTTCCATTGTCTACTCTGATTTCCATTGTCTACTCTGATCTCCCATTGTCTACTCTGATTTCCCATTGTCTACTCTGATTTCCCATCGTCTACTCTGATTTCCCATCGTCTATTCTGATTTCCCATCGTCTACTCTGATTTCCCATTGTCTACTCTGATCTCCCATTGTCCACTCTGATTTTCTATTGTTTGATTTCCCATTGTCTATAAAACTATTTTTATTTGACCAGGTATGGCCCACTGAGCTGTTTTTCAGAAGCAACCTGGCCACAAATTGATAGGTCAACCAATTGGCTTATCACGTGGACATATATAGCAGCCAAATACTCTAAACGCATGTCTATAAATGTGGAAGGAAAATCCGGAGGACCCGGAGAAAAATCCACACGATCACGGTGAGAAAGGAGAGAGTGACACGCAAATTCCAAATATACAGTGGCTTATCACGTGGAAATGCATGGCAGAAAAATATTCTAAATGCATGTTAATTCTAAATGTAGAGGGGAAATTTCTAAATGTGGAGGGAAAAACCGGAGGACCCAGAGAAAAATCCACACGACCACGGGGAATATATGCAAACTCCAAATTATATAGGTGTCAGGGTCAGGATCGAACTCCCATGCGAGGGAGTTAACAACTCGCTATCATGGCATCCCTAAGCTTCCGTACTGCTTTGTAATTGGTATAAATCCCACAGCCGTGATGGTGGGCACTTGCTTCAGCGTTGAGGTCATTGTGTCCTCTACATCTTTCCCACAGTGACTTGCAAAGGCATTGCAGGAGCGTGAATAATAACGCATCTCGCTGCCTCCGCGCTAGCCTAACTCCTGGCGGATCACTCCGCGAGACGCGCGGATCCTTCCCCGCATTTCACGCTTTCGCGAATCGTCCAGAACAGCCGCTCGAACGCGGAGCAGCCCGGGGGGGCTTGAGGGTGCACGGTCAGGGACGTCGGTCTGTGACAACCCTGTACCCGACTCCGATGCAACCCAGCTTCAACTAACCAACCAAGCGAGCGAGCGAGTGAGCGACCAGACGAGAAACGTAAACAACGCCTTCCAGTTTGAAAACTTTGTCACGCCCGGTCCCCGAAAATATTGGCCTCAATGCAGCGACGCTCTGCCAAAATTCGGAAAGACTCCCTGGGGGGGGGGCGGGGGGGGGAATGCCATTTAGGCTTGGCGCTCGCCATGCCGCGAGACTGTGCGTTGCCCCGTGAGCTCACCCACTGTCCCGTGACGAGTTACAATAGCACCTGTCCGCCCTAGAAGCACACGCAAACCTCCACGGCTCGCTCCGCTGCCTGCGTTTAAAAAAAAAATTGTAGAAGAAGAATAAAAACACCACGGCCCGAATGCATCGCAGTGTGTGGGAACTCGTTGCCAAAAACGGTTTGAAAAATGTGCCTGTTCACACGGCAGGGAGAAGTTGCGCGACAGGCAGTCGGGTAAAGCGGAATGTTGCGTCTCGGTACTCGTGGGGGCTTTTGTTGTTGGTTACCATTCCACGTTGGCTGTGCTCCGGCCAGAAGTTTATCTTGGCCCCTGAGAACATTGCCGACGGGATGAGCACAAGGGGGCCAGTGCGCTGTTGGTGGTCTCTTAAGTTGACTTCGCTTGTGTTTGACGAGAACCACAATGCATCTGCTGCTGCTGCCGCTGTTGCAAGGACCCCTTACCTCTCTAGGACGCTGCAAAATTGTAACCGGAATTGCGTGCTGCGCCTGGTTGTGCTTTGCTCTTACAATTCAATTAATTGCCAAGGCAGTTAATCAGTTGCTATGTTATGTTGTTCCTAGGGTCCACCCGGCCCACCTGGCTTGCAAGGAGAAATGGTAAAGTTGAAACGTTCATCTGCTTACAGTCTTTGCAATGTTTTTTTTTATATATATATATTCCGGGCGCTGGTGGCTTACGCTGCAAGCCTGTAATCGAGCGCCGTGGAGGTGGCGGGTTGATGGATCACGTAAATGTTGTGTAACTCCCTCCGTGAACCACGACCATCGAGGTCGCCATCTCCAGGATGTGGTGGCAGTACAACAAGCGGGCTCATTACATCTGTGGAGGGATTCACTGTCACTCCCCCGTGCCCACCACACCCCCCACCTGCGTTTTCTCGGGGTGCTACGGCTTCCTGAGACATATACAGGAGAAGCCCTCTTAACGACGGTCATTGGTCCCACAAAACCGGCCGTTAAGTGAAAGGGGTTCTGCTGTATAAGCACTCGCTCGTCGAGTTGGCCAGTACCCCAATGCAGGATTCCAGAGCTTGGGTAATTGATGGCGCCGGTTTTGGCGGACTTCCCTCTTGCCTGTGATTTTACCGACGCCTCCATGTAAAATAATATAAACTTTTGCGTCGCATATTCTAGTGTCGCAATATTCAAGCAGGCATGAACGATGTTGTGTTAAGATTACAAATATATACTAATATTATAATTTTTTGCACAATAGTCATTGTGATGTGTTCATGTACAAGGACTCCTAGACTTACGTACGAGTTAGGTTTCAGAGGTCTGTTCATAAGTCGATTTGTTCGTAAGTCCAACTTTGTTCCTGTCGATTCCAAAAGTGTTGTACGGCATGCACACTAAGAACGGGGAATGGCTGTAAACGTTGTATAATCTCCTGTAGACGTAGATGCCACTGGTGTTTCACGTTCGGCAGATGTAGATGCCACCACCGCCCTCTATTGCACGGTGATTGAACTTACGACTCTCGGTCCGAACAGGCAGCTTGACATACGGGACAGGTTTGTTCGTATCTCTGAAAGATTCGTAAGTCGAATGTTCGTAAGTAGAGGAGTCTCTGTGCAGGATTAGCAGTTGACAATATTACAATATAACAGTGGATCTTTGCGATGTTTGTGTTGCGTTCGTGAACAGGGCAATCCGGGTATTGGACGCCAAGGAGAGAGAGGTGAAAAGGTGAGCTTTGGGGACGTTACGCGATGTAAAGTCACTCCGGTGAAGCCGTGCATAAACTGTTTTGCTGTGTTGAGATGAACACGTGTTTTGTATGTTTCAAGATTATTTTTGCTTTAGCCAGGTGAGAACGGTTTCGAAAGGTAATTCATCCAAACTGACCTCTATTCCGTGAAATGTATTCCGTTTCATGTTCATTTATGTTCACGCACTGTTTAACAATTCTTTTGTAATGCGATTGCTTTTGTACCGCTTTCTATTATGTTGTTTGCTCTGATTTTGATTCGCTTCATTGTTGTGAAAACTAGATTTTAAGCTTTCGTGACTGCAGGAATCCATACTCTTTGGTTCCTTCAGTAAAGTCACGTATAAATAAATTAAATAATAGAATGCGACGTTTCGATTGCAACACAAGCAACAGAGAGAGGCACACAACATAGACACACAGACAGACACACAAGCAGAGAGAGACACACAACATAGTCGTCTCTGTGTGTCTCACCTGAAGACGGTCGCTTGTGTTTCGATCGAAACGTCGTGATCTATTAATTTCCTAATCACGTGACTTTACCGAAAGAACCAAAGACTATGGATTCCTGCAGTCACGAAAGCTTCAAATCGAGATTAAACTTCAACTCATTCCCTCAACCCCTCTGGCCCTGCCCTCTCCGCGCCCCCTGCCGTGCTGTGCCGATGCTAGGGTGAAGTCGGCCCTCCTGGTCCTCCTTGGAACGGCTCTCCAGTCAAGGGGCCTGGCACCAGCCCCCTGCTAAAGGGGCTGAGTGGAGACAAGGTCAGACACCGACAGTCTCTCACGCCAAGGCACCCACTTGTCTGAAACTCCATGACCACTCAAGTATTTGCGTTGTGTGTATGCCGGGTGTGGTACTGCAATGGTAAGTGCGCTTGCGCTATGAACACAGCGACCCGTGTTCGATTCCTGCTCAAGGCCAACACCTACGGCGGTTATTTGAACCGGTCCTGGGCCTCCCCTTTGTCGACTCAGCCTCAAAATGAGTGCGTGCTCCTGTGTGTAAAGATTGCCACAAAGGGAGATGAAGGCGGCCGGGCGTGGTGTTGGCCAACCTCCCTCTCGTGTACCGAGCCGGCCTTCATAAGTGCTAACAGCGCTTGCGCCTACAGTCTGTTAAGGCTATACGGGTGATCTTTGTCTTCATCTTTGTTTGTGGGAGTGGTAGTGTCGTGGTTAGCACGCTGCTCTAATTCGATTCCCACTCATGGACAACATCAGTGACGATTACCTCAAGCAGTCCTGGGCCTTCCCAACGTCGACTCAGCCTCATTTGTGCATATCGGTACTACCTGGGATTCCAATGGAACATTCAATTTTGATGTACAATTCAGTTATATATGCATTTATATTGTACGTGCCAAAACATCGGCCTGTCCCACAAATAAGGCATATTTTCTACAACCGTAATCACCTTAGAAATGACGACGGCCCATTTTGTGTGTGTGTGTGATTACGATGATTTTTTTTACATTTTGACGGTGAGGCTGCCCCGTCCTGTGTGAATCTCCACCGCACTGCCCGCATGAGTGGTGGGGGAGGGGGGAAACGCAAAAAACACACAAAAAAGCGATTGCTGTAGATTCAGATGGGTGCATTCATCAGCTCAAGCGCGGAACATTTGCAGCCACTTAATCCTGTGCCACGCCGCGGGACCACCAAGTGTGAAAATCTTCCGCCCGATGCAGCTTGCAATCAGAGGTCTCGGTGTCACAGTGGCAGCCGCTGGATAAATACATTGGTGGGACACGGAAGCCCGCCGGGGGGTCTAAGGAAGGGAGGAGTGAAGACGAGTGGGGGAGGGGTGGCGGGAGGAACGGTGGAATGCTAGTTTATGAGCGGGTACAAGAATAAAATGACTCGACGCATTCAACCCATCGATCGGTCTTTATTTTACTTGCCAATATCGCCCACAATAAAAGTAGTGCATCGGTGCAACATTGCAGCGGAACGGGAACGGTACATGGGGGGGCACGGAGCGACGGGAATGAATACGGAAACCCCGTCAAGACCTCAGAGGCTAACACCGACCGAGCAAAGTTAATTACAAACTGCGCACAAAATGAGGTACAGCCATGCGGCAACAAATAGCATAAGAACGGTAAGTAGTAGATCAAATAAAATAAATGAAGTGAATGTCAAGTAAAGAGCCTTAAAAAGGAAAAAATATATAAAAGGTGACGTTTCGGGAAATGGCCTTTCATCATTGCACATTACTAGTGACGGGGAGATCAGTTGGCGTGTGATATCCAAATCGTTCCTGAGGCCCGCTTCACCAACTCGTATCGACCGGCGTGGCGAGCAGTGCCGGATTAAGCTAGTGCGGGGCCCGTAGCATACGTAGCTACTTTTGCTGCTCGGATAATCCGGCACTGGTGGTGAGGTATGGTCAAACAACCCCGTCCGACCAAATTGACTTGGGAAGACCTCAATCCAGGAGTGTGTTGACAAAAGTGATGCAAGTTTATTATTGTTGTTAAAGGCGTAGCAATAGCCAGTCATGCTGGTTACAATTAATTTATAGCGTGTGGTAAGTTTATTATTGTTGTTAAAGACGTAGCAGTAGGCAGTCATTGCTGGTTGCAATTCATTTCTAGCGTGTGGTAAGTTTATTATTGTTAAAGGTGTAGCAATAGCCAGTCATTGCTGGTTACAATTTCTAGCGTGTGGTAAGTTTATTATTGTTGTTAAAGACGTAGCAGTAGGCAGTCATTGCTGGTTGCAATTAATTTCTAGCGTGTGCACGTGTTGCGTGTGCCTGGGTGAAAAGTGGGGCTGAGTGGTTTTTTTTTTGCCCAATCCTGGGCAGCTGGCTCCAAAGAAACACCCCGCGATGATGTGCACGTGCCGTTTGTCGTTTCCGCAAACAGGGAGACCGAGGCTTTGATGGAATTTCCGGCGCTTTCGGGATTCCTGGCGTCGACGTGAGTTTTCAGCACCCCGGCATCTCTCGCAAACACGTGACGGTGTAAGGGTCGGCACGCTCCGACTCGCAATCCGCAGGTGCCGGTTGGTTCTTTGGGGGCGCGCACGTTGAAACGATGATGCAAAGTTTCTGAAATCTCCTGCCCGCCTCTGTCCACCCAGCGGAAATGAATTGCTACGCCGCAGTTTTAGTCGATCAAAAGGTCGCGTTTGGTGGGGTGAAGTGTGGGATACTGCCACCTCTTGCAACGGAGGACGCAGCCCAGCAATGGCATGAGCGGGTACCTTCAGGACTGCACCGTTGTGTTTACCTAATGTACTGCCTCATTCGTGTACATAGACCACGGTGGGGAAGAGTGGTGGCCCAGCGGTTAGCACGCTGCGTTATGAGCCCGGTGGACCTTAGTTCAATTCCGGGCCACAGCTAACATTATTGGCGAGCAACATCTGAACCGCACTGACCATCGTGGGGAAGTATGGTCAAGCTATTCCCTATGACGTCAGGACATCGGAAGGTCTTCATCCAGCAGTGAATTAAGAAAGGCCTGTAAATTGTGACTTGTATTATTATTTTCTTGTTACTTAAACATGGAATGAAGTGAGGGATATTAATGGCATGGAGAGAGGCCTTTATCTTTATGTGGATACACGGTGGCAGATAATGATGTTGAATCAGTTATACATTTTAACACATGGGTGATTAACATTTTCCTCAAATTATAGTTCGCGTGTCGTATGCCATTTGCACTTTCCGAGCCGCTAGGCCAGCGGTGGCGAATGCGTGCGTCGTGATTCACGGGTGGATCGCAAAAATACTTTTCCGTGGATTTCAGTATCCGTCGGAGCAAACGCCGACGTGAGCAGCCTTACATTGCGGCTGACGGTGAATAAAAATCACCGGCTATGAATTCACGCGTTTAAAAACATGATGGTGATGATGATGATGATAATAACAACATCTACCAATGCATGGTGCCAGTACTTTGTGGCTCGAGTACATTGCAGGGTTCATTCCATTGTTGGGTCATCGCTGTCTGGTGGGCAGCGGAGGTGGATGAAATCCACCAGTGCTTGGTGGATTGGCCACCGTGGTTTAGACGACGCTGCTTGATGATTCACGTTTGTTTTCTTATTGACTTTCAGGGCCTCCCAGGGCTTCCTGGGCCGATGGGAGAGAAAGGAATCATAGGTCTGCCTGGCCCAAGGGTAGGTTTTCGACGTCCTTGCAAACATGCCACTTACATAATTTTATTAGAAAAATAATGTATATTGCACTTTACCATTCATCACATTGTGTAGCATCAATGTTTTTTTTATTTAGTCCACATTTGTTCATTTTGTCATATTTTTAAAATATATATACTGTGGTTCTTAAATTGTTCTTTTCGTAACCCAGGTCACCCTTGTTAAAGTGGTCATGCCGTTTCCTGTTGTCACAAGGGGTTTATTTAATCTACCGCTTAAATAAAGTATATATGTGAATATCAATACCGTAGCAGTAGTAGCAGCTTGATTAAGTAACATAAAGCTCGTAGTCGGGAACATTTTATATGTTTTGTATTCTTTTTAGACAACGTACAATTCAGAATACAGAAGCATGAGGGTTAATGAATGAATGAAACATTCTACAGCATTCACTGGCAGTAATCTTAGAAAAGCTAGTTGGGATGTTTTTTTAAAGGTCTAATTTTATTCCTGAGCATTTCGTGGTCGCAAAAACACAATGGGGGAAATCTAAATATATAAAGAGACAGACACGGGTTTATTTAAGCGCGTGAAAGTAAAAAAAAAATTACGTTTCCAGACTGTCAGTCCCATGGGTATTCTAACCGAATGTTTCCAGCAACACCGGTTTCGGCAGAGCAAACCCTGCAGCGGTTTCGGCTTTCTTAGAATCGTCAGCAGAGTGTGATTGTTTAAACACATTCCTGCGGAGGGAGCTGGTAGGAACGTTGGATTGCTCGGTCAATGGCCAGGGTCAACGGCGGCGTGGTGTATTCCGCAAATATGCCCGACTGTGAGGGCGGGCACAAGCCGGCGTGAGTAGGTTAAACGTTGAGTTTTATAAGGGCACCACGGGGTGACCAGCCCCTCCCCACCCAGCCCCACCCCTCCCACCCCCCACCCAGCCCCACTCTCCCCACCCAGCCCCTCCCCACCTAACCCCTCCCCACCCTCCCCACCTAGCCCCTCCCCACCCTCTCCTCCCCACCCAGCCCCACCCTCCCCACCCAGCCCCTCCCCACCCTCCCCACTCAGCCCCTCCCTCCCCACCCAGCCCCTCCCTGCACGACGGACGGACACAATAATCCCCTGTGGGCTGGTGTAACCAGGAGGTTCTTACCAGTATTAAATGCTGCTGGGAGATATTGTTCCCTGCGACCGATAGTCTGACGGACAGATTTTTACTTTTTTACTCGTTTCAACAGATCCTTAAATATGTTCATAATAATGTCCAGAAATCGACCAGGGCAACGCGATGAGTTTGATTTAATTGACTGAAAGTGAAATCAACTGCGGTTTCCTTCTCAATTCAACACTGAGGCAGTGCCCAGCTCTTCCTTACAGCCCTGAGCCAGTGGTGGAATTTCCACATTCCCATGGCAAGCACGAATCTATCCATAGGACAACCGCTGTTGACGTGCCTCAAAAGTCGGACTCATTTTATCGACCATTGGAAGGGTGATGGGCTGAGTCAGCCCCTAACTAGGATTTGAAGTCGCAATCTTGTTCTACAGCTGAGCCACCAGGCTGGTGATGGTATATTTGGCATACCAAGCAAACGTACCAAATATTGTAGGTCAAATAAACTGATCATGAACATTTGTTCAGAATTAAGTTTGTTGGGTTAGATCGCGAAAGTCGTGAACCCACCACCCGACACAGCCACTTTAGTTGGGTTTTACACGCGAACAAAATGTGCCATTTAGGTATTACTTCAGCACACCGGTGTGATGGCGAGAAACCCCACAACAAGACTACACGTAAAATTCATTAACGTTTGGTTGGTATCTATTGCACCACAGGTGGGTAGAAGGGCCAGTTTTGAAAGTTTGGAGACAGTGACCTGCCACTCTTTGCCGTAGAGTCCTGAATGGGGAGGGCAAAGCGCGTGCGGGTCACGTTTGTGGGTCACGTTTGCATCGTGTCCGACCCACCCCAAGCAGGACTCCACCTTGTGGTGCATGGCGCTCCCTGTTGGCCACTTCGCAGACAGCAGACTCCCTAACACAGCCACTCATTTACTCTTTTTGACATTGTTCCCTGAGCCAGGAGGCTGCCCTCCTGCTGAGCTGACGTACGAATTGACGATGAATCCGCGGATAGATGAACAGTAAACCTCAGCACCTTGTTTACGTAACTTCGGGTAGGGCAGTAGCTCCCAGCATTTCTGGCCTCCTTGACAACTGTTCAGCCCTTAAAACCTTTTCGCGGGCCACCTTGAACCAACTTAATTTGCTACATATATTACAAGCAGGGCGAGGCTATGACACACTGGGGCCCTAACTATGTCAAGCTTAAGATGCACCATCGAGGACTGTATATTTTTTTCATATCGGAATGAAAATAAGCATTTGAGAGAATATTTTTCCCGATCGCCTTCATTTTTCAATCGGTTACAGAGTGTGAAACCTGAAACTTGTTATTATTTTATTGTTCGTATTTAGAGGCAGCTCATAGTAGCTTACTTAGCTTACACCTGAATGTGGCCCCGATTTCAAGCACCGGAAAATGTTAATTGGACAGCCAGAGAAATAAAAATAACAAGCTTCCAATTGCGAGCCACTCGCTCTCCTGCCGAGCCACCTGGCTCTCCGTGCGATGAGCAATACATCGTTCGGTGTTTTGTGAAGAAGATAAAAAATCGGCAAATCTTGCAACGGTTCCACGGGTCGCATCCCACACACCCTGGCGGATGACACGTTGGGAACCGCTGGGACATAGCAGCATGAATCGACCTCCCAGTGATCTGACGAATTGTCGTGATTCGAGCACGCGCAATTAGAATTTTTTTTTTAACTCGATATTTTATTTTTTGCCCGTGTTTTTATTCTCTTGTGTATATTGTTTCTGCAATCGCTCTGTGCTGTTTGTACAGATCTGTTCCGCACGTCAGCTTTAAACGTAGCAATAGCATACGGTGTGCAAATTATTTGCATGCTTTGTGAGCGATACAAAATATTTGTATCTATTAATTGTATTGTTGTTTAACTTTAATGATATCCAGGGCTTCATTTCTCACTGAACAATTTCCGGCTCCCACATTGTAGGAGGTATTCTTGATTTGATGTGCCGGGTGCATGAATATTTTCCAGGTAATCAATCCAGGTAGACCCAGCTAAAATGAATCATTTCTTATACCGATATCCATATGTTTTGTCTCGTCCACATATATAAATATTTTTTTTATCATTTCCTAGGGTTTTCCTGGAGAGGATGGAATTCCTGGACATCCAGGAAAGAAGGTGAGTCCGTAAAACACGCGACGAGCCACTCACGCCCGAGTCACTTTTGTTTTGGTTTAGTCATGAAGACATCTGGGCAGAAACTTTGCATGGCCTGCTCCATTACACCTGCAGTGCCACCAATCCACCCTGAGATGAGACGGGAGAAGTAGGCAAGTGTATGGATGGGGAGTGGAGTGAGATGAGAGAGAGGTAGGAGAGTGTGTGGATGGGAGTGGAGTGGGATGAGAGAGAGGTAGGAGAGTGTGTGGAGGGGAGTGGAGTGAGATGAGAGAGAGGTAGGAGAGTGTGTGGATGGGGAGTGGAGTGAGTTGAGAGAGAGGTAGGAGAGTGTGTGGAGGGGAGTGGAGTGAAATGAGAGGAGAAAGGTAGGAGAGTGTGTGGAGGGGAGTGGAGTGAAATGGGAGGGGTGAGGTCGGGGAGTGTGTGGAGGGGAGTAGATTGAGATGAGAGGGAGAGGTAACACAGTGTGTGGAGTGGAGTGAAATGAGAGGAGAAAGGTAGGAGAGTGTGTGGATGGGGAGTGGAGTGAGATGAGAGAGAGGTAGGAGAGTGTGTGGATGGGGAGTGGAGTGGGATGAGAGAGAGGTAGGAGAGTGTGTGGAGGGGAGTAGAGTGAAATCGGAGGAAAGAGGTAGGAGAGTGTGTGGAGGGGAGTGGAGTGAAATGGGAAGGGTAAGGTAGGGGAGTGCATGGAGGGGAGTAGAGTGAGATGAGCGGGAGAGGTAGCAGAGTGTGTGGAGTGGAGTGAAATGAGAGGAGAGAGATAGGCAGGAGCAAGTCTATGGAAAATCCTCTGTTGATCATGGATTCAGAATTTAAAAAATGGATTGTTCTTTCAAATACAGTTGCTAAAAAGTGCCACCGAAACTATCACATGCGTTTCATAAAGGAGAAAGGTTGCCACGTGGAAGATGACCTGCTTCATTGTGGAACTTAAATCAGTGTTTGGGGTTCACTGGGCAAGAAGGCTGCGTATTTGGAGTCGAAATCTGACAAGATTATCTTTTTCGCCAGTCTTATTCCAATTATCCTCTTGGCGACATGGCACACGTCCAAGTGTTCATGCTTATGCAGAGGTGTGTTTGTCACGCAACAGTCAAAATTATCATCAGCTCACTTACACCTTAAGAACCTGGTTTAGTCACGGGCCGGCTGAAACCCAGATTAGAACCCAGGAACTCAGTGGTTCCGGCTCAGCGAGTGTTCTGACCCCTGAACGATTTCAATCAATATGGGACCTTTCTTTCCAGTATCAAAATAGAACAATAGGTTTTACACTTTCTGGCAATAAAACAGGCGTTAAGATGTTAAAAACACCAAACAGATTCTTTTTCCAAGAATCCTGTCTGCATTGGTCCCATATTGGAGCTGTTCACCCCGAGCTATAAATGCCCTCATAGCGGCATTGTCTTTGTGCTGTCTGCCTTTTGGCGTCCTCTGGTCTAACACTTTGAAACGAAGCTCAAAAGAAAGCTGTCTCTAGTGTGGACCAATAAGTTTAAAAGACAATGCATATATAATTATTGGAGCATCAGACCTTTTTTGCCAGTACCAAAACATAATAATAGGGTTTTTCCCCTTTTTTCTGGCAACAAAACTGAAACCTTTTTACAAGGATTCATGTCTGCATTAACCACAATACTTACAGTCAAAATGCAAACAAAAAACATACCATGATAATATATGCATTGTCCTTGAAACTGATTGGTCCACACCAGGGGCAGCATTCTTTAAAAAAGAAAGCCTTCCCTATTATCGGAGCATTTTTTTTGCATGTTCCCCACAAGTACGTGTGGTTAATGCAGACATGATTTCTTGCAAAATGATTCTGTTTGGTATTTTAACATCTTAACACAAACTGTTTTATTTCCAGAAAGTGTAAAATCTATTGTTAGATCTCAATCAAGTCAGTCAAACTTCATTCCGTCCAGTCGCAGGGTGCCCATCAAATGAAACCAAACAGCCTTTCCTGCTGAAATAAATAACATCTCTATGTGACTATTTCTTTACAGGCACCTTGCTATTGGCGACATACAATTATTTCTAGATTTGAAGCTTTCGTGACTGCAAGGATTCATATTCTTAGGGTTTTTTTTTAGGTTTTTGACTTTACCGAAAAAAACCTAAGAATATGACGTGAAATTATGTTTCCTTAAAATGTTAAAACACTGTAATTGAAACAGTAACGAGGTTGACCTGCGACTATACATTTTGTAGCATGAGTTTCATCTGCGAATGCCAGACTCAACAGGTTAACGTCCCAGGTTGCTGTAAGTAAAGGGGACGGGCCCCAGAAGACTGTAGTCACACCTTGCCTCCCATATCTAACCACATTTGTAATGTTGTGTTTATGACACTGTAGGGCTACATGGGGAACCCTGGCATCCCGGGAAAGAACGGCAATCCTGGAATTAAGGTAAATTCTCATCTTCATGGTCACTCAATATTTACTCTGCTTTGACCACGCAGTACATCTTGTGGTGCCCTGTGGCAGGCGATGCCCCCCCCTGCCCTCACCTTCTGCTGGCAGCTGTCCCTGTGAGGCACAAGGAAAATGCGGCACGTGCCAAGTCTGCAAGTTGGCATGAACTCATTATCTTTAGAACTGCTTTATGTGTTAAGTTTGTTGTCCTTCCCCCGCACTTCCGAATAGCACGGTTGGCTACGTACGCATGCAAAAGAGGTTCAACACACAACACATACAAGTGTAATAAGAGCCTATGTCAAGATTCACGTGGTGATCGGCTTGGCCGGTCCCGCTTTACAGCCAATGGGGGAAGAGCCTGGGCGTGATCACGGGATGTCAGCTAGGTGATTGGTTTCGGTGGTCTTGACCTCAGCCAATGGGAAGACAAGTCAGGGGCGTGGTCCCGGGAGTTGATGGGGGATCTGGAACATTCGGTGCAGGCTATTGAGGATTGGCTGGAGGGTACCACGTGACCCAGGCATTAAATAAGGGGAGAGAGGAGAGACAAGGGGTCAGACACGGAACTAAGAGAGGGAGAGGCCACGCGCGAGTGGGGCTCCGGGTGCCACGTGGTGGTGGGTCTCTGGTGACTGTCTGCCCGCTTCCCATTGCCTGCCAGCAACGGGGAGTGTTTGTGAACTAAGAGAAAGTGAAATAAAAGGACCGCTTCTACAAGCCGTCTCCAGCGTGTTATTACACAAGTGGGGAAGTAGGGGGGGGGAGCATTGTTACTATGGCTTCTGAATTAACACCAACTACGTTTACTAAGGCCATGGATACATGAGGAGGAGCACGTGCCCATGCCTTTAACAGACGAGGTGCTCAGTTTTGTGCCGTGTGTTAGTGTGCGTTGTTGCTACACGCTCGACATTTATCCCGCACGGTTATTCATGCCACAGCCCTGCAAGGCTCAACAGATCCTCGCCAGAGCGGGGTGCCTCAACGGGTTGAAAACCGCCGGCCTAAAGCGTTGGATCCACGCTCGTCTATATCTGCAGCTCCAGCCCAGCAAAATACTAATTCACATTTATGCAATAGGGGCCTGTCTTTAGGTTTCATTGTGGCACAGCTAAAACCCATTGGGCTATAAATGCTAATTTTTCATGGAGACCTGATTACTCTATAGAAACCTGGTTACAGCAACAACAACAATACAGCATAAAAACAACCTGAAAAACAACCGTACAACTCCGACAGCGGTCGACTTGCCAAAACATCAACACCAAAAAGTAAAATTTCGATTTAAAGCTTTAGTGACTGCAGGGATTCATCTTCTTGGGTCTTTCGGTAAAGTCACGTAGAAGGGAAGTAATAAAATAGTAAAAATAAAACATAATAAAATACAATTCGCACGACGTTTCGGCCACAACGCAAGCAGCCGAAACGTTATGAAAATTGTATTTCCCTTCTACGTGACTTTACCGAAAGAACCAAGAAGACCAAAAAGTTACTCCAAAATAGCACTGTTTGTAGCCGACGGTATTTGTGTGGTATCCTCGCTGAGTGGCTCGGCACGGTGCGTTTGCTGCCGTGTGCAGGGCGACCGAGGAGAAATAGGGCCCGCCGGTCCCACCATTTTCCTGTCGCAAAATGGAATCACCAAAGGTGAGCGCGAGCCGTCGTTATTTTCTTTGCGTTTCTGCTTTTGGCCACTGCCGCGTGGAAAAGGGGCTTCACACGGGACACAGCGAGGGCAATGACCCCGGCTGTCCACTACTCCTTCCCTGTGGCCCCTGCTGCATTCATTCCCCTGTCAAACGGAGGAAAGTCACGCGCCGGTTTTACTCGCAGAGTTCACGTTGCCTCTCGCTTTGGGCAAATATTACCCATTTTTCCACTGGCACATTCGAGCCGAGCCAGCCTAGGGCCCTCACCGTATGGGTGGTTTTCCCACTGGCTATTTACTGTGCAGAGCCACGACCAAACTATGACGCTGTGGGCTCACAGGACATCTGAATCTGTCTCAGGACCAAGCAGGGCCAACGGCGGGACTCACGTCACATTCATTGCATGCGACGTCAGTACGCCGTGAGGACGCGGCGTCACCGCACCTTCTGCACGCGTCTCCGCTCGTTCACCACGCGTGACGTCGGCGGCACTGCCATGCCTTGCGCGACGTCTCTTTCAACAGGGCCCCCTGGTGACCCTGGTCCGAGCGGACCCCGTGGCCTGCAGGGAGACTCTGGGTACCGTGGCCAACCTGGGTTGCCCGGGCAACCCGGCTCCCCGTCGTTTGGAAGAGGCAAGTGGGCACAAGGCGGGGGCGAGATACGCACGTCACGGTCGCTCGCCTGGACGTGGCGATCGCGCCTTCTCATCTCGATTGCCGAGCACAGGGCGAATAACGCCAAGTAGCCAGCTCCTGCCGCTCTATATTTCCCATGGATTCCTGTTCACGTTCCCTCGTAGCTGTTGAAGCTTTGTGATTTAATTTTTTTTATGGCCTTGGGTTAGTCACACACGGTGTGGGGGGGGGGGGGGGGATAGGGGAGCAGTCACTCACCAGCAGCTACCTGTGGTGAAGAAATGTTTATCCGAGAGGGTTCGTCTGCAAGCGAGGGTGCAGTGGGAAACTGGGAAGGGGCGGGCTTGGGGGTTGAGAGGACTCGGAGTGGGAGAGGTCGCGGACTCGGCACTCCGGCGTGCCGTGCGTCACGCGATCGAGCTGTGCCGGTGAGCTCGCTACCACGAATACGTGGAAGTCGGCAGCCTCATCATCCACCTCGTCATCTGACAAACTCAATCTCAAAACCAAATAGGATTGCCACAACAACCATAAAAAAGGGAACGATGGGACATATCGTGAGAAGTGGAACATCTCACAATACCGGGTGACAGGGACAGAATTGCACGTACATGCATTTTGACTGCCGTATCTCTAGACTTGCAGATTTTTCCAGGACAGCTACGTCCTGGGATAACCAGGATAGGTGGCGACTCTCAAAACCAGCCCTCACCTTTGCATCCTCCCCGTGAACCCATCCCTGCAGCCGACACTCAGCCTCTCTCGCTCCCTATGGACGCGCCACGCCCGGATAACTATCAGACTCGTATGGTTTCATTGCGTTATCCGATGGACACTCGCCAGGAGATCTAGAATCAGAATCAGAAAGGGTTTTATTCGCCATGAAAGTTTGCACAAACAAGGAATTTACTATGGCAGGAAGGTGCATACATTCAACATGTAGGAATCTTAAAAAAACTTAAATAAGTGGTATACAGTCGAACTATACTAAAATTACAAAGTCTAACTAATACTCAGGGGCTATTTTTATGACGTGAGGTTTTGGTCCTGATGGACCGCAGCCTTCTGCCGGAGGGGAGTAGCTGGAACAGAGAGTGTCCAGGGTGAGAGGAATCGGCCACAATCTCCCTATAAACTTTCTTTTATTTTACCAGGTAAGGCCCACTCGGAGTTACGCAGCTCTTTTTCAGAAGTGACCAAGCTACAAATGATAACTCAAATAAGTGGCTTGTCACGTGGAAATTTACAGGACCAAAGCACTCGAAATGCACGTTTGTTAATGTGGAGGGAAAAACCGGAGGACCCGGAGAAAAATCCAGGCGACCGCAGAGAGAACATGCAAACTCCAAATATACAGGCATCATGGTGGTGATTGAACCCACGACCTTCTGCATACCAGGCGAGAGAGATAACCTCCCGCCACTGCAGCGCCCTCACCCATCCAACGCGTGGGAAGGAACGCACTCCTCAGCCATGCGATGTCCAGGACACGTTTCGCAAAACACGCTTTTTTTTATTTACAACGCGTGCCACGCTCTTGCAACACGGGCGGCGACGGTCGGCACCCATGCCCCCCCCCCCCCCTTGTTTTTCCACCTTCCCCCCTTCACACACACCCCCCTCCAACCTTTTATGTTCAGGCGAGCCAGGCCATATTGGTGCCCCAGGATTTCCAGGACCGCGTGGAGAGAAGGGAGATGCCGGCCTTCCTGGCTCCGGATTGCCAGGTCTTCCTGGACTCGACGGATCTCCCGGTTTCCCAGGGATTGCTGGGCCCCCGGGCATTCCTGGACAATTAATAATAGGTAATGAAAACAAACACACACACACACACGCACGACAATTTAGTACTAAACTATTAAAGTATTTAAAATTTACCAGGTAAGGCCCACTGAGCTATGTAGCTCTTTTTCAGAAGCGACCTGGCCACAAATGACAGCTCAATGAAGTGGGTTATCATCATGTGAACATTTTTAGCCACCAAATACTCTAAACGCATGTTTATAAATGTGGAGGGAATAAATGGGAGGCCCCGGAGAAAAATCCATGTGGCCACGCGGAGAGAGAGAACATGTAAACTCCAAATATACAACAGGCGTCAGGGTTGGGGTCGAACCCACGACCTCCTGTATGCCAGGGGAGGTAGTTAACATCTCGCCGCCGTGACATGGCGGTGGTTCCGCTGCGGAGGCAGCAGCGAGTGCTGGGTGTGTGGACATTGTCCCACGTTACGCTACGGAGAGAGCGATGGCTCAAATTTTCTATAGATTTATGTGTGCGTGTGCACGTTTGTAAGCGCGTGTCTCCCATGCGTCATAGGTAGCACGGACATAAATTAATTGGTTCTCTGTTGGAATGTGCATTAGCAATCGCCAGGCGCATGCAGGGTCAACTTGTTTTAAGCCTGTGACCAAATCGCCTGGAATGCTTGCAGTCTCGTCAGATTTTGGAAGCTAAGTGGGTGCGAGCCTGGAGAGCGCTCTGATGTGCGGCCACCACCGTGCACTAAACGGGTGCTATAGGCTGCTGCTGTTGTGGGGCTACCCTGTCAGCAGAGGGCAGTGCGTCACAATCTATCGTTGTACTGCACTACGCCGCAACGGCTTTTGCTCCCACGACCGTCACCAACCCGACGTATCCGGCGTAGTGAAGAAAGCGTGCCTTAAACAACCACGCCCCGCTCCTCCCAAGACGCGCAACTTCTCGTCGGAGGAGCTCGTCCTGCCGGCAGCGGATCGAACACGAGCGCTGTGCACGTACGGCGCAAATTGTCGGGTCCAAAAGGACCGCGCGCTGTGGGTGGGTCGCGACGAATGGAACTTTGGGTTAACGGCGACTCGAGCCCCTGATGTTCTCGTTTGTGTGCTTGCCGATCATGCAGACCCTAACTATAGGGGTGATGGACAAATTGGAGACCCAGGCTCCAGTGGGCCTCACGGACATCCTGGATCGGCCGGTGACAAAGGAGATCAAGGTGTGTAATCGGAGGCCATTGTCCTCTGCAATAATAATACAATACGTACTCTTCCTGTGTAATGTATCTATGTTGAACTTATTTTGCACGGTACGTAGCCAACCGTGCTAATCGGAGGTAGCGGGGGAAGGACAACAAACTAAACACAAAAAGCAGCTCTAAAGAAATTACTTTTCAATCTAGATGATGAATTAAAAGTGCAAAGCTCCAGTGGCTTCCTAATATCGGAAGGAAGAGCGTTCCAGACGGCCGCAGACGCCGAATCTGAAAGCGCGCGATGCGGTGACCGTCTTTGTTCGACGGTTAGCCAAAAGCCGCTGCGAGGATGACCAGAGTTTGCGTCACTGTTTTATGCTCCTTGGCGAGATCAGCAGCAAGGCATTGTGGTTCATTTGTGGCAAGCACTTTGTGCGAGTGCGACCTTACATAGTAAAATAATGAAAGTAATGAAAGGGAAAGGCGCAGCCCCGCAATTGCTTGCTCACGCTACTGCTGACAGAAAGGGCTCCACTAGTAGGAGCCCGAGAAGGAATGTTGTCCACTCTCACTCTGGCCAGACGTTTTGGAACGAGGTGGGTGTACCCACCTCTTTACCTGGCTTTCACTCCGCTTCCCTCTCCCGTATTCTCCACACTGGCAAATGAAAATAGATTCGCATGCAAATTGATGCATGTCAACATGCATTTTTTTTTGTTCGCATATGTTCTACCTCACATTGTCAGGTGATATGTTTATACGTCAATTATTTATATGACTATGAATTAAATAATCCTCACATTCTTGAACACCTCGGCTCTAACTATGGACCGATCCGTTATCTTACACTCGCTGCGCATCCTTCCCCGGGCTCAGATGACCATCGACATCTATGTGTCACTATATTTACCCGTGTCACAAAATGCACTTGTACATTAATCGTCTTTTAAAAACGTTCTCGTCTGAATTGATGCCTCGCCTCTATCCCACCTCTTGTCCACTGCCTTTCGCGCCTTTGAATGTCCCCCACCCCCCCGCCGGGTTTACACGCTCCTCCCAGAAGTTGACACGGGGCATGTCCAAGCCATTGCCATTCACATATTTTACTCAATCTCTCTGGTCTCGTCCCTGGCGTGCTCCTCTCATCGCGCGCCCGTGTTTCTGCGCTCTCCCACAGGAGACCCGGGCGACTGTGCTTGTAACGGTGGCGGTGGTGACTCCGGATTTCGTGGACCGCCAGGGTTAGCCGGTCCGCCAGGGCAAACAGGAAACCCAGGTTATCCCGGGCAGAATGGGTTACCCGGAGACCCCGGCCTTCCCGGCAATCCTGGCCAGCAAGGAATTCGGGTGAGACTCGGTTTTGGGTCAGATCACGTGGTAGTTTTATGCAGGTGTGGAAATGGGTCGGAGCGACCCATAATACCGTGAGGGGTGGGGGGAGTGAACATTTTTACTTGACTTAGTTCCAGAAGTGTAGCGGCGGAGAGGCTACATAAATCTAAAGATATCATTCGCAATTGCCCATCTGTCACGCTCTGGATCTCCCAGTACATGGGAGGAAAATATTCATACAATTGTGTAAAAGGTCGGCGAATATGTCTTCACATGGATATCAAATCTTGCTTTATCGTTTTAAATGAACATGCTTCAGAAACGAGCAAAAATGGAATGTATTCGTTAATGCTCGTGTCCGCCTCCCCCTTTTCGCTCACTCAGTTGGTACGGTCCAGATCCTGGGGGGGGAGGATCGTAGCATTTATGAGTTCCCCCAGTAATTTCTTCTCATTTCCAGCCCGAGTTTTAAGCCAAAATTCAACACCTGGTTGACCACTCTAGGATCACAAGTGGCTGTGAAAACCGAAGCGCTAACATTTTCATTCGCATTTTAATCGGTTCACATTAGTCGGCATTGAGTAGTAAGCAATTTGACGAGTTAACAGTCAAAAATCAACAGATGAACTGATTTCAAGTTTAAAATAGAGATATATTTATCAATTTAACACTGAAAAACTCCATCATGGGTGGGTCAACACATTCTCTTGTCCGTCTAGGGTTTTTCTGGAGAGTTTGGTATTCAAGGACCCAAAGGACAGAAAGGAGACTCATACATCCCAACTTTGAAAGGTGAGTCTTCTGTTTTGTATGCTGCCATCGTGTGATGGTTAACACACTGGCTGGACATGGTGTCCTTATTAGCACACCAGACTTGCAACCCAGGGGTTGCTGGTTGCCGTGGTAGTGAGTTGTTAACTCCCTCGCCTAGCATGCAGGAGTTTGTGGGTTCGATTCTGACCCTGACGCCTGCTGTATGTTTGGATTTTGTATGTCTCTCTCCCCATGGTCGCGTGGATATTTCTCTGGGTCCTCCACATTTATAAACATGCGTTTAGAGTATTTGGCTGCAATAAATGTCCGCAATATCAGTCACTTCATTGAGCTATCACATGTGGCCAGGTCGCTTCTGAAAAAGAGCTATGTAGCTCAGTAGGCCTTACCTGGTAACAAGTATAACCCGTAAAAACAAAGTTTTTCACTATAAATCCTTTATATGCGTGGCGGCTAGAGTCCTCTCGTCCTCTGGCTTGAGATGGCTGCCACCTATGGGTCAGATGATTGCATTGCACCATTAAGCAATTGGTAATTAAATATAATATTTTTGTCCTAAAAAGTGTAAAATTTTGGGAAAAAATTTTCACGAACATTAATTGTCACGCACAACGAGTCTGTGTGGAAAATGTCAGCTCGATTGGATCACGGGAAGTGGGTTAAAAAACGACCGAAAGATTTGCACGGTCGTAAGCAAGCAAGCGAACTTAATATAAAAGATTTTTTTTAAAGTTTTTTTATTTTCACCCAGCAGTACAAATGGGTTCAGCACAGTTTGAGCGATCGACAGGTCCCATGCGATAAGGCAGACTGGAAGAGTAGGCCAAATATCCATTCTAGAGGGGCTCTCTAGAACGCCTTCTAGCGGAGGTCCTTCCGCCAGCAGTGACGTGAGCGGCACGTTGGAGGGCTCCATCAGCGCCGATGCCCTTCTGTTGTGAAGTTTGTCCGCTGTTAATTCTGTAATGCACAATGCTGTTGGATTTTTTTTACGTATGTATTTTGAACTTCTTTCACACCGTACGGAGCCAAGCGTGCTCATCGGAGGTGCGGTGGAAAAATTGGAGGTGTGGGGGATTTATTTTAATCTTCAACAATTTTATCCAGACTTAGTTTCAGATTATCATGAGTTGAAACCTAAGGATTTCCCTCTTACTTGATACATCTATCGTGCTGTGACGGTTCCACCTGAAGACGGAGGCTTGTGTTGCCTCCGAAACGTCGTGATTTTTATTTTATTTAATTTTACTTTTATTAATTTTAATTTTAATTTTTTACCTACGTGACTTTACCGAAAAAAACCTAAGAATAAGGATTTCCCATTGACATTGTTATTATTTCTACGATTGTTTTATCCCAGGAAAGGCCCAGTGAGTCTCAAGACTCGTTCCTTAGGAGGGTCCTGCCAGGTTGTTGCAGTTTGGGTGGTGATTGTTACTAGTTTCCTAGTCAAGTAATTTGCGAGTGATTTTTTCATATTTGGCTATCCACATTTTATATATATATTTAGAAACGATTATTCTTATTATTTAAAAGCATGATTTATATATTCTATTTGTGTTAGTCTGCTGTTGAACACTTGAATCAATTTTTTGAAAATATATATTTTGCCTTTATTCAATTAGAATTTAATCTTGTTTTTTTCAGTTCCAGCGTCACATTTTAATATTGTGCTTCGGAACACGACTTATAATCCACAAATTATTTTGTTTGCATTTTGTGGGGAATACAACAAGGGTTGCCCTATAGCGTCACTCTCCCCCACCATAAGAATGTGGAATTTCCACGCCTGGCTCTTCTGGGCTGTGAGCAGGAGATTAGCATAAATTGCCACAATACTCGTATGAGCAGAAAGTGACTCCCACATAACTGATAGAGGAAAGCGGTTTATGTGGTTACTCGGAGCCTATTTATTACACAGCATATATCACACACTGTATAACTACATTCACAGCATAGCCGCAGGAATATAATCGTTCATTACGGCATTACATATTAATGCGGCAGTCGTTTCCACCATGTAAACCATTGCCACGTAATTAAGATACAGCGACTCTGCAAAGTGTGTTCCTGTCCGCACGCAATACTGCTGATGCTGAGCGATGAATAAAAACATTCTTTGGCTGAGAACCAGAATTGCTGAGAGTCCTGAAATTGATTTTTTTTTTCAAACTGCTCCAATATGCAGAGAGAGAGAGATGGAAGGCAGCGGATTGTGGGCAGTGTTGGCTCCGTTGTAAATCCCACCACGCAGCTTCACACTTGCTCTCCCCGTGCACGTAAGGTAATGTATTGGCCGTTTGAAGCGTAGCTTAAGTGATGTCACGGGTACGTGGAGTTGAGGTGGTGCTGTATTCACTCACTGGCCACGTGGCTCCTTTGTTAGAGCGAGCAGCTCGCGATCGGGGAGGTTGCGAGTTCACATCCTGGTTGGGGACTGACTCAGCCCATCATTCCTCCGAAGCAAGTAGCACATTGTGGGGGGAGTATCAACAGGGATGGTGTCATGGAGAGGCTCAGCCCCTGCCAGAGTCATGTGGAATTTCCAACACTAGCTCAGGGCTGTAAGCGGGAGATGAGCATCGCCACAATTATCATTTGAGTAGGAAATCCCTTTGACGTTCATATGCACTAGCTTGCATTGTAGAGGGGGATATTTGCGTGTGTGTGTGTTTTGTCGTGGGGAGTGGTGGCGTCGCGGTTAGCGTGCTGCGCTACGAATGCGGCGAACCAAACTCAATTCCCGCCCACGGCCTAACACCAGTCACGATTGTCTGAACTGGTTCTTGGCCTCCCCTAGGTCGACTTGAATGAGTACCTGGTGCGGTGTGTAAACATCGCCACTGGGGAGACAAAGGCAGCAGGCCGTGGTGCTGGCCACCCACCCCCTCATTTGCCGTTCCGGCCTTCGTAGGTGCTCGCTAACAGCACTTGCCTCAACAGTCTGTGAAGGCTACACGGGGGATCTTTGTCGTGTCAGTGCACAGGTCCCAAAGGAAACCGTGGCGATCCAGGATTCCCGGGGACTTCAGGAGCACCAGGCCAGCCCGGCAGAGATGGGTTCCCAGGACAGCCGGGTGCAAAAGGACGTCCCGTACGTCTCGGCTGACATCTGCTGCTCACTCCTTGATTGTAACTTTGACCAAAAAGGCTCGCAGCATAGATCTACTTGAATTGAATTCGATCATTCCTTCAGGTTGATACGGTCTACACATTCACAATAAGACCGCATTTAATGTGTTGTCCTATAAATGGACTTGCCCCCGTGATAGGAATGTGGAATTTCCATCACTGGCTCCAGAGGGCTGTAAGCAGGAGACAAGTACCGCCTCAATGCTCGTTTGGTCGGGAAATTATGTTTGACTCTTCGAGTTCCCATTGATGACCCACTTGAGTTGAGTGGTGCGATCTCGAGATGCAGGGCAATTCAGTTCGTCCGAAAAGAGTGGCACGTGAGTTGGGCAGCTGATTTCTAAAAATGCTGGTGAGTTTCGATTTAAAGCTTTCGTGACTGCAGGGATTCATCTTCTTGGTTCGAGATCGCACCACTCAACTCAAGTGGGTCATCAATGGGAACTCAAAGAGTCAAACATAATTTCCCGATCAAACGGGCATTCTACGTGACTTTACCGAAAGAACCAAGAAAATGCTGGTGAGGAAATGGCCAAAAACGGATTGCCAATGACGAAATGTGAAATGCCTGCGTTGACAATTCGCAGGGCCTATAGAACGTTGTCAAAACACCCCGTCTCAGTGTGCATTTGAGCAGGAAATGTACTTCAACTCTTGACTTGTAATTGCTTGGGACAGGGCGATGGTGGGCAGGGCCTGGTTGGTGACAAGGGAATGCCAGGCTTCCCAGGAGTTCCTGGCCAGCCTGGAGCGATTGGAGCAACTGGACCAGGATTCCCAGGAGCTCCAGGCTCACGAGGGCCTGCTGGAGAGCCCGGACAAGAAGGATATCCTGGGCCCATCGGACCTCCAGGAATGCCAGGTACCCATCAGCACAGAAGCACATAAAACTTCGATTTAAAGCTTTCGTGACTGCAGGGATTCATCTTCTTGGTTCTTTAGGTAAAGTCACGTAGAATGGAAATAATAAAATAATAAAAATAAAACATAATAAAATATTATGAAATATTTTGTTATGTTTTATTTAAATAATACAAATAAAACATAACAAAATATTTTATAATATTTTATTATGTTGTATTTTTATTATTTTATTATTTCCATTCTACGTGACTTTACCGAAAGAACCAAGAACCATGAAGAAGCACATAAAACTTACAAACAGCCATGACCAAAACCAGCCCAAAACAAGGGTGCAGAGAATGTACCCACAAGTTTCGATTTAAAGCTTTCGTGACTGCAGGGATTCATATTCTTGGTTCTTTCGGTAAAGTCACGTAGAATGGAAATTAAAAAATAATAAAAATACAACATAATAAAATAATATAATACCAATACCCACAAGTGTTTAGCTGCTAATGACAGTTTGCTGGTGACCTAATTGAGTAACTTTGACCACATAGTCATTATTTCAAAGATCAAGAACACAGAACATTAAGGGCCTTTCCAGCTCTATAATAGCGATAATTAAATGTTCACAATTATTAAAAGAACAAAGCATGGGTATTTGGCAAGGGGGTACTTATGAATGCGTGTTGGCAACGTTTCCTCGATAGGGCTGTTGCAAAAGGCACAAAATAAATGTCCCTGCTATCGCTCTCCAATGCAGTGGCATTCATCGCTTACGATGTTTTTGTGCATATACGGTACTGGCGCCTGTTGTGGGATTCTCCTGCTATTAAGTTGGCTTTGTCATCACACCCCTCCAAAATGTCGTGACACCTGTAAAACTGATTCATTGAAAATGTGAAGTCATGTTTTGGTTCAGTCCCCGTTGGAACATGGATACCGCCTTCCATCGGGCCTTCGCTCAAAAGTGAAAGAGTTCAAAATATGTTCCCGGGGCGTGATGACGCGCGGCCTGTAATCCCGTGCTTCGGAGGCAAAGATTTGTAAACCCTCAACAACCACGGGGCTGTGAGGTCACCAGGAAGGGGTGGTGGTGGCAGTACAGCAAGTGGGTTTTCAACCCCCATCTGTGCAGACCGTGCAAGTGATATCCCCTCCTCTCTGGGTGCTTTAGTTAACTCTTTACATGAAAAGGACTTCAAAAAGAAAAGTCTTGGCCAAACATGCCAATGCATCATAACCGCTTCGAGGCCCTTTGAGATTTTAATGGATCAATAAAAAACAACTATTTTCATTATTGTGTATTAGGTGGTCGTACAGGTGACCCCCGACTTACGACGGCTCAACTTGCGACCCCCCGCTTTTACGACCTTTCTCATCTTAATTAAGATCCCCCACAGTAACGACCAAAACTCGTATCTACGACCGCCTAACGACTGCTACCGATGCGGAGTCGATTAGCGACGAGTCTGCGCATCGTCAACCGCAGACGAGTCGCCGCATGGCGCTGCTTTTCTCTTCCGCCGTGTGCGTATGCCGAGTGTAGCCCGACAGTCTGCAGCTGCGGCGAGAGCGAATGCAGCAACGTCTCTTTCTCAACGCTCATTAATTTTTTTGTTTAAAAAAATTTCAAATAAAAAAAATCGCCTTTCGCCATGTCCGAGAAGAATAAATTTGATGCACACGCAGACAAGTACTTGAAGATTTTAAAATGTAAGTGTTTGTTTTTACTTAGTAAATGTTGGTAAGCGTTATGTTGAGTTACAAAAAATGTTTGTTAGGGTTATTTTCATTTATTTTCATAGTCAATTTTGGTATTTTTATGGTACGTAATGGATTTCCAGGAACGGAACCCCAATGTATAACATGGTGCCCTATGGGAGATGAGGATTCGAGTTACGACTGCTCCACTCGCGGCCGTCATCCAGGAACCTAATTAGATCGTAGGTGCGGGGGTCACCTGTAGTTAACTATACTCGCTGATCCAGATGTCTTGTGACCAACAAATTATTGACCCCTAACATTGTTCCCCTTTGCATATTAATTTCTGTTTTAAATAAACCTTACTTTGAAGATGTTCAGTTTTAGAGAATGAAATGGGGGTGTCACAAGACATCTGGCCCACCCCCGTGCTTCGCGAACGAAGCCAGGGAGGTCGTGCGTTGCTCGCGTTGTCGCGAATACGAAGATGAGATGTCGTGGCTTTCTCCTTTTGAATATGCGCAGGTGATGTCCTGCCGTGTGTGATTCCTGGACCGGCCGGGAGCACAGGCCCCCCGGGACTTCCAGGAGGTCCAGGTACGCACGGCCTGAAGAGGCCGTCACCACAACAAACATCAAGCAAAAGGGCCAGCAGCAGCAGCAGCAAACGGCACAATCAAAGTGGTTCCTTACAAAGAGTTGACGCGTTTGGTTGAATTGAGCGAGGTTATTATTGCAAGGGCTTGGGGCGGGGTTGGGGGCGAAGAGACGGCGGAGAGTATTGCAAAATGAAGTGGTACGTTGGGGCGAAACGGAAAGAAAAGAGTCGTGACCTGCAGTGTGGTGGGTGGGTGGGTGAGTGGGTGGGTGGGTGGCTGGGTGAGTGGGTGGCTGGGTGGCTGGGTGGGTGGGTGTGTGGGTGGCTGGCTGGGTGGCTGGGTGGGTGGCTGGGTGGGTGGCTGGCTGGGTGGCTGGGTGGGTGGGTGGCTGGGTGGGTGGCTGGGTGAGTGGGTGGCTGGTGGGTGGGTGGCTTGGTGGCTGGTTGGGTGGCTGGGTGGGTAGGTGGCTGGGTGGGTGGTTGGGTGGTTGGGTGGGTGACTGGGTGGCTGGGTGGCTGGCTGGCTGGCTGGGTGGGTGTGGGTGGCTGGTGGGTGGGTGGCTGGGTGAGTGGGTGGCTGGGTGGGTGGCTGGGTGGGTGTGGGTGGCTGGGTGGGTGGCTGGGTGAGTGGGTGGGTGGCTGGGTGGGTGGGTGGCTGGGTGGGTGGCTGGGTTGGTGGCTGGGTGGCTGGGTGGGTGGCTGGGTGGCTGGTTGGGTGGCTGGGTGGGTGGGTGGCTGGGTGGGTGGGTGTTGTTGTGACCTGCAGTGTGTGATGGGTGAACAAGGTATGCTCTAAAAAATCCTGATTCACCCCTAATAGTTGCCACCGTTCCTGGTTTTCCCAACATCGTCCTCATGTGTAGTTTTCTCTGCTTCCATAATTGTGAGGTATTCACCTTTACAGGATATGTCCCAGTTGTTTTGTGCCAGAGGTGGCAAGCCTACTATCCTTTCATTCTCAAGATGTAACAGATTATGTGTGTATGTATGTAGCCAACCGTGCTAATTGGAAGCACGATGCTGCTGCGTTGTTAATGGTGCGCAAGCACAGACAACAACAACATCAACAAGCAGCTCAACACATTTGTCAAAACACGTACTTTAAACATTTAAAGTATGTAACAGGTGACGTTTCGAGCAATGACCTTTCTTCACAGCACACAGACTGGCCATGTGAATGCTTCCCTCCCTATCTGTAAAAAGTATTCATACGCGCTTGCATTTAGATGCTTTATAAATCCAAACTGTCATTGTATTTTTTCATCTTTTGTACCAGGCCCGAAGGGGGAGTCTGGTTTCCCAGGAGTCCCCGGGCAGCCTGGATTTACCGGGCCGAAGGGACAGCCTGGTGACCCAGGCTGGGTAACGTCCCCTGGTTCACCAGGTATGACAGCGCACCGCACTCCTCCTTACGTGTGCCCCACCTGCCCGCACTCGAGTCTTGTTGGGTGCCACGGTAGTCAGATGTTTACTATCTCGCCTGGGTTCGATCCCCAACCCTGACACCTGCTGTATATTTGGAGTTTGCATGTTCTTCCCGGGGTAGCGTGGATTTTTCTCCGGGTCCTCCGGTTTTTCCCTCCACGTTTAGCATTAACACCACGCGTTCAGTGTATTTGGCTGCTATACATTTCTACGCGATAAGCCACCTTGCTGAGCGATCATTTGTGGCCCGGTTGCTTCTGAAAGAAAGCTATGATAAGCTCAGTGGGCCTTACCTGGTGAAATAAAAGTAAAAGTTTCTCGTTTTGTTGCTCACGTATTATGGCATTTTACTCTTTTCCCCGATACTGTTATGAGACAGGAAAGCCTCCACTTGGAACCCTTGCAGCTGCCAGTGCACCACCATGTGTTATAAAACAGCTCTGGAAGGTGACAGTGTCACGGAGCGAACTTCCAAAGTCGCTTCAAGTGGGCCCCCAGTAGCCAGTGTGAGCTCGATGTTCTCTGCGAGTTTGGAATTTAAAAAAATATCCTCACCGATTTAAAGCTTTCGTGACTGCAGGGATTCATGTTCTTGGTTCTTTCGGTAAAGTCACGTAGAAGGGAAATAATAAAATGAAAAAAAATATATTATTTCCCTTCCACGTGACTTTACCGAAAGAACCAAGAAGTTGGTTTCTCTGATCAAGGACATCTCATTGTCTCCAGATGATTTGCTTGTCAGTGTCGATGTAGTCTCTCTGTTCACCAAGGTTCCTGTACCTGACACCATTGCAATCATCGAAGACTTTGTCCAACAGGGACTGAATCCTGATGTACCAACTTTGGTGAGGCACTGCCTTACCAACACTTACTTCACCTGGAATGGTACATTCTACAAAGAAAATGAGGGTACCCCAATGGGTTCTCCCTTATCGCCAGTGGTAGCCAACATCTTCATGGAGAAATTTGAGACGGACGCCATCCAGACTGCCACTCTACGCCCGACCTTATGGAAGAGGTACGTAGACGACACTTTTGTCATCTGGCCACATGGCCGGCCTGCTCTAGACCAATTTCTCGACCACATCAATTCCATACACCCAGCCATCAGATTCACCATGGAAGTCGAAAATGATGGCAAGCTACCCTTTTTGGATGTCCTAATCAAAAGGAGACCTGATGGTTCAATGAGCCACTCTGTCTACAGGAAAGCCACCCACACGGATGCTTATCTAAAACCGGATTCCCACCACCATCCATCTCAGAAGAATTCCCTCATCAAGACTCTATATCATAGAGCCCAATGCATCTCCGACCATGAACACATTTCCAGTGAACTCAAACACGTACGCCAAGCTCTTAAGGCAAATGGTTACTCCGACTATACAATCCGCAAAGCCATCACTCCAACCATCAAGAAGGATCCTGTTGAGGAGCCTTTCAAGACCATCACCTTACCCTACATTGCTGGGGTCACAAAAAAGATCTCCAAAATCCTGATTAAACACAAGATCCAGGTCCGATTCAACACAGTACATAAAATCCGTGATCTGGTACCGTCTGTAAAAGATGTGGTTCCAGACATACAGTACCCTGGCGTCTACAAACTAAGTTGCCTCTGTGGTAGCAGTTACATTGGGGAAACCAAACGACATGTCTCGGACCGCATCCGTGAACATAAAGCTGACCTGAAACACGGTAGGACTAACACCTCAGCCGTGGCAGATCACTGTTACAACTCAGTGGGCTCACATGATATTGACTTCTCCAAGACAGAGGTTCTCTGCAAGCCATCTGGCTATCATGAGAGATTCGTTCATGAGGCGATCCACATATACAAACACAGAGACAACTTTAACCGAGAAGATGGATTCTGGCTCAGCAATCATTGGAAGGACGTAATAAACCATTTCGATACACATTAGGGTGTGTAGAATAATACATAGTGTGACATTAAATGTATAAGATATAGGTTGGTTTACAGCAATACAGTATATAATTTAATGTTGGGTTTATCTATGGCAGTATATAGTACGGTATATGCTCGTGTGATGTAAGAGAATAAGGTTTAGATGGAAGCATATTATAGAATTTTTACGAGGTAAAATTGTAATGTATTACTTGCTGTTAGTAACTCAGCTTATTATAGAGTATAGTAAGTATACTGATGGTGCGATGCAGTTTATACTTTAGTTTTTTATGTAGTTTATACTTTAGTTTTCTACGTGTTGTTGAGTAACTGCAGCTACATATCATTAACATTCCTTTCCTTTGTTACTGCTAATCCCTGCACCCCCCTTGGTTGCTGCTGATCCTGCATAATGCATGGGCATAATATGACTTTGACACCCCCCCGCCCAACGCCTACGCATTTTCCATGAATATGCTAAATCCCTCTTCACATGCACATTCTTTTTGTTAAGGCGCTCTTCAACCCCCAATGCAGCTTATATATAAGCTCCTAGTTTGGTAGTGTCTCATTCTTCACCTGAAGACGGCTGCTTGCGTTGTAGCCGAAACGTCGTGAGAATTGTTTTATTATGTTTTATTTTTATTATTTTATTACTTCCCTTCTACGTGACTTTACCGAAAGAAACAAGAAGATATCCTCACCGCTCGCCAATGGTGCTGTGAGCACAATTGAAATATGATCTCGGAGGGGAAAAAGCAGAAAACAAAGTAAAAAAAAATTTTAAGTTGCGTGACCAGCAGGAGAATGCTTAGCTGTAAAGTTCAAGCGTTGAATTAAAAATAAATCATATGCCATCCTCCACTCCTTTCTATGCCCTTTCTACCCCTACTTTAAACAGTTTTCTGTTAAACTGAGTTGTGGAATTTTATGAGATGCCATTTATCAACATAAAATGCGACTCGGTCAATGCAACGTGCTTCACTTGCATGTAACGGATTGCTTGGTCATGCTGCTGCTGCATTGACAATGGCGCGCATGTTTCAATTAAAATAATTATAAAAGTTTTAATTAACATATGACCTGGATTTTATAGATGCTCTGGAAAGTAACACGCACTCAAAACTACTTCCCAGCATCAATACAAATCTGGTCACACCCACATACACACTCTTAATGGATTACAAGAGGCGCCTATACAATCGCTTTAAAATATAAAGAAATCATATGCATCCTAGAGTTTGGGGAGAATATGGTAACGACAAGAAGGGCCTGGGTTCGATTCCCTCTTGTATGTTCTCCCTCTGTTCTCTATGAGATTCTTCAAGGTTGTCTATTTATCTTCCAAAGCTATAAAAAAACACGCAAAATGTAAATGGTATTGGCCAAACATCACGACTCTACAAAAACATTACCTGTAAGTGACTCAGTTTGGATGACACTTTTCAACATTGCCCTCTACTGTGGACAGCTTGTGCAGGACCCTGCTTTACGTTAGAGTGTGCGTGCACATAAGACAGCTCGGTTGATTGGGAAGCAGAGCTCACAATTCTGAGGCCATGAGTTGAAATCCTAACCAGGGTATAGAGTTTGTTCCACTATCATCAGTAGCAGCACCACTGTCACCATTACCACGCTCATGACCATCACGAAGAGCTTCATAGCTTCCACGAACATCACAATCACCACCATCAACAAGAATTTCTAATAACATTGCAATACATTCACTCCTTCCCAACCGTCACACTTAGGCCAACAAGGTGAGCGGGGCGACCCAGGAGTACCCGGTTCTCCGGGTTTCTTGGGACAGCCCGGCCTGCCAGGGAAACCTGGATTGCCCGGAGTCCACGGAGCAAAGGGCGAGAGAGGCGACGTTCTGTTCGCCACTCCCGGAGAACCCGGGGATCCGGGGAGACCGGGATTTTTGGGAATCAAGGGAGAGAGGGGCACGCCAGGCCGGCCCGGCATGCCAGGTGAGAAGACCAGCGGCGTCACATTTACTCTTCACGAATTCCCACGTTCTTATTGCTTAAATAAATGTCTTTATTTTTGCTCGTATTTCTATTCGCTTCATCGCTGTCCTTCGTTTCACCTCATTGCTTTTGTCATTTTGGTGTGCCAAGTCACTGTTGACAAATGAGACTCGTGCTGTGTATGTGTGTTCTCGCCCGCTTCAACGAAGTCAACTTCAAACCGCAAACAATCGTTACGTGTGCAGTGCACCTGTCATCACCATCGCGATCCTCCGATGCAACATTCCACCCAGCACCTTCAACTGATTTCATTGCTCCATCTCCTGCGTGGGATGACCGTCTCGAACACTTTCCATTCTTCGGCCGTCACTCCGTCGTGACCCTTGACCCGTCGTCTGTCGCGGCGGTGTGCGTTCTGCCCAAGCGTGGTTTGGACAATGTCCTTCGTCTCCGCATGTTTCCCTGATCCGTGCGTTCCTCCGTCTGCCTCTCAGCGTAATCCCTGGCATGCGTCTCTCCGCGTTCCTTGGTACACTTTCACTTTTTTGTTCTCCACCTTTTTTTTTTCTCACGACCCTGTTTCCAAAAACGCACCTCGACAGCAGGTGGCACGCACCCATTGTTCTCCAGGTGGCACGCACCCATTGTTCTCCAGGTGGCACGCACCCCATTGTTCTCCAGGTGGCACGCCCCCATTGTTCTCCAGGTGGCACGCACCGATTTCCTTCGGTTGACAGCCTGCCGCATGCACCGTTGGCGTCGCGTACATTTCGTCCAAATGCCCACCGCCGGCGCGTGTGTGTGCGTGTGTGTGTTCCCCCGCCGCCCCTCGCGGTTCCCTTACTCAGGAGGGGACGGTCGCCCCGGCGGTAACGGATTCAAGGGAGAACGAGGCAAAGACGGGCAGCCAGGCTTCCCCGGGAGCCCCGGACCCCCCGGCATTTCCGGGGGTGATGGATTCCCAGGGCCGCCTGGGCCCCCTGGTCCACTCGGCCCACCTGGAAGAGCAGGTGACGTGGCGTTCCCTCGCGAGTTCACCTGGCACTCTCTGTGCCGTACCTCTGGCCGCTTGTGCATCTTTTTCGCGACTTGAATTGTAACCTCGAGGTGGCTGGGTGGCTTAAGGGACGGGGTTGAGTTACGTAACGTAACTTTAAGCGGTCATTTCCCTCCCCGAATTTAGATTTATTTAGATAGGGAAAAATTAAGGGAAATTTCCACTCGAGTTTGATTTATACAACCTGACCCAGAGCACTGAGCTGGCACTGCTGAGATCCTGGGTACAAATTTGGGATGCAGCCGCCCATTATTTATACAGTTGTACAAGCATAGTGAGTTGTTTGGCTTAGCCTTGTGACTAAAGACAGCGCACACACACAGACACAAAAGTAATCACAAAATATGTCTTCTTTTCCACTCAGTCTGACAAAATGTCAGCGTGAAGAAATAATGATAATATTGTTTTGACTGCCTGTGTCCTCTCGTGTAGAATAAGTCCTGTGACGTCCGATTCTGCGGGCCGTTCTCTAACACGGGGCAATGCACTGCTCTGCGAGAGGTCCGAAACGGACGCTAATTGTGCAAATATCACAATTATATAATGAGATACAAGTTGTGATAAAGTGTACATTTAAAATTAAACAACGTTTTAACTTAAACTATCTTAATATTTTTTATTTAAAGCTTTCGCGACTGCAGGGATTCATATTCTTGGTTCTTTCGGTAAAGTCACGTAGAAGGGAAATAATAAAATAATTCGAATATAAAATCATCAGGCGATGATGACTTGTAACACAAGCAATCATTATCACCTGATGATGATTTGCTTGTGTTGCAGTCGAAACGTCGTGAGAATTTTTTATTGTTTATATTCGATTTATTTTATTATTTCCCTTCTACGTGACTTTACCGAAAGAACCAAGAATATGAATCCCTGCAGTCACGAAAGCTTTAAATCAAATATTATTAAGATAGTTTATGCTAAAACGTTGTTTACATGGCGTTGTGCAGGCAAATTGCATCTCACGCGGGCTGGAAGGTAGCCAGGCGGTGAGCCTGCACCAACAGTTACCCAAGCTCTGCAGACCTCTATGTAGATTAAGATGTAGTCGGCAAATGTAATGGTTGTTTATACACGTGATAAGAAACCACAATGGACAGCTGATATTAGCCTCCACTTTGCTGTCCTGCTTTCTCCTGGCGGGCCAGGGTATGGGACCTCCTCGACACCCCCATAGGAAGGAATTTTCACGAAATGTCTGTGCATAGCCACGTCCACCGCCCGCGTTATATTTTTGTCTATTAGAATGCGTTCGTTTGATTTCCCCTAAATGTGCCGGGGGTTTAACGGCACTGCTAATTCTTCGTTGTGTTTACGATACGAATTTTGTCGTGAAGAAACCATCGCAAGGCTACCCTTTGATTTTTTTTTTTATATGTACGCAGCATACATGTACTGTCGAGAGGGATGATCATTAAGTCTGAGCCTCGTGTTATATGGGAGTTAACGCCACAACTGCATTGTTAGTTCTTGTGTGTTTGTGCGTTCGTGCTTGTACGGCCACCCACTTCGCTATGCACCCGGCCAACACCAGTGACGATTATTTGAACTGGTCCCGGACCTCCCCTAGATTAACTCAGCCTCAAAAGAGCACCTGGTGCGGTGTGTAGACATCGCCACTGGGGAGACAAAGGCGATCAGGCGTGGTGCTGGCCACCCACCCCCTCATGTGCCGTGCTGGCCTTCATAGGTGCTCTCTTACAGCACTCCCCCCAAAAGTCTGTTCCGGCCATACGGGAGCTCCTTCTTTTGTACGTACATCACCCACGATGTGCACTTCGTGCGCGATCATGCACATAGTTTGAGGGCAGGTGCGTTTGAAATGCAGGTGCTTTGTTTAAACAAATGTTGCTACGCGTCCATAAACATGCGAGTCTGTGCCATTTGTTGTGTCTCCCATTTCACATGCGTGCGTGTGTGTGCGCGTCTCCATCCATTCCGACCATCTCCTGTTCTGTGTCCATCCTGTATCTCCGTTCAGGTTGCCAAGGTGAGCTGTGACATTAATCGACCATGCCATCGTATCTTGAGGTCACAATCATTCTGATCAATTAGAAAACACACAAGGGCTCTTTTGTTCACTGGCGGACTTAGTCCAACACCGATGCCAAATCAGGCTCGCGTAAACCGGAATGGTAAAATGCATAGCGAGTGACGTGATAGTATGCTTGGAAATGACCGATTCTTCTCTGACCAATCTTGTTTAACACGCGGGTGCACTCTCTTGGCCACGGCCTACAATCCCTTATTCCTGCAGGACAATATTTTCTGCATTTATTTCTTTAATCCCTGCAAAGTGAGCAACTTGCTCGCCAGTTAACCCATTTTGCTCACATCACCTTCCCTGGCTGTCGCGCACGCTGACTCGATCGCGCTTACGCAGATCACAAGGTCTCGTTTTGTTATTAAACCCAAGCTTTCAAATCTTATCCTAACTGCAATGCATTAACCTGCTTTTGTGGTTGAACAAGACAAAGACAAAATGCACATCTCGGAGTGCCCACGAGTCTGGATTGTTGCATTTGACGCCGACGTGCACGATGCACGGACTGCTCCCTGTTGCACATCTGCTCGACTCAATTGGACAGTGGCCTAAGACAAGAGAACCACAATGCACTTCTTCAGGAACTGCTGATGGGTTTTGTTTTGTTTTGCCTCATGCACGAAGGGCCAAGTGCATTTGATACGCTTTGTGTACTCGTTTGGCAGGTTACACTCGCCCCTAAGACCAATCGGCTTTGTGCAATTTTCTCGTGGCCAAGTGTAAGCGATTAAATGCTCCTGTGCGCTGCCCAATTTGCCCAACCAAACACGTTTGATTGTTTTCTTTGGCATCGCGATTGGAGCCAGGAAAACAGAGATTTGATGAAATCCGACACTTTATTGTTACACAAGAGAAAACCCACGACAACAGGCTGGAAACAAATAGATTTAACAGCACGCAAAGAGGTGCGTTGCTCACAAAGGCTTGAGATCCGTCGTGCCGAGCATCATGTGATCAACACATTTCACGTACAATGCTCTCAATGTTATACGTAGACTTCCACGACCAATGTTATTCATTATTCTTTTTTTCGGAGTTATAGACCGTGTAGGTACATTGCCAATTTCTCAATTATAACCCTCTGCCGCCCGGCAGCCATTCGAATCAAGCCGTCACGTCATGGGCGAATGTGCCGACTGCTTTGATCTGTCTTCAAAACCGGAGGAACATTGAAGGGCAACTTAAATGTTGACGAATTCTTGTTTCGACGACGTTAAACTCGAGATTAGGCCCAGCGGCATCGGGTGTCGTCCGAGCAACAAATGCGGCCACACGTTCAGCTCTTGAGCTGGTGGTCTGGATTGACTTGCTGACCCGCCCATACTTTACATCTGCGAAAAAGCGCTTCGGAGCTCATCGGCTTCCTCCTCCATTCTAAATTAGGATTCTGATAAGGCCGAGAGCATTGTACGTGCGACGTGGCGATTGCCCGACGTGCATGCGAGGCGCGATGTGAGCGGCGCGCCTCTGACGTGGTCCCGTTGTTAAATCCACAGAGATTGCTCTTGCGAAGGGGATCGCTAAACGGGATCGCTCACGGGAGGGACTAGACTGCCACTTGTAATGCACGATCTGTCCGTGTCCTCACTCCACCGTCTCCTTGTCTCGACGGCTCTCTCCTTAACTCACCACCGCCAACGTGAGCACGTGGGCATTCCTATAATGCCGAATGGCCACGCGCTCGTTATGGTCGGGGTGCAGGGTGCACGTCACGTGTAATTCGCATTGACCAGTTAACATGTATAGCGGCCTAAGTTTTGGTGAGTGTGTGTGTCTGTGTGTGACACGGTAGGGGGAGCGGTGGGGCAGCGGTTAGCGCGCTGCACTACGAACCCGGCGACCCGAGTTCGATTCCCACTTGCGGCCAACACCACTAACGATTATCTGAACTGGTCCTGGGCCTCCCCTAGGTCAACTCAGCTATAAATTAGTACCTGGTGTGCTGTGTAAACATCCCCACTGGGGAGACAAATGCGGTCGGGCGTGGTGCTGGCCACCCACCCCCTCGTGTGCCGTGCCGGTCTTCATAGGTGCTCGCTAACAGCACTTTCTCTGAAAGTCTGCTAAGGCTAAAAGGGGTATCTTTGTCTTTGTGACACGGTAGGATTTTGCTAAATTTAGCAAAGCACGACCATAGCATTAACATTGCAGGTGAATTTGTACGTTTCTCATCCACTGCACAAGCTAAATAGCAGTACATGTGGTGCCCTATCTCGAAATGCATTTTGCTTTGATTATATGGATGAATAGAATTGCGTAGAAAGGTATATTGATTTAAGAATGTTTTTGCTAACGTTAATTATAAAACTATTACATTGTTTATACGACATGCTTTATGTAATGCAATAGATTAACGTACAGAATATGATTTAATGAAATGATAAATATTACAATTATTCGGAATATGTTATCGTACTTAACACGAGGAAGACAATACATTGTTGTTACCAATTTTCCACCGGCTTTAATGTTTTAGAACAAAAATCTCAATTTGGAGTATTGGCTGTACATCCAGCCAAGGATCAAATTTTTTTGCGCTACGGTTGGCATCTTCCACTTTGAACCCTGGCATGCTGAGTCTGATTCCAAGCCACGGCTAACATCAGTGACAAGGGATATGTGAACTGCTCATGGATCTCTCCCCCCCTTTGCCAACTCACATTGATCGGCGTGGTAAAGTATTTCGATTTAAAGCTTTCGTGACTGCAGGGATTCATCTTCTTGATTCTTTCGGTAAAGTCACGTAGAAGGGAAATAATAAAATAATACAAATAAAACATGATAAAATGTAATTCTCACGACGTTTCGGCCACAACGCAAGCAGCCGTCCTCAGGTGAAGAACAGCTCTGTCGGAAAGACAGCGTCTTGCGTTGTGGCCGAAACGTCGTGAGAATTGTATTTTATTATGTTTTATTTTTAATGTTTTATTATTTCCCTTCTACGTGACTTTACCGAAAGAACCAAGAAGATGGTAAGGTATTGTCGGACAGAGCCCCATGACCGACTTGGCATGGGGGAGGGGGATGCCTTCTACCAGCGGTAGATTGACAAAGGGTTTGTAAACAATAATTCGTTTGATTTGGTGGTATCATATCAGATGAACCTTTGGTTAAACTTATAGTTGCCATGCAATATATTTCCATGCTGTGTTCTAACCTCTAACCCTGTGGCCTGCAGGCAGGCCTGGTCTGAAGGGCTCTCCCGGAGACAGTGGCATCCCAGGCCCCTTCGGGATGAAGGGATTGCCAGGGCCACCTGGGTTTGCGGGCCAACCAGGGTCCAAGGGCTTCCCTGGCCCTCCAGGGAGCCCTGGGTTAAATGGCGTTCCTGGATCTTCAAGTGTGAAAGGTATGTTAATCAGTGCCGGATTAAGCTAGTGCGGGGCCTGTAGCATATGCTATAAAGGAGCTCTAAAAAAACACGTAAATATTAAGACACAAATTGTTAACTTGCATCTTAATTAATTGTATTTTTTAATTTGCTATACAGCCATATAATATGACAAATCGCTAATCTTAAACACCCAGTCGTTCATAAAAGTTGAAAGCAGTATAATACTATAGTAATAGAGCCAAGTGCAGAATCACTGAACCGGAATTGATCGCTTAAAAGCATTTTGCGCGGGGCCGTTAAAAGTGTGGGGCCCGTAGCATTTGCTACTTTTACTACTAGGATAATCCGGCACTGATGTTAATGTTCATTGTATCTATAGAGGTTATTTGGTAGTTGACACACTAGAAACATGCGTTTAGAGTATTTGCCTGCTATAAATTTACACGTGAAAAGCCACTTGGTTGAGCTATCAGTTTGTGGCCAGGTCGCTCCTGAAAAAGAGCTACGTAGCTTCGTGGGCCTTACCTAGTCAAATAAAAAATAGCAGTTTACATTTGAAACCCAGAGGTCCTAATTGATTCGGGTCTCCCGGTGTTGCAGTGGAATAGAGTAATTCCTGCAGTCATGTAATTTTAAACAAACGTGTCTCAATACATTGATTAAATCGCCTAGTGGGGTGAATAATCTTCCTCAAAGAACCATCCCAGGAAACTTTCGTTGTTGGCACAATTTTGTCGTGCGGTTGGACAACGTTGGCCTAACGTTAGCCTAACGTTCAATGTTTACTGGGATGTTACCATAGACTCTCTCAACCGGCCTTCCATGTCATTCATCAGAAAGCTAATACATTGATGGATGAACAAACTAAAGATATATTCGGTGGGAAATGGAACCACAGTATATTCACGATTCGATACCCATGATTCTTTGCATAGTGAGTTTTGACGTGTAATGTTTAGCATATAATTTGCATAAAATATGTATGTACAAACATTTTTATAATTTACAAATGCACAGGACAATGCGCGTGTCGTTACTTTACAATTCAAATTTGATCAGTCAATCTTTTCATTATGACACAGTCTCATGGACGTACTACAAAACTACGACTTAATGAAGTGTGTCGTGCTAAAGGCACTTGGGCAGGCGTACGGACGGTATGAATTACACGCGCAAGTTTACGCTTCTGCTGTGGTCCCCACAGGGAGGTCAAGTCCAGTTTATTACGTAACCAGGGGTGAGAACTCAGGGGTCCAGGATACAGTCTCATTTGCAGGAGTGACCTGGATCACCAAAATGACAAAAGCAGTAGCATAAAACTCGGTTGAAAAGTCATTTCTTTAGCACTGCTTTTTGTGTTCAGTTTGCTGTCCTTCCCCTGCACCTCCGATTAGCACGGTTGGCTATGTACGGTGTGCGAAAGAAGTTCAACATGCACACATGAAAAAAATGTAAGTGCAGCAATGAAGCAAATAGAAACTTGAGCAAAAACAACCACGTGACAGAGGAAGTCGAAAACATTGCACAAACGCAATTCAACATTACACTTGAGACGACAAAAAAAATGTCCTGCTTCCGAAATGCATTCGTTGTGTACGGTTTGCAACATTTCATCCACACCCGCCTGCTTGTGTCTGTCTGTGTCTGTGTTGATCAGGTGCACAGGGTAGCCCTGGTGTGGATGGCTTTCCTGGGATGCCTGGACAGAAGGGTTCCCCAGGATACCAAGGGGTTAAAGGGCAGCCCGGCCCACCAGGATTCCGGGGCGGAAAAGGTCCCTTTGGCCCCAGTGGACAAAAAGGTGAGCTCCTGTTTGTCCTCCGGATAGACGTTGTAGGAATGTAGAGTGAGCACGACTGCCGTCAGGACTCTAACCGGGAGATGATCATGCTGCCTCAATGCTCGTTTGACCATCAAATCACTTCCACTTTTTTTTGCTTGACTGTTGGACCCAGAGGGGTTTCCACCTGTCCTAGGTTTTTTTTCCAGGATCATCCTCTTTTTAAAATAGCTGTACTGAGAAATATAACACTCTTCACTGTACATTAGAAGTCCTGCATTTTTTGTTGTTGTAAGGTGCATAAATAATACACCGCTGCAGACATAGTGTTTACACGTGGATCTCTCCTCTACAGGTATCGTTAGAAATTCTTCTTCCCATTATAGGTCCCGGTTTCCTGTGCACCTCAGATGCGTGCAACCCTATCGCCCAGCGAATGATAGAATGTCTCCCGCCCATGAGTATTAAGGCCCAGAAAGAATTGCCAGCATAATTCCCCCTTCTCGCTGTGGTTTTTTGTCACCAGAATCAGAATCTGAATTTTATTCTCCGAGTAAATTACCCATTGAGCTACACAGATATGTTTCGACTCGGCCAGCAGACGGACACGGGCAGCAAGAGTAAATAAACACGATATTAAATAATTGTTTTTTTACCCTTTTATCTGGTAACAAAACTGACACCTTTTTTACAAGGAGTCATGTTTGCATTGACCACAATACCTGATGACGCGTCATCTGGTCCAACACCATATGAGACTAGGCTCTAAGAAAAGTTTTCTCGAGTGTGGATCAATCAATTTCAAGGACAGTGCATACATTATCAGAGTTGTGTTTTTTGTTTGCATTCCGACCGCAGGTATTGTGGTCAATGCAAACATGACTCCTTGTAAAAAAAAGTGTCAGTTTTGTTGCCAGATTAAAGGGTAAAAAACCAATTATCATAGTTTGTTACTGGCAAAGGAGGTTCCAAAAATATTAAATATTTTTTAAAATATCAAGAAAAAAAAACAAATGGCCCTACAAAACAATTACATACATTCACATTTTTAAAATCGTTTCAACCTCGATGATGACCGTTTATAAGAGTTTAAGTGATAGCAGAGTGACGATCCCCAGGAAGGCCGGTCCCAAAGCTTTGGAGCAACGTCTACATTAAATGCTTTGAAACCAAGCTCCGTACGAAATCTAGGAATCGTGAACAAGCAATCAGACACGCGTCGCAGATTTTTTTGCAGGGGATTTTTGTAGAACGGCACTAATAAATGCGATGAATAAAGTGCAGAAGATCTCTGGGCAATTGCCTTTCAAATAAACGTGACCCTGCTTTTGGAGGTGTCTCGGTTTACGAACTGGCGGTTACTTGACCACTGGTCTTGTCTGTGCAGGTGATCGTGGTGATCCTGGCCTGCCAGGAGATTTTATACATGTTCTACCATCTGAAATACGTGGAGATCTGGGTGATCCGGGCTCGCCAGGTGTTCCCGGCTTCAGCGGACCAAGGGGTGAGTCGAAGTGGCTGATACGTAAACGCTGAGGGTTTTTGCGATGTACATATATATTTTTTCCCAATGCGACACGATATTAAGCATTATGATGAAACTATTATTGCTTTACCAGTTTCCCTTCCCAGTTAAAACTGCGTAATTGTGTAATTGTATTTCACATTTTGATCGTCTTGTGTTGGTTCTTTAATGTACTTCCAGTATGAATCAAGATTGCTTAAGTTTTTCACTCAACATAAGATTTCCCCTCGAACGCTAGGGTTTTCTCCAGATACTCCACTTCACAAAGGGGTGAAGTCACTCATTCACGGCAAAAGCCAAACAATGCGATGTTGGGTCCTCCCGAAAAAAACTATCTTAGCTCACTGAGACTTTCCTTGGTTAATAATTGGAGTTTATTACAAACGACAAGGAGGAACCCGCGGTACTTCCGCGGTAAAAGGACGGCAAATCTGATGATTGCACATGGAAATATCGATTCATCATATATATTTGCCGAAAAGAAATTACAATTATTCACCCCTCTAACCGCCTCGCCTTGACGCCACACACGTACGCACGAACAAGCGTATTATTAATAAATATAATTGTAAACTGGCCGTTAACACATTTTTTAAAACATCCAGTTGTGCGACCTTCAAAACCAAGCGTCGTTGAGATTTCAACATCACATCATCGCCGCCCTCCCCCCTCATCGCTGCCCCCCCCCCCTCATCGCCGCCCCCCCCTTTCTCTTTTCTCCCTCCACACCACCCCCCCACCTCCGTAACCTGCCACCCCGACAGGTGATGAAGGCATGCCCGGTTTCCCTGGAAGCCCCGGGTCCCCAGGCCGCCCAGGCAGCCCCAATTTCAGTAAAGGTCCCCCTGGAGATCATGGCCGCCAAGGTGTCCCCGGCTCCCCTGGGTTCCCTGGACCCAGAGGCAGCCCCGGCATCGTGGGTTTCCCAGGCTTGGTCGGGGAGCAGGTACGTGGGGGGCGGTGGGCGACGGGCGGCAGGGGGGGGAGGACTAGCGATGGCTGTGCCAGGATGGCGAGATGTTAACTACCTCGACTGGTATACAGGAGGCCATGGGTTCGATCCCGACCCTGACACCTGTATATTTGGAGTTTGCATGTTCTCTCCGTGGTCTCGTGGATTTTTCTTCAGATCCTCCGGTTTTCCCCTCCGGCATTTACAAACATGCGTTTTGAGTATTTGGCAGCCATAAATGTCCACACGATGGTAAGCCACTACGTCGAGCTATCATTTGTGGCCAGGTCGCTTCTGAAAAAGAGCTACATAGCTCAGTGGGCCTTACCTGGTTCAGTGGGCCTTACCTGGTTCAGTGGGCCTTACCTGCTAAAAATAAATATTTTGAAAGTTTTAGTTTATTACGAACAAAGATGAAACCAGTATACAGTTTTCACCAGTGCTTAATTTCAGGTGGGTCGGTCTGAATCGGCCAACTGGAAAAATATTTCCACGCCCGGCACATATCACCCAGCATCCCTCTCGCAATGGCTGTGTCTACTCCTGGTCACGTGCCCCCATTCTCAGTCTATCAATGTCTAGAAAAATATTCAGTAAGAAATAAATCCCTGGTTGGTTCATTGTCCTGCTCCTGCCTCTGCCTAAAATAATACGGCCACAATTTTTTGTTGTTTGAGCTGGTGGTCTAAACAAAATCTGTGCGCAGTGCATTATACACACGGCTGTGGCGATATCACGTGATATGCGTGGCATGAATGGGAGTGCCAATCCCATGGTCATCACAACCGCTCCTCTTGCTGTCTAGAAAAAGCCCCAAAAAAATATCCCTCCATGAAAATAAAACGGTGCATCTCCATTTTCCGAGTTCATTTGTCTTGAGAATCTCAAGCCATCGCAGGAATGTTTGCCAGCGCCCTGCGGTATAAAACTGTGTCCAGCGGGGCTCGCTGATGATGATGATCCACGCTGAGTGATGGGTTGAGGGAGCGAGCTGTGATTAATTCAGCGCACTGGACCACTTGCACGACCACTGCCTGTGGAGCATGATGTTGTTTCTTGTAAACTGCGCGTAGCTTTTTTTTCTCTGCACACTTGCATGAACAAAATTAATTGGGAACATGTATAGCTGATGCTGTTGTAGCCTCAGGATAAAGCAATTTACCGGCTGCAGGCTTTTAATCTATATAAAATTTGTTTAACGTAAAATGTTTATATCATGCACAAGTGTCTGTCTGTTACGCTGTGCATCTCGCAACATTATCGCCTTTCCCAATTAACTGCGTTGTGTGCTCGCTAATTGTGCGCGCTTACATTTTCAGGGGCAGCCGGGCAGCTATGGCCCTGCAGGGCAACCAGGTTTCCCAGGGTCGCCTGGCATCAAAGGTCCGAACGCACGCTCGCACGTTGCACTTTGACCTCCAGGCTGGTCGACATTTGCCAGTTTTTGTGATCGTTGTCTTCTCCTTCACCCTGACATTATCCCGGCTCAAGTGGGCTCTGCCTTCCTGCTGCTCCTCTCTCGCCACTCACTCCTATCCTGGGCCATCTTCTAAACCAGGGGTGGGGAACGTCCGGCCCGTGGGCCATGTGAGGCCCGCAAAATCATTTGGTGTGGCCCTGCCAAGGCAAACGCAGGTGGGACTCGAAATTCAATAAATCTAGGAGCAAACCTGGATAAGCAGTTGCGAGTAGCAACATCATCAATACTAGCTATCATCACACGCCTCGCCAAAGAGAAGCAGTTCCAGCCATCACATTAGGGGTGAGTTAATTAAATGTTTGACCAAATACAACAACGGGCTCATTTTTAAGTTGATAATTTTGTATGGCCCGCGAATGATGTTCTAAATATCCAAATGGCCCTTGGCAGAAAAAAGGTTCCCCACCCCTGTTCGAAACTATTAAACTAAACACCTTTTTATTTAAACTATAACTTAAACAATATTTTTATTTTACCGGGTAAGGCCCACTGAGCTATGTGGTTCTCTCTTAGGAGCGTCCTGGCCACAAATAATAGCTCAACTAAGTGACTTATCACGTGGAAATGTATTGCAGTCAAATACCCTAAACGCACGTTGATTTTAAAATTGGAGGGAAAAACCAGAGGACCGAGAAAAAAAAAATCCACATGACTATCGCGGGGAGAACATGCAAAAATATATAGGCATGGTCAGGGTTGGGATATAATCCATGACCTCCTGCATATGAGGCGAGGGAGTTGACATCTCTCCACCGCGGTGCCCTCGTTCACTGCACAGTCCTGCCTGGTTCACCATCTAAAACCACCCTTCTATGTCTAGATCTGCTTATAGGTCTCTACCCTGTTCCCTTGATGTTCATTACCTTTCTTCTCCTGCTGTGGTTTTTCTGCCTTCTTACGGCATGTCCCACCTCGCCATCAGAGTCGGCTGTCTCTCAGCTGGTCACAGATGGGCACCACGATTTCAAACAACACACAACACATTGTCAACGCCCTCAGCCTAAGGTTGCATTCTGCAAGCCACCATTAGCGCTTCCCAAAGAACCGCCATTGTTATACGCTTGTATTAAGTCACCATCAAAATACATTTTTGTAGATGTTAACCGACAGATAGTCTCCTTCCTCGTCGTGTTTCCCGAGGGAAGTGGAGAGATATCTTATCTTCTATTTATATAGCGCTTAACCCAAGACGCTTTACAAGGGTTATGAGTGGTATAATGAGGGTAGCTAAAAGTGACACGGTGAACAGGGATGGGCGTATGGAGTGGGAGGTTTAGTGGGTACGGGGATTACGGTGGGTGCCTAGGGATGGAGGGAATGATGGGCCAGGGGAGAAGAGGTGGGGGTCTTGAGGGAGGAGCGGAAACTCGACTGGGAGGGTGCCGCTCGCTTCATGTGGAGGGGGAAGTTTGTTCGAGTGCAACGGGGGGAGTAGGGAAAAAGAGCGGAAGCGGTGATTGTGCACAAGGAGAGAGGGGAAAGGTGAGGAGTAGGAGAGATTGAGAGTGGAGCGGACTGGGGGGGGCATCAAACGAGGCGAGGTACGGTGGGGCAAGGCTACGAAGGCATTGAAATACAAAGCACAGAATAGGCTACACAGACCTCTATCACCTTTCGGAGGCCATTGTCTGATGTGGCGTGGTGCGAGAGGTCAGAATGAATAGCGATGAACTCGTTTTCTTCACACGACGCCAATAGGAAAAGTTGTAATATAAATATGGATTTTTTTTTTATTGCCTCTTTAAGTAAACTGGCCAATTTCTCAATGATGCACCAAAAATAGGAAAGTAACTTCTCAATCGCTTCAATCAATGAGCGGTTACATCATGGACCCGGAGTAAGAATTTGTGCACATCTCCCGTACATTGCACAACATGTCTGCAGGCGTTGTGCAGGTTCTGTGTCGTTTCAGAATCAGAATCTTTATTTAGACTGGAGGAATCCGATGAGCTATGAAGCTCTTTTTCACAGATGTCCAGTAAAAAAGTTATATACATATTATCTTGTATCTGAGAAACAGTTTGCTTCCATGAATATATGATTATTATATATATTTTTAGTTACTATACCGATCTGTATGCCAAAGTAGCTTGCATGAATCGGTGCACGCTTGGGGATTACACTTAGATAGATGGAGCACGTGCTCGTCACTTTCACCGCCTAGATAAGTCGGCGGGTTGGGACGGCACACATCGCTGTCAGGGATAATGGCCTGCTGTTGATAAGAGAGTGGCAGCCAAGGGAGGTAGCATGGTCAAGCCTGCTCTTACCGCAGAGATGGAGCGATTAAATCAGCTCGTGCGCGAGTACCAGGTGGATTATTTAGCATCGCAGGTCTGAGAGATGTGGCAGTGGCTTGGGGAGGCCATGATCCGGCAGTGGATTGTTTCGGGGCGATGGTGATGATGATGTCATATCCTGCGATGTTGAGTCTAACGGGCGACTGTTTGATCTTGCTTTTATCAGGTGATCCTGGTGATGCCACGGGATTCCCTGGGCCACCAGGCCGCAAAGGAGAGAAGGGAAATCGTGGTGTGGATGGTGAGAATTTATATATCGCATCCCTGTGCTGATACAATACAATCTGTTACCATATGGAACATTTCTCGTCAAGGAGCATAAACCATCATGCGAACTCTGGTCATCTTCACAGTGGCTTTTGGCTAGCCATAGAACAATGGTCACTGCACTTTTAAATCATCTTTACGACTGATTTTTGTGTTTAGTTTGTTGTCCTTCCCCTGCACCTCCGGTAAGCACGGTTGACTTTCGTACGGTGCAAAAGAAGTTCAACATAAATGCCAATTGGAATTATAATACGCTTAAACATAGCACACGGTTGTGTGGTAAAGCCTTATTTGCAAGCGTGACTTGGAAAAGGCAACCCAAACGCAATAAAGTACAGCGATGAAGCAAATGGAGATTTCAAAACCCTCCGGCAGTGTGCATTGCTGTGTGACTGTGGTCACCACCCAGAATAAAACCACGGAGCATGGAAAGACTCAAAGCCCAATTGACAATCACCAAAGATGAGGCATCGTCCCAGCGATGAATCACCACTCCGCGGCTCCTGACGCGATCATCTGGTTTGACCACCTCGATGTAAAACTACAGCTCTTGCCCGGACATCGGCTGTATGCAGGGGTGGGGGGGGCCGGGGAAGACTGACCGCTTTGCTCGTGTAACACTTCTGCCGCTGTTGTCGTCTGCTGGCCACGCTCAAGTTTCACTCTCATCGCCTGTTCTTGGCTCGCCTGATCCTCTCGCGTTTCCGCTTTCACCTCTGCTCGTGTCGCCGCCTTTTCCCCAGGAGATACTTTTTCTTTCGGACCGCCCGGAGATCGGGGCAGCGATGGCCACCAGGGCGCCTGCGGTGAAAATGGACTTCGCGGAGACCCGGGCCGAGCTGGCCAACCTGGTGAGTAGACCCCGCTCCGAGCAGACTTCTCTCCAAAGCCACGTCACAGCGCCACTGGCGCCATGGGGGGGGGGGGCTTGAGTTGGCCCTGCACCACCAAATGTCGTTTTGGTCCCCCCAGGTTTTATCTGCTTAGTGGTGCATCAGATTAAGAAATTTGTATTTTCACGTGAAGATATGAAATGGACGTATATATATATCAGTAACGCTTTGAGTACTTAACTTTTGTGGACATTGTTTGTGAACCGCTGCTGTTACTGGTATTTTTTTCAATCGATCAACGGCATCAAACAAACAAAAGCAATGCAATCACAATCGTGTTCCCCCTGTAGGGTTCCCCGGGCTGAAAGGAATGCCTGGTTTCGACGGGCGTCCAGGGTTGGATGGACAACCCGGAAATCCGGGTTTCCCTGGGTCTCCTGGAGGCCCCGGCCAAAAAGGTGGGTCCATGTCCCGCACGTCCTAAACATCGCCCTGTCCGGCACGTCGTGCTCAAAGGGTGTGCGCAGACTTCGTTAATATCTCACTGTGGCGAGATGGTATGCAGGAGGGCGTGGGTTCCATCCCTACCCTCACGACGCCTGTATATTTGTAGTTTGCATGTTCTAACCCATAATCACGTGAATTTCTCTCCAGGTCATCCGGGTTTTTCCCTCCGCATTCAGAAACATGCGTTCAGAGCATTTGGCTGCTATAAATGTACATGCAATGATAGCCCACTTCGTTGAACTATCATTTGTGATAGCCAGGTCGCCTCTGAAAGAGAACTATACAGCTCAGTAGACCTTACCTGGTAAAATAAATAATAGTTTCTACACTATGGGGACCTCATTTGCCAGTAAAAATATGATAATTGGTTCTTTACCCTTCTATCTGGCAACAAAACTGACACCTTTTTGCAAGGAGTCATGTTTGCATAGACCGCAATACCTGCAGTCATAAGGTATTGCGGTCTATGCAAACATGACTCCTTGCAAAAAGGTGTCAGTTTTGTTGCCAGATAGAAGGGTAAAGAACCAATTATAGTTTCGTTTCGGAAGTTTAGGTTACACTCATTGACGGTGACCTCACTCCCTTACCGTGGCGCTCTGGCTTTCTGACATTTATCTGAAAGAGATCATTCTAAGTCCAAGTGTTTTTTTCTTGCGCAATTGAGCATTGAGCCGGTTGCTCATTTCCCGTTTACACCCCATAGCCAGTGGTCTATATTCCTATGGCCAGGGCGAATCTATCCATATGACAACCGATGTTAACTTCCCAAAACCGTGCTGCTCATTTGATGACCCCCGAGGGATGACGGGCTAGGTTAACCCCCAGCTAGGATTTGAACTCGCAACCTTCTAATTATAAGCCGCTCAACTCTGCCGCTGAACCACCGGTCCTGTAGAGATAGTACATATCAACATAATGAGTGACTAACGGATGTATGTACAGGGTACAAGTTTGTAGGTATGGACATCCAGATAACTCATACTAGATCATTCCATCGGTTTGAATGAATGATGCACCATTTGAAAGCTTAATATATATGCAGTTCATGTGAGCAATGGAAAATGTACAGATAAACGAACAACCTTTGAATGGATATACTGGGCTAATTCAGCTCATGAGTCCCAAAGCAGCCATATCTGCTCTAAAATAGCCCAGCGCATACCCTGGGCTCTGTTTCAAACTCTTAAAATAATTAACAATGTTGTGGTTTTGTTTGTAGGTTTCCCTGGGGCTCCGGGCCTCCATGGCTTGAATGGACTTCCAGGATCCAAGGGCCCTCCAGGGACACAAGGTAATGCCCTTGTTCACTTTACTCTATTACGCTCTGAGGAGACGTTCATCCACCAGTGGATTAACAAACGGCTGTACATTATTATGGTGATTCAAATGAATTACATTCGGTACTCTCCCCATCAACGTGTAGTCAGGTACGCCCACGCTTGAACAGGTTCTCGGGCCCAACAACAGTTGCCACGTGTCCCGGTCTTTTTTTTCCCGGATCGTCCTCCCGTCGGAGTCGCTGTCCCGGGAAATCTGCAAGTCTTACCAGGGACATTAAAAAAAGAAGTCTCCATTTTTGTCACTTCAAAATCATAACCACAATATTCATTTATATTGGAGGAATCCGATGAGCTGTAAGGTTCTTTTGCACACATGTCCAGCAGACGTTCCACTTGAGCAATAACACATGACCCGAGACATTGCATTTACGCGCAGTTCTCTCCTCGCCCCGCTATCGCGAGACATTCTTCTTATTCTTAGGTTTTTTCGGTAAAGTCACGTAGGTAAAAAATTAAAATTTAAATTAATTAAAGTAAAATTAAAATAAAATAAAAATCACGACGTTTCGGAGACAACACAAGCTTCCGTCTTCAGGTGGAACCGTCACAGCACGATAGCTGTATCAAGTAAATGAGAGATTACAAGAGATACCACTTCGTATATATAATGGTTGAGGGGGGGGGGGGAATGGGCCAGGAACGGCCCACTTTTTATTATTATGGTAAGGTGCGGCTTGAGACTACGGCTAGACTACATAACAAACGACTGAGCCATGAAATGTCCCGGTTGTTTGTACCTCGAGAGGTGGCAAACCTAGGGCCCTCACCCGCCATCCTGGCCCAGCTACAGTCGTGTTTCTTCTCCCCTGAACGTTACCTGTGTCCGTGTCTTCTCTTCATTCTTCTTCTTCTTCTCAGGTCCGTCTGAGCCAGGTCTGCCCGGGCCACCAGGCTTCCCAGGCTTGAAGGGATCGGAGGGGGAGCCAGGCAGAGGAGGTAACGAGCTTGGGCCAACAGGCCTCAAAGGATCCAAGGGCGACCCAGGTACGGCAGTCTTTTTAAATCCTTTATTTTAAGTTTGCTTGCTTGCTTGCGTGCTTGCTTGCTTACGACCGTGCAAATCTTTCGGTCGTTTTTTAACCCACTTCCCGTGATCCAATCGAGCTGATATTTTGCACACAGACTCGTTGTGCGAGACAATTAATGTTCGTGAAAAATTTTTCCAAAATTTTACACTGTTTAGGGAAAACAAATTAAATATTTAATTACCAATTGCTTAATACTGGCAGACAATCATCTGACCCATAGGTGGCAGCCATCTCAAGCCAGAGGACGAGAGGACTCTAGCCGTCACGCATATAAAGGATTTATAGTGAAAAACTTTGTTTTCACGGGTTATACTTATTACTTTACTCGTCACTCCCGCAAATGAGACTCCTATCCCGCTATCTGGAGGTCTCACCCTGGTTGCACAAATAAACTGGATTTGTCCTCCCTGTGGGCTTCACGGCTTGTGCGTGAACTTGCGTGTGTATTTTATAACGTCCATATGCCTGCCCGTGTGCCCTTAGCAAGACACACTACACTAAGTCGTAGTCTTGTTGTACGTACATTAGCAAATGTGCATAGTGACTGCGTCATAATTAATCGATTGACTGATCAAAATTGAATCGTACAGTAACGACACGCGCATTGTCTTGGACATTTGGGAATTATGAAAATGTCGGTGCATACAGATTATGCGCAAATGATATGCTGAGCGTTACGCTTGGGCTGACGAAATGAAAAGAGACAACACTGATGGAAAATATGATGCGGACTAAACAATTGTTCCAAGTGAGACAAAAAAGAGAAACAATTATTGACTTGAATCGTGAAAATTCATCATCAGGTAAGTGGGTTGGATTGGCTGAATTGTTACATGCTCACTACTTGCAAATAAGCACACATTCACAGACATTTTTATTTTACACATACTTACAGTGAATTTAATCTTCTTGGTTCTTTCGGTAAAACCACGTAGAATGGAAATAATAAAATAATAAAAATAAAATATAATAAAATAATTCTCACGACGTTTCGGCCACAACGCAAGCAGCCGTCCTCAGGTGGAGAACAGGTCTGTCGAGAAGACAGATTCAGACTCTGTCTTCTTTATTATTTTATTATGTTTTATTTTTATTATTTTATTATTTCCATTCTACGTGACTTTACCGAAAGAACCAAGAAGACGAATCCCTACAGTCACGAAAGCTTTAATTTGAAAAAAAGTTAATTTAATGTTGAGCTTTCAAGTGTAAATGTTGCATTGCTGGACCTGCGCTGTAGAAATGTTGGTGGTCTCAAGTGTTTTTACGAATGAGTTAACAAAGCACTTGACTGTCAAATGACGTAATACGATAAATTAATGGCAGCGGTAAAATATCCCAGCAACTGCCCTTGTTTTGAAGTCCTTTGCTGTAACGTGAATTACTCATCATCCCACAATAATTTTCTGCTCAGTTCAAAGAAATGTGTGCACTGGACTGCATGCCTCATTTGCATTTCTGAACAATTTGACCGTGGGTTCTCTCATTTTAGAAGTGTCTAATTCTGTCACCTTAATTATTATATGTCCTTGCCTTTCCCATAAAGTATTCATTCAGAAATCAAGGCTTATTCACATTCAGAGTATTGTCACGTGATATGAAGCGGTTTTTATTTTGCTTTGAATAAAAATTTATATTTTACAAATTATTACATTATAAATGAATTTCATGTTAAAAGAGCCATTGAACTCTGAATTCTAAATTAAGAACCAACTCCTTGTGGTGTTAGCGATGCTGCTCGCTGATACGGGACTCTGTCTCGTTACTCAAACGCCACTTACAATAAGCAATGTGGAAATTATATTCTTGGTTCTTTCGGTAAAGTCACGTAGAAGGGACTTTACCGAAAGAACCAAGAATATGAATCCCTGCAGTCACGAAAGCTTTAAATCGAAATGTGGAAATTGTCAAATTATCACCTTTCATTGGTGGGAAAAATACACGAAGCGATTGACTTTTCAGGCTTTTGCGGAGAGGTGTCGGCCCGAATAAAACAAAATGTGGGGTTTTGCAAAACACGTTTATAACGCAGATTATTTTGTTTGTTTGTTTAACGTATTCGTCGATTACCTACGGAGACGTAGGATAGCGACGTCCGTTGCAACTGTCCTCTTAAACTGATCGGTTGGCGTACCGGCGTCATGTTCACGGCGTCACCTGGGCGTCGAGTCCCGTGGTTTTCACAATGCTGTCCGTGTCTCTCTTTTCTTCTTTTTCTCTCTTGCCCCTCTTTGCCCTGTGTACATTAAAACAAACGCGCACACACACACACATACACGCACTCCATCCACCCGTCCTCGTCCTTCCGTCTCGCCACTCGCCGCATCTCTGCCCGGGACCCACCACCCTCTGCTGCAGGGTGCACCGGTAAGGCTTTGCTCTCGCCAGACTACCCCCTGATGATGCCATGTGTGCCATGGCATGTGCAGAAGCGTTGCCGTCTGGCGCCACCGTTTCGTTGCCCGTGTCTCTCTCCCTTCCTTCGTTGGACCCATTGTGTTTCATGTTGCTGCTCTTATTGTGCAACAGAAGATGCCCAAAGGAGATCCTCTAACCCCCACAATCTTAAAAGAGAATTGGTAATTAGGTGTGTTTACGAGCTTAATGCTTTTCCATTTGAGTGCGTGTGTATGAATGTCCGTGTTATGAATGGAACTGTTTATTAACGAACTAACAATGAACAGACAGAGTAGTCCATCTTTCCCCATTAAAAATAAAACTTAATTTGTGCATGTTGGCGTATGGGTTGTCCGTATTAATAGTTTCCAGCATCATTTGTATCACTAAAGCCAGTTTCGTGACTGCGGCTCAAACCCCGGTCAGACCAGCTCAGTGGGAAACCCGAATCCGCTTGCCGTCCAGGTTCGAGTTACCGCTTTGCGCTGAACGCTGCACGATCCGTTCCACCGGCCTTCACGCTCAACGGCGCCCTCTCACCCCTTAGGTCCGATTGGCCGGCCCGGCATCCCGGGCCTTCCAGGACAACCTGGCTTCATAACCGGAGATCGTCCTGGCGCACCTGGGAACGTCGGCTCACCCGGTCCAAGCGGACCTCCAGGTGAGACGCGCGTGGTGGCGCGTGGTGGCACGCGATGGCGCGTGGTGGCACGTGGTGGCACGCAGGTGGCGTCGCGGCCCAGCGGTGGCGCGCTCGCCGCGTGCCGCAGAGGCTCCGACAGGCCGCCCCGGTTGATACTGCGAGCGTAATAACCGTGACCATGCCACGCGGCGTCTGCAAGAGAAGGCCGTTGTGCAAAGGGTCGTCGCTCCCTTACTGCCAGATAAATTCCCCAGGTAACTTTTTCAAATGAGACTCTCCTTGCCCCAACAGCCTGGTAAGGCTATACGGGGAATCTGTCTTTGCTACCCATGTCGCTCAATCTTGAATAATAATAATAATAATAAGTGTATGCTGTGTTGCTGTAACATAATAAAATGCAACATGCTTGATGGGCTAAATTTCTCACGGAATATTTTCTGACGTCCTCCAAACTCATAATCGCCCGGACCACCACCTCCTCCCCCCACAACCCTTTCTGGAGGACAGTGCACATATTTTCTGGAACTCAGCCCTGTATAGCTCCTGCTGAAATGAAGCCCTGCATGTGACAGCGACGCGAACGACCGTTGAGATGAAGCGGCTGTCGTTGTCCGTGAGTCCAGGTCGCCCAGGGCCCCCTGGAGCGCCCGGACTTCCGTCGCTACAGGTCGAGAGGGGAGAACCAGGATATCCGGGAATACCGGGAGGACAAGGGCCGCCAGGATTCCGCGGGAACGACGGTCTTCCTGGAGTTCCGGGACCTCCCGGTCCTTCCGGGCAAAAGGGTACTCGCTCGCTTGTCATATCTTTCGTCATTTGTTCGGAATCATAATCAGAATATGTATTGATCTTGGAGGAATTCGATGAGCTGTGAAGTTCTTATTACACAGATGTCCAGTAAAATCCGATGAGCTTGTTTGCATCTGGGGCAAGAGTATTTGAATTGAGAGTGCAACGATGCATAGAATGCACATTCTTGCACTAAGTGGTACGTACGTAAATATGGGTGCGTAAGAATCGGTTTTAATGTATAAAAATTGCACGCAGCGACATGATATTGTTGTACTACGCATGAACTAAGCAAACGAAACTGGGCAGACAAATATGAATGAGACGGTTAGAATAGAACGATAAAGATCATCGATTCTTAAATCGAATCATGACCCTGAATCGCAACAATCAAATTGCTGCAGGTTTAGGCCTAAATTATCTAGTACCACTGCGATTACACAGTTTGTATGCCCTGCTTTATGATAAACGCACTGTTGTTGCTGTTAGACATTAAATTGGCTAACATGCGCCACACTAAATACGTGATGTAATTGCCTTGTTAGCTGCTAGCTCATGCACGACGCATCCATCATTCATGCCAACAGACTAAAGTTTGGTATTGGAATGTGTTATTTCCACTTATGGAGCTCATTTAACTTCTAAGTACGATTGTATTGGACTGCACTCGCAGCTACAAATACGCATCTTCAATAAAATAAATTTATATTATTTATATTATTATAATACATGATCAAAACATAATCATCAGTCTTACTCAAAACGTGTGACATTTTTGCACAGTTTCAAAAAAGCTATTTAGATTTGCACAGCATGTGCACTGGCTGGGTTAGTGCTGTGTGGGTCACGGAGGTCATTCTGACCATACATCACCACACTGCTCAGTGCAGGTCGGCCGGAAAGGGGGTGGGCCCATGACCGTTTCAGAAATCACTCGCCACTGATGCTCGGACGTGGATGGGTATGGAGCTCGGGTTTGTAGCACGGCGCGTTCACCACTGCGCCACCGCAAACGTACGCGCGTGCGATGCTCACGCGGCAGCGGTTCGCGGTTTGCTTTGTGTCGGACCAGGTCTGAAAGGAGACCCTGGCCAAATGGGATTCCCTGGCAGAGATGGCCTTTCGGGTGACCCAGGATACACGGGGATAAAAGGGGCCATGGGTAATTCAGGTACGGAACTCCACGCGAAAACACACGAAGCTAAATCGCCTCCGGTAATTTTCCACAAAACTTCAAAAATGCTGGCAGTGAAAATATCACAATGTTTTATATATATGTGTTTGTGTATCCTGATGCATTCTATTGCTTTGCATTGATCGGCATGTCGGTGATCCTTATTGTGCATCCATGAAATCTCTGCTCGATTTCATGCGATGATGATGCCATGTGTGCCATGGCATGTGCAGAAGCGTTGCCGTCTGGCGCTATCATTTCGTTGCCCGTGTCTCTGTCCCCTTCCTTCGTTGGACCCATTGTGTTTTATGTCGCTGCTCTTACTGTGCAACAGAAGATGCCCAAGGGAGTTCCTCTAACCCGCACAATCTTAAAAGAGGATTGGTAATTGGGTATGTTTACGAGCTGAATGCTTTTCCATTTGAGTGCGTGTGTATGAATGTCTGTGTTATGAATGGAACTGTTTATTAACGAATTAACAATGAACAGACAGGGTAGTCCACCTTTCCCCATTAAAAAGAAAACTTAATTTGTGCATGTTGGCGTATGGGCCGTCCGTATTAATAGTTTCCAGCAGCATTTGTATCACTAAAGCAAATTACTTAAATCGAATATGATGAGTCTCATCGGCAGTCAGGCCTGTTAGACAAATGCTTATGTGCTGCCACATGTTATTGGCAAGAGCACTCTCTCTCTCTGCTGTGTGGCCCATCAGCGAAAAACAACAGAATTGCATAAAAACACACCACACTGTGGTGGAAGAGCATTTCTTATTGCAGGTCTCACCCTGCTGAAGAGACTCATAAAATTGAAACCAGTCCAGAGTTTGCTGCTTTGATGACTTGCTGCTGGAAAGTATGAGTCTGTAAGGCCAAATAAGGCAATAGGCAAATATAATATTTATTTTAGAATATACTTCATATACGTATTTGTCATATGATTGACTGGTGTTTGCGAATATGTGTGGCTGTTTATGAATTAATGGGTGCTCGTGATTGTGTTTTGGCATAATATATAAACGGTTGGATGTTTGTGAGTGTTTGTGAGAGTCTGTTTGGAGGTGTGTTTCTGTAGTGGGGAAGATGTGGTAAATATCACTGGGTTTTGTTTTTCCATATCATACTCCAATTGGTTGCTTGCTTGGTGAAAGGAACTTCTTTGAACTTCTGAAAGTCTAATCAGGCAATATATAGAGTGCAAATGTAAAACAAATTCTAATTGACAATTATCACACAACAGCATTTTTTCGTGATGTATCCAAACCACTTTTCCACTTCATGTTCTGTTTTAATCGAAGTATTGCCTGATAACTTTTAAGGGATTTATTGATTTTAAGCCAAGAGTTTTTGTTTAATTCAAAACTCTGCGGAAAACGTGCAGAGTGCAGTTTGCGACGAAGGGCCTTCGAATCCAACACTTTCCGTTCAATGTTGGGGAAAACCCATGCAGGCGGGCACAGCTTTGCGTGCCATTAACTCTACGAAGGACGCATTTGTCGCAGGGTGCACTGGTGTAGGTTTCCGCTCGCAGCCGTTCATTCTTTTGAAAATCTTGCCATCTTGCCCCAAAGCGTGTTCCCATCCCCCCCCCCCCCCCCCCCCCGGCTCACCATGTCTGTTTTGTCCCTCATTGAAACCCTAAACGCATGTCGTGTCCCATCCTCTGCCCGTCCGCCCTGTGTCTCATCCATCCATCAAATCCCCTTTTTTCCCCCTTTGTGCTCGTTCTCATTGTGGGGATTTTTCAGGATGCGTAGGTGAGCACACCACCGACATGCACACCGCACGCATGCCAGGTTTATCCACAAACAGGGGCACGCCTGGGCTAGAAGCCGGTTCTTAAAATATCTGGACGGGTCGCTCGGCGGTGGAATGAGACGGCTTGCAATCAGGAGGCTGCGTGGGTCGATTAAACGAGCACTGCCGTGCTGTGGACAAGTCACCAGTGGTTCTCCTATTGACAGACTTGCCCCTGCCATAGGAATGTGGAATTTCCACCACTGGCTCAGGGCTGCAAATAAGAGATGAGCGCCGCCTCAATGCTCATTTGAGCAGGAATTCACTTCGAGTTGATTTAAAATTACAATTTTTAAAAAATACTGTGAATTATTACATTACGTCATTCATTACTTACACTTGTTGGTGGCTTTAGGGAGCTCAAGTGTTTAAGAATTTCGGTTGCGGGAATGTGCCGGTTATTTTCCCTTGGTATTACCGGTGCCTACACAGGCGTGCCGCTGTTGTATGACTCTTATATAAGCTTGTCGCTTTGAGTACCTTTGAACCGCTATCTTGTATTGGCTAGCGAAAGACGATAAATAAATGTGAATACAGCTTAATAATGCACAGTGATAGCTCGGTACTTGCACGTGACTTACCAAAACTATAGGCATTTTTTGTAGTTAATGTAAAATAGTAACACTAAACTGTAGAAGCAGTGTCATTCAGCAATCGCATTTCTATATTTGGCTTGTTGTTCCATTAACAATATACACCGTTTTAGTATGGCAAACATACTCTTTGGTTCTTTCGGTGAAGTCACGTAGGTGATCTATATTTATTTTCTACCTACGTGACTTGACCGAAAGAACCAAAAGTATTCCTGCAGTCACGAAAGCTTCAAATTAAGATTATGCAAACTATATTTTTAAATGTCAATATTTAACATCACTAATGTGACAGAACTGTACTGGCAAAATACACATTACGGTACTAATGCTGTATGCTAATAATATGCAAAGACAGTAATAATTGAAACCATCTTTTAAACAAAAACTATTTAAAATTTAACAAAACCGGTTTTCGACGTGCAAGTGTCTCATCAGTCCAGAGTTTTGCTTGTAATGTGTCAATGCTAATGTAATTATGCACTCCCAGAAAGCAACGAGGCTGATGGGTTTTGTAAAAAATAATTGTATGGGAGCAACAGACATGTTTATATGAAGGGACACATTGTCTGCTAAGATAATCGTGTTACATATACTCTCCGCAATGACGCTAGTGATTTATTTTGTGCTTAACTTTTGCACGTTCTCAAAGCGAAATCTTTTCACGGAGGTGGAGCACTAACGGACAACATTTTTTTAAACAGGGCCACCAGGCCCCCCAGGCCCTCCTGGCCCAATTCCAAGGCCAGAAGACATCAACATTCCTCCCGGAATCCCCGGAACCCCAGGCACACCTGGAGCCATGGGAGACGAGGGTGAATCCGGAAGACCAGGCTTTCCCGGAAGCGCAGGTGCGGTACTCACCGATCCAAAGGCTCGTGTGCTCTTGATGTATCTCGATTGTCTGTTCATTCCAGGTTTGTGCCAAAGCTAGATGTCACCCATGACAAAATAGCTTAATAGCTCAATGGTGCCTTGACTGGGTCTGATTCTGAAGGTGAAAATATGATTGCAGGTAAAGTCAATCCAGAGTTTTTGCTCGCAGAAGAGAGCGTTACTTCGAGGATCATGGCAGCTCACCCACGGCTCAATTTAGTCTCAACTCCACAGCAGAGGTCGCAACCGGTTACCCGATACCCGTACCCTATCCGATACTCGGCTACCCGTACCCGGCCGGGTACGGGTACCCGTTTGCGACCCTGGTGCGGCTGGGTACGGGTAAGGAATCAAAACCCGTTTGCGACCTCTGCTCCACAGCGCAGCACTTCTCCCATTCTTCACACTCACAGACACAAAGACGAAGCTCCCCCATATAGTCCTTTAACAGGCTGTTGAAACGAGGGACGTGAGCGAACACCTATGGGAGGCCGACACAGCACATGAGAGTGGGTGGGTGGCCAGCACCATGCCCGGCAGCCTGTGTCTCCCCATTTCTGATATTTACATATTTGAGTCGACCTAGGGGAGGCCCAGGATCGATTCAGATAATTGTCAGTGGTGTTGGCCGTGAGTGGGAATACAACTCTGGTCGCCTAGGAAAGGCACAGAATACGTGTTTATGCTTTCCAGTAGCTTAGGTCCATCTGTCCCTCTATAACGTGGGATCACAGTATCTCTTGCAAAGATGATCCGATATGAAAACACGTTGTACAATACTCTTTGGTTCTTTCGGTAAACGTAGTACAATGTTGCTTTGCCATTATAAACTTTTCAGATTACATATTTTTCCTCGTTTTGTGCAGATTCGGTTATGCATAAATGCAGCTCACGTATTTCTACCCAAAATTCGCTTCATATTATACGGTTTGAATGCACTTATATGTGGCTTTGCCGTCGGACTGTGGGACAACATTGTTTGTGTACTGCGTGTGCTACTCGGCAGGCAGCTGTCTCTTGCGGTGCCAAATGGTTTGATGACTGTGTGCTGCACACTTCGCCATTTTGCGATTGTGCCCCCGTTTTTGTGGAACACATCTCCCACAAGAGAAACCTGTAACTGCAAAGACAAACGCTTGTTTGAAATCGTTAAAGATAATCCAGTGCATAGGCCTGATTGTTTCATAACCTACCAGCAATGGCACTTAAAACTCATGTCAGACAGCACGGGGCACACTGTATGGCTGAAACTCTGATAAGATAAGAGCTGTCTCATCTTTCATCAGTTACTTGTGATGTTAGGATGTTCGATGCGAGATTAAATGGCCGGAGCTTTTCACGAGGGTATCCAAAGCTGACTGTGTTGCACTGTGTAATTGTGGTATGGCAGGCAAAAAGGGCAGCCCAGGATATCCAGGAAAGCCAGGCTTGAATGGCCTGCCAGGCCCAGAGGGGAGCCTTGGAGACCCAGGTATTCCTGGGCAACCAGGACAGGTTGGCTCACAAGGTAAGTGATGTTTTGAGAGGGTCTGTATTTGGCGAGTAATGGTTCATGAATTGTCACAATTTGGAGTCGTTGTTTGATTGAAAAACCAATTATTTTTTTTGTCGCATGTTTGCTATTTCTTCAAGGATTTCTCATTTCTTGTCTCGTTTTGACAGTTGTGTTCGCTTAATCCGCATTAACAGCAACGTTAGAATGTATATTGCCTGCATATATTTTGCATACATTTTTAATAATCAAATGTTAGCATAAAATGCATCACTACAACAACCAAATCAATTTGAAATTAGTACTGAAATTCTATCTGGTTAATACCGCGGTGTGTATTACCCATAAAATACTGCGCATCATCTGCTTACAGTGGACGTTAAAGATCCCGTGACGTCATTAAAAAGAGTAAACTAAATTATCTTATTTTTCAGGTAAAGCCCACTGAGGTCTTTTTGAAATTTACTATTTATATGATCTACATTTTGAATGTGTCAGATACATTTCTAATAAATCATCATTTCAATTTGGAACGCACACATTATTAGCTCACTCAGAAATAAAAAGAATGACTCAGAGGTGCAAAGAATCACAGACAATTATCACGGTTGGCTACGTACGGTGCGAAAGAACTTCAACATACATACATACATGCGTACGTACACACAGACAACATGCGTAGCCACCACCGCCTCGGCAGCGTCAAGGACAGAAACAAAATGGCCGAGGCATCGTGCACGAACAAAACCACGCAGCCAGAATGTTCTCGAGGTGTTCCCCAACTCCGGATCTCTGCGATCATTCCCCTTCGCCTCTCCCGTGCACCCCCCCCCCCCCCCCCACTCCATTTTGCCGTGAAGGTTCTCCGGGAAATCCAGGCACCGTGGGCATTCCCGGAATGCCGGGCCGCGGCGTGAACGTGGGCTTCCTGCTCGTCAAGCACAGCCAGACGGAGCAGGTGCCGCAGTGCCCCGTGGGCATGGCCAGGGTGTGGGACGGATTCAGCCTGCTGTATGTGGAAGGCAGCGAGAAGTCCCACAACCAGGACCTGGGTGCGTATGGTCACGCGCCTGCCCGTACCGGCTCAATGCGGCTCCCGCGAGTCGGAGTGATTTCCCCACTCCGAACGAAGCGTTGAGGCATTGTTGCTCGTCAGTTTGCAGCCAAGTAGAGCCATGGGTGGATATTCCAGGGGGTGATGGGTCCACCCCCGTAACCATGATTTTAACTCGCAACCTACCAATTGTGAGCCGCTTACTCTACCACTGTGCCACCTGCCCTGGTTTGTTCATTAATTGGCACAGACGATATCAATTAATTTGGCCACGTTCCAGTTCTTAGAATGGAATGCTTGAATGTTTGAATGTCAAGCGGCGAGCATTACTCTCGTTGCCAGGGTGGGTTGGAAAGTATTTGAAGGGATCTCAGAAGTAGCTGTGTGATGAACATTTCTGCAGGCATTTCTCTAACAAGAAGCGTTGCGCTGCTTTGTAAGAGTTCAGAATTTATGCTATGGCTTAGGACATGAATCTGATGGCACAACCGGGGAAAACTTAGAAGAAGACACTGAGTGTGCGTATTACTGTCGCACTGCCACCCGCCCATCACAGGCATGGCCGGCTCCTGCCTGCCGCGCTTCAGCACCATGCCCTTCGTCTACTGCAACATCAACGAGGTGTGCAACTATGCGTCGCGCAACGACAAGTCCTACTGGCTCTCCACGACGGCGCCTATCCCCATGATGCCCGTGGCCGAGGAGCAGATCCGGCAGTACATCAGCCGCTGCTCGGTGTGCGAGGCACCGTCGCAGTCCATCGCCGTGCACAGCCAGGATGTGAGCATCCCGCCGTGCCCCACGGGATACCGCAGCCTCTGGATCGGCTACTCCTTCCTCATGGTGAGTGGCTCCTCTCTCCTCCCTCACGCCTCCTTGCTCCCCATTCCTACTGTGATCCCTTCCTCCTGCCTCATCCTGCTGGGAGCTCCATTTGCCGAAGCTCCGAGCGCGTACAGCGAAACGTCGGACGTAATGTCGAACAGCGTGCGTGATTCTCTCCCCTCCTTCGCCCTCCCTCCTTCTCTCTCTCCGTTCCTTTTTTCCTCCCCCCCCCCCCCCCCCCCCCACAGCACACGGCGGCCGGCGCGGAGGGCGGCGGTCAGTCGCTGGCTTCGCCAGGCTCGTGCCTCGAGGACTTCCGCGCAACTCCCTTCATCGAGTGCAACGGCGCCCGCGGCACCTGCCACTACTTCGCCAACAAGTACAGCTTCTGGCTCACCACGGTGGACCCGGCGCGGCAGTTCGAGGACTCGCCGCCGCCCGAGACCATCAAGGCCGGGCAGCTGCGCACGCGCGTCAGCCGCTGCCAAGTGTGCATGAAGAACCTCTGATGGAGAAGCACCCCCCGCCCCCATCCCCGGACTGTAGCGGCAGAGGGCCCGTAAACTGCAAGCGACGGCGCGTCGTCGGCTGAACGGCGAGCAGTTTTAAATCCGTTTCCGTTATTGTTTCAAAGCCGTGTAAATGTTTATATCAGGGGGATTCGAAGAGATATGCTCGCGCACCATGGAATTAACGGTTGAAAGAAAAAATGTTTTATTCGTGCCGTGTGTTTTTCTTATTTCTTTTTTGGCGGCAATGCGACTGCGTGATTGCGCAATGTGCATCGATCAAACACATTGGCAAGACCGCGATTCGCGGGGATTTTCGATCGCTGACCCTTTTAGCTTTTGAGCGAGCCGCTGGGTGCCGTGCCTTGACGTTCGCACAGAGACAGCGCCGTGTAAAGGTGTGCGCTTCTGGCGTCGAGGAAGTACTTTTCCCAAAGCGTCAAATCTGTGACGGGCGTGGGCAGGGAAATCATTGGCGTGCGGGCGGACAGTAGCTGCTGCTTGTTGCCTTGGTTGTGTTGCAGTTAAACACGGCACTCATCGGGCAGTCGAATTAAGTGCCCAAAGAGAATAGTGCAAAATGAAGTAAGCAAACGTAATGATAGGGACGCTTATGAATACAATTGTACTTTTTCATCAATTAAAAAGCCCAACAGCTCGCAAGATAGCTTGTGTGTGTGTGTCACTGCAGAGAGCACACGTTTAGTCAAAAGTACCCAAGGTGCAGAAAGGAAGTGAATGCATACATCCAGTCTCGTTTTTCATCCCTTTTCACATCCGCGTATCCTATCAGCGATAAGTCCAGGTGATGCTGCAAGCCAGAGCAGTCAACACGTCGGCCCGTTACCTCGTCGCAAGTACCAATGTATTTGGGTGCTGAAACTAAACAACCTTGAAATCGCCTCGTCCGTCCGTTTGTCACCTCTGGGTCCGTGTAGGAGGTGGTCAGATAGGTGGGATGTGGAGGAGGGGGGGGGGAGCCCATTGGCCGACTATCGCATTGACTGCTGAGCGAGAAGCTATCCCCATTGGCCACCAAAATCCCATATCGAGTCAAACAAAAACTGAAAGCATCCGCCCTGGCCCTTCAACGTTACCGACACGCTGGCCTGCCAATGTTTTATCTTTTAACATGTACTTTCGATCACATCGTGCTAAGTCTTGACGTATTCGGTTTCGGACGATACGTCGCAATCGTGAACATATTGGGTTTAGAGGTTGTCGCCCAAATGGCTCGTACGATGGGAGTGGGTGCACGAGACCATATTTGAGTGGCACATTGTTTTGGCACAGTTCCACTCGGCCTGTACGCACGGCACGAGAGTAGAACACACCGCGCACAGCCCCTGCAATATGTACTGTATTTCTCATAGGCCGAGCTTCGTGTTAGTGGGGGGCTGGGTGGGGGTCCTTTGTAGCGGTCTCAGAAGACGCTTGTTGTTTGAGATTTGTGACCGCTGTGCCGTGTGGCTGGGTGCATGTCACTCTTTATATTATTTTTCTACAATGGTGCTCAGAAGAAATGCTTCCAGGAACGAGAGGGTGAAGGAAAGAAAAGCGCTCGTTTGACAGCATCATGACTTGGCAGTCGTAACAAGGTCGTAAACACAAACACCGCGCGGCTCTGTATCGTTCTTTTGCGGAAGGCTAAGAGATGGGAAAAGTCTCAAAATCATAAACCCCGAGACGTAAAAAAATATCTCAATAATGTTCTGTATGTGTGTACATTTTAATTCTGGCTGCTGCTGACCGGTGAACATTATCACTGTCAACATTACACACGTGAGGTTCAATTGTCTGCGAAGGCTGGGGTGATTGAGTCGCCTGTATGAAGACATCCTTCATGGTCTGAGGACTCTCTCGCACAGCCACAGCGACGGGAGCATCAAAAGACTGTTCAGCATGTGCTTGTGCCCTGGGCCTCACACAATCGAGGGCCCACAACAGGAAATCCTGTGTTTTTGTCACGAATGAAATAGGTAGGCCCCAGGTGGAGCTAGGCTGCCCCCACCCCCACCGCGGATTTATCCATGGAAAATCCTATTATCCACGCATTCAATCGATCAATCTTTATTTTACGTGCCAATATCAGCCCTCGGTGAAGTTGGCATCGGTGCACATTACAGCGGAACGGGAACTTTACCAGGGGCACGGAAGCAACAGAAATGAGAACCCCGTCACGTGCCATAAGCGGCTAACGCCAACCGAGCAAAGTAAATTGCAAACGCGCGCAAAATAAAAGTGCAACCGTGCGGCAACGAATCGCATAAGAAAGTTAATTGGTAAATAAATGAAAAGAAAAGACGGTTTTCATTTAACTTTTTTCGTTCATCCGAAGATCAACGCTGACCTCAAACAAGGCAGCAAATTATTCCTGAATGTATGTGCTTACCGCAGGTGATTCGCCTACACACAGTCGACCGGATTAAGCTAAATTATTCCCATTTCGACGCTTATCCACAAGTCGGATGTCACCCAAACGTGGTGGAAAAATCATCCCCATTATCCGTGTTCCCGGATATTAGGATCCACCAATTCCGCTCCTTGTGGATGCGTATAAGAATAATTTCACGATAAGGTATTCTCATGACTGTATTTTTACCGAAGCAAAAAAACATGCCCATATATTTCAACAACTATCTATCTATTTTAAACGTGAGTGGAATGAAGACATCACTTGTTGCTTATGTCAAGTATGCAAATGCGACAGCACAAGTGAGGTTTTTTTTTTTCATAATAAAAAAAAGAATTTCCAATTGTCAGGGCAAACTTGATAACAGTTTTTAGCATCAGTGTTCATTGTTCAAATCCACTTCGATAAAACTCACACGTGTGCCGCGGGCATCAGTCTATACTATCTCCTGACCCAAAGTTCTCACCTCCAAACGCCATCCTTTATCTCAAACTCGTTGCTCCAAAGCAAGTCTATTGACGAAGCCGAAGTACGGAGGCACACGGTAGCAGAGGTTGGCCCTCTCACTGACCCAGGCACCCGCTAATTCACCCAACCCCGGCCTCCACTCACGCCGTCCACACACATCAAGCAAAAGGGATTTCCTTCCACGGGTCATTCACTGGAGGCCAAAGTTCCTTCCACTCGGGGCATCAACTCTCGCCGGAAACCGTCACCAGCAATCATTGAGGACCGTTGCCGCTGTTTCGCAACGTAAACAAATTAGTCACCCAAATCTGGGCGAAGTCTATAATCGCTGCTTCATTGAGTGGGCACAATCGCGATGGTAACTTCCGATCAAATCGCAGACACGGGGTGGGGTGCACATGGCGACCTTGAAGTTGTTGTGCTCCGTGAACCAATCGCAGGGAATTTTTAAACACGCGCGCTTGCGTTCCGTGGACAGACCGAACGAACTCCCGTCACCTCCCAATGCCATTGCCGCACAAAGTGGCCGTGGTTGCTCCGAAGAAAATGCGTTTGCCCGGTCATGATTGTTTGGTGACTTGTTGCCGTGAAATTGCCCCGATCGTATCGTAGTAATTCATATTCTTAGGTTTTTTTCGGTAAAGTCACGTAGGTAAAAAAATTAAATTAATAAAAGTAAAATAAAAAATAAAATAAAAATCACGACGTTTCGGAGGCAACACAAGCTTTACCGAAAAAACCTAAGAATATAAATCCTTGCAGTCACGAAAGCTTCAAATCTAGAACGTATCGTAGTAAGTTAGAGCCTCTGCTGTTGTTCGTATCCAGGGGCGACTGGGCCCAAGGCCCCTTTAGCTACTGGAGCAATGGCTCCTGCAAAGTCAGTCTTTTAAAAACTCAGGACGCAGGAGATGATGGCAAGCACAGCATTCCGATGTGGGAGGTGTGGGCCTTAAAGTCCACCGACAGCGCCACCACGCCTAAGGTGTCCTAAAGTTGTTGTGCCCCATGCGACATCGACATTAGAAATTAGAGCAGCAGCGATAATGGCTATCACTTGTCCCCATCAGCGTTCTCAAACTCGGTGCACGGGTAATGTTGGCTTTTGTTTTAACTGCCTTCACGTGGCTGAGCATGGCTAAACTTAAATGTTATTTGTCTGTGTTTCTATGACTTTCCAACGCAAAATTACCCCTTGTGGCAAGACTATCGAAGAAACTGGGGAAACATTTGACGCTTGAGTAACCGGCGTGTACACTACGGTTGATGATTACAAAACAAACGAGATTTTTTATTGCAAAATCCACTGTATTTTAAAATCTGTATTTCCATCTAATCTTGCTTTCAGGGAGAGAAGAAAAATGTCCTTTGCGTCACAGACTTTGTAAACTTCCTTTTCCCGAAGCACAATTTAATAATCGTTTCATTAATTAGCATTTACCTTTGTACACGTTTAAAAAACTGCTTCGTGGAAGTTGTACTCAAACATTAAGTGTGAACATGGCAAAATGTACGTCGACTGACAGGCCTGTTTTAACTACTCGCAGAGTGTAGCAGTCTATATTTAGTAACAGTCTATATTGAGTAACAGTATGCATTTAGTAACAGTCCATATGTTGCACCCTCTCCATCCCCATACGTGCATCCCCCTCATGGTGGTATCAGTGGACGACTCGCTCAGAGCAAGTTGCTGCACAAATTCCCTTTTCTCATCTTCACATACAGAAAACAAAAAATCAGCCTCCTCTTTGAGAAATTATCTCTGTTCCCCCCACCACCACCCTAAAAAAAAAAGTCTGGAACTCCCTTTCCCCTGCCATTCGTGCTGTCGAATTCCTGCCTCTCTTCAATTCCACACTCAAGACCCCTTACTCGTTTTTCTGCACGTGACTGACTTCCCCGTCTCTCTGTATGCATCGAATCTTCCCGCTGTGTCTCTATCAAGTGTTTTGAGACGCGGTGACGTGCACACGCTGTGTAAAAACAAAGTGTGTTGTAATTGTTTTGGAATTGACCCTTTTGCACCTCCAGTTTGCACACTGACTTCCAAACCAATGGCAACACTCTGTGGCCTTCACAACAATAATTCCCAAAGCGAAGCACCGGAATTTAGAAGACGTCGTGGCTCATGTGATGATGTTGCATCCTGGTATGATGACATTATATAGTCTGAACAAAAAAACGTATCCTGATCTACTGTCAAACCGTCGGCAATGTTGAACGGGTAATGCCACTGCAGCTAGCATCAGGTTTGTGTGCACTACATAATCCATAAGAATCCACACAGGGCAATCAGAAGCTTGACATACTTGAAAAGGACAATTATCTACATTGAATGTGGTGCTCGCGTGAATTGAGTCGGTGTTTTTCAACCTTTTTAAGCCACCAATTCTACGGTGGCGCCCTTTGCGAATCGAATGCCACGGCTAATTAGGGTGCAATCACTTCAGACCGAAATCCACAATTCATACCACTGCCGTGTGAGACTGCCTGACATACTGCAAAAAACGTGTTATATTACGTGTTACACTGCAATTAAAGTCCCCTTTTTGGATGGAAATTACATCAAAACGCGGAGGTATAATTTAAATGAATACCTTTTAAAGATCTTCATTTTTTCCCCCTGATCTGTTTCTGAAGTGAATCTATTGCAGCCAGCAGAAAACCCTGCGCTGGTGATTATAGAAGTCTGCCGAAGATCGAGATGCTGCCACCGTTTAAAAGTGAATAGACGCGGGCAGTTTGGTATGATTACACTCGTTTAATGGGCAAAAAAACACAAGTACATGGAAGCATGTGACGGGCTTTGAAAAGTCAGGTTTCTTTTTTTTTTAAGATAACTGCAAAGTACAATATTGTACTGTAGAGCAAAATGCATTTTTTTATTGTTTCTACAAATGTTTTAATAACAGACAAAAAAATATCTCCTTCGGTTACAGGAAATATGTAGAGAATTAAATGTTTATATTTTTCAAATGAGCTCAGGAAAAAAAAAAAACCTTTTCTTTAATGCCAAATTAAATTCGCATGAACAGCGATCTGACAACGACCTCTTGAGAGCCGGTCTGCACCAGCTGTAAAACAGCTGACATCGCTCGCAAGATCAGAGCGCTCCAAATCCGTTGAAAGGTGACAAATATCTTATTTTTTAACATTTCAGAGCATTTCAATGTTACTTAAGATATTTCCCTCATCCAGGCTACTATTTACTTTTTTCAGGAACAGTTCCATAAGTATATCCCCCCCCCTAGTAATACACTCTGCTACTCCCAGCCACGACCGTTTATAGCATCTGGCCCCACAGTTGTCTCGAGTTTTGACAAAACTGACCTCCAGTTGAAAAGAAAGATTACTAGACCGTCTGTCAAGGCGGTCACCGAGACATTGTGTGGGTGTGTTGACTTTCATTGGATGTCATCAAAAAAAGTCACGTGCATCGGCCCACAACTGTGATATTCACATCTGCACCAAGGCCAGCATCATGGTCATATCTCCCAATATGAAACAGAATACGCTAAATAATTAAACTGGGGTACTCTTTATCGGTCGGGAGGTCGTGTGTGGGTGAGGTAAATAATAATGGGTACTCCCATCTCTTCTGAGACTTGCGTGGAAGAGTAGGCCAAATGCCCTCTAGAGAGGCCCTCTAGAAGGGATTTGGCAAACAGCTCCATGGAGTGGAGGCCCTTCCGCTAGCAGTCACGTGGGTGGGCAATTCCGGGGCTGCACCTATACCAATTATCCAGTGAGAATGCAGCAATAAAGTTTAAATGTTGACAAACGCATTTCATGCACTTAGGTAGTAGATACATTTTTGGGGAAAAAATGCTTTTACTTTGCCGCTACAGATCGCAACATAAATATATAATTTACTTCAGCGCACGTGCGAAATTCGACATTTAATGGTTTAAAACAAATGGCAGGCTTCGCTTGACCACGTGACAATAAGCTAGTGGCTATTACAGCACAACGATAGCAAGTTGATGAAATGCCTTGAACATCTTTTGAGTGTTTTTTTGTCGTGCTTTAGTCGTACAGATTTGTTTGAGCCACGAAATGGTTGTTGTTTCCGTTATGTAAATTCGCGTTAACAAAAAAAATTGGTTCCGAAGAGAGGGTAGACGTTTTAAATGTGAAACATTTACCATTGCTACGTACTGTCGTGTCTTTGTTTTATGCCTCCTTTGTGTTTTTGACAAAATAAGCATCCATTCAAGACGTGTTTATGTACCAAAATGGTCTCCATTTCTTGGCAAAACGAACACACACTTAGCGTTAGACAAGGTGCCACGGTGCTTGGATGAATTCATTAAAACCTGTGCTCGGGCATATATGACTCCGCAAAAACACCCTTCACAAACTCACTGCTGCCTTTGCTTATCCTTCATTGGAGACAGACGTGGAAGGAAATTATTAAGTGATATATGCAAGAAGATTTATTATTATAACACAAACATTTTGATAAAAACAATGGCTTGGTGGAACGATTTATACAAACAGTACTTGCTATTTTCGTATTTGACTTGGTGCTACAGACGAAGAGAGTCCTATTTAACGTACACGTACCGTATTATTGTACTTGATGTGGTGCTTGACTTTATAAAAGCTAAAATGTAAAAAATGACATTCTATACGCTCGTTCGCAATCAGGCCTATTGTAAATTGGGTTAAAAGAGGACCGCCCTTCAGTTAGTATGAGTATAGTGTTTAATATGAATTATCTTTCTTTTCAGTTCCGCTATTGATAAATGCAGTAATGAAATATTAATTGCGTGTTAACTGCAAGGCATCGCTCTTTTTGCCCAAGTTCTTGTGCCTATGTATTGATTGCAAACAGATAATGTATCGTGCAGTTTACTGCAATCCCATTGTTTTTTTATCTCAGATAATTATTACTGTAATTATGGGTTATTAATTTCAGATATTCATATTGATGTTGTATTAATGATGCCTTAACAATGTTTGCAAAAACATTCAAAATACTGAAAAAACACAATTTATGTAAAGAATCAAGACATCATTTCTCTCTGCTGTAAACCTGAACAACATTGGTTATGCTCTTATTGACATAAAATCTGATGTGACGAGAACATTGAAAATCTAAAGCTAACCAGCTTTGACGCGTTTTATTCAATTGTTCTTCATTATTCAGCAATCAAGCAGGACACTTCATCGAAAATTCCACTCATGATTGTTATTGTGTGAATATTTAACATTAAAGTTTAATATGCAAAGCTTAAAACACTCGCTTGGAAAAAGTTAAAATCCAGCATTGTTATATTCTATCCAGTCTGTGTAATTCTGAGATGGCATGATATTAAAATCAAATAAACAATTGTTAACTGTACACCAATGAGTCATTTAAAGGTGTTGATCAATGACTTTTGAGGACCGCTTGTTTTGTTGGGGGTTTATCTAAAGAGAAGGACCGTTGTCAAAAAACGTCAACTATTTTAATATACACGTGTTTTCCTTTTTGGGCAGTGTTATTAACAAATGTGTTTTAAGTTTGTGCGTTTTTTTTCTCTCTCTCGACCTCGATTGTCATTTTCCCAACAGTGAAATCAAGAAATTTCCCTCTGAGTTTAATGTCATTGCCATTTGTCAGTGGTCGATGCACTCCGGATTGTTTCATGCTATCATTTTCTAAAAGCACATTTGCCTGTCACGTTATTATTTTTCGCTTGTTTATCCATGGAAAGCCTCACTGAGTCTCAATACTTTTTCAGGAGGTTCCTGCCAAGTTTTTGCAGGGATGGCGGTGGGTGGGGGGGGGCAGTGTTACTGACATTCAAATTGAATAATTTGCAGGTAATGTTTCAGCATTGAAATGTCTTGGCCAATACCTGTTGCATTTTATGGGGGGAGGGGGGGGTTAGCTATGGGAGGAAACTGGAGAACCCGTAGAAAACCCATTCAGAACAGGGGGGGGCGCATACAAACAGTTTAATTCAAGTAGCTGGGATAACTTAAATATGAAGTGATTGTTTTTTTTTCACTCCACTGTAACAGCCTCTGCCTAATTTTGCATGAAATGCACGACAGCTTTGTGTATTCATTTTCAGAATGGGTTCTCAGATTAGGCCAGAACTGGTTCTCACTTGAAAGGCAGACGGCTTCCCAGGGAACACCGGTTTCTCCGTGAGATCCACCATATGGTGGCTCCAATCAGCATTCCAGCAAAGGTAGGTAGATACGTCGCTAAAGGTGCCACCGCGTAATTGCTCGCTCGCGCTACGGCTGGTGGCATGAGCCTCCACTTTCAGGGAGGTCTGGTGGGCCCCTGGAGGGTATTTGGGCCTACTCTTTCCATGCTGAGGACCCACAGTGTAACCCACCACACGTGACCTACATATCGACTTTAACTGTGGTGTTACCCATTGAAACTGCTGGGTGGACAGAAGTGGTGAGAGGCCTTTAAGAAACGCACATCAGATGTCTGCTGCATGCATTAAATTGCCTGGATTTGCTGAGACTGCGAATTTAGATTCCCTCAAATTGATATCACGAGTGGCAGAGTGCAGGCACCTTCAAGTCCGTTGATCAAATCTGTCATGAATTTTTTTTCCCCCCAACTGTAAACTAAATACAATTCAGAGTAATTGGAGTACAGTTTTCGATGTATATGTAGGTATATGTAAAAAAAACATGGGGTTAAAGCTAGCACTTGCTTTACCGAGGTCAAATGTAATATAAATGATTATCAATATCGTACAGGTCACTGGTTCGCACCAGCCAGAAATAACTCACTAGACTTAGTGACAAGATATTAACTATTCTTGGTTCTTTCCGTAAAGTTACGTAGAAGGGAAATAATAAAATAATATAAATATAAAACACACCTGATGACGATTGCTTGTGTTGCAGTCGAAACGTCGTGAGAATTTTTATTGTTTTATATTTATATAATTTATTATTTCCTTCTACGTGACTTTAACTGTAATGCATTACTACAGTTATTATGGTTTCCATTGGCAAAATGTACGTGGTTGAGTCTGTGCTGTAGAGGGCGTCACTGATTCTGCACACGTACGCTCCTCCGATTAGCACGGGTGGCTACATACGGTGCGAAAGAAATTCAACATACATACATTTCTGTTTTTATTATGTTTTATTTTTATTATTTTATTATTTCCCTTCTACGTGACTTTACCGAAAGAACCAATAAGATGAATCCCTGCAGTCACGAAAGCTTTAAATCGAAACTCAATATATTCATATTCTTAGGTTTTATCGGTAAAGTCACGTAGGTAAAAACATTAAAAAGTAAAATAAAATAAAAATCACGACGTTTCGGAGGCAACACAAGCTTCCGTCCTCAGGTGGTACCGTCACAGCCACGACGGCTGTATCAAGTAAATGAGAGATTGCAGGAGCTACCACTCCGTTTATATAATGGTTGGAGAAGGTGGTGGGGCAAGGGCCGCATACTTTTTATTAATATGGTAATATATTCGTTGAGCAATCGGAAGCCAATGCAGCTCGGCGAGCACTGGACGGACACGGTTCGGACCTTGCGGTACCCGTCACGACACGTGCCAGAGAAATTGGTGCCATCAAGAGGATTGTAAACAGGTCACCAATTCGTATTCATGAAAAAGTTTTTTTTTTAAATAAGCCTGCATGCAGCCCTGACTTGGAATGTACATTGTGTTAGTCATTTGTTTATTAGATGTAATATGGCACTTGGGTCACGTTTAAGCTATATACTGTGCATAAACGTTGACGGCTTTACGAATACGTACCCGAATTACAGTCAGTGCCGTATGAAGCTAGTGCGGAGCCTGCAGCATATGTTATAAAGTGGCCCTAAATTTTTAAAAAAGATGTAAATATTAAAACACACATTTTTTACTTGCACAGTAAAGTAATTGTATTTTTTCATTTGCTATACAGCCAGATAATACGACAAATCGCTAACCTTAAACACCCAGTCGTTCATAAAAGTTGAAGACGGTATAGTACTATAGTAATAGAGCAAGTGCAGAATCACTGAACCGGAATTGATAGCTTGAAAGCATTTAGCGCGGGGCCCTTGAAAGTGCGGGGCCCGGAGCATTTGTAGCTATTTTTTGCTACTAGGATAATCTGGCACCGATGACAGTACTTAATTGATTACATATTTAGAATATTAAAGTATCCCATGACACTGCGCAATTCGGAGAAAATTTTGCATGTGAAAAACAACCAAGGAATAATCACATATCAGAACAGAATGTGCACACTTGAATGAAAAGAAATACGTAGTGCATTGTATACACGCAAATTGCATGCAGTCGGGGTTTAAGAAGGCTAAATGAAATCGGTGAAGAAGGGATGATTATATAGATGTATCCCACGTTAAAACATAAACTATATAAATATAACGTGGGGAATACTGTCTGACAGCGGGAGCAGCGGGGAATAACGAGAAAGCTTCTGTTGTGTGAAGACGGCGAATTAAAGGTCTGGAGATAATTACCTTCGCTCACCCAAAAAAAAATATTCCTTGAGTCTCAAGATCCTTTTCCACGAGGGTCCTGCTAAGTTTTCGAGGTAGGGGGGTGAATTTAACACGTAGGCTTTCGCGACCAATATCATCCATAATAGAAGTTTGGGGTTGGATCGCGTAAATATATGTCATTAAACCCGCCACCACCCGACACAGCCAACTAGTAAGGGTTGTCACGTAAACAGAACGTGCTAATTCTTCAGCAATTGCATGATTTTGACCAATACCGATAAAAACAAATTTTACTGGTAAGGAACCTCCTGGTTACACCAGCCCACAGGGGATTATTGTGTCCGTCCGTCCGTCGTAAATCCAAAAATGGGAGGGGTGGGGCTGGGTGGAGAGGGGAGGGTAGGAGGGGCTGGGTGGGGAGGGGAGGGTGGGGAGGGGCTGGGTGGGGAGGGGAGGGTGGGGAGGGGGTGGGAAGGGAGGGTGGGGAGGGGCTGGGTGGGGAGGGGAGGGTGGGGAGGGGCTGGGTGGGGGTGGGAGGGGTGGGGCTGAGTGGGGAGGGGCTGGTCACCCCGTGGTGCCTTTATGCAACTCAACGTTTAACCTACTCACGTCGGCTTGTGCCCGCCCTCACAGTCGGGCATATTTGCGGAATACACCACGCCGCCGTTAACCCTGGCCATTGACCGAGCAACCCAACGTATTCCGCAAATATGCCCGACTGTGAGGGCGGGCACAAGCCGGCGTGAGTAGATTAAACGTTGAGTTTTATAAGGGCACCACGGGGTGACCAGCCCCTCCCCACCCAGCCCCACCCCTCCCACCCCCCACCCAGCCCCTCCCCACCCTCCCCAACCAGCCCCTCCCCACCCTCCCCACCCAGCCCCTCCCCACCCTCCCCACCCAGCCCCTCCCTCCCCACCCAGCCCCTCCCTGCACGACGGACGGACACAATAATCCCCTGTGGGCTGGTGTAACCAGGAGGTTCCTACCAGAAAGACGTGTTTACTTTGTTGAGAGGCACTCGTTCACAGAAGATAAAACGACGGGACTGGACTTGGTACAGGGTCAGGGACTCTAGCAAGGCTGAAAACCCTCAGGATTACGTCTGCCGCTATGAGTCACAACGACACCAATCGTGTTACCTGTCACTGCTTCGGGCACAAGTCATTCCAACATGAGGGTAAATGTGTTTATAAAGTACTAGCTTTCCAACCCGGCTTCGCCCGGGACTTGGATTCACCACGGCCGGCCGCCTTTGTCTCCCCAGTGGCGATGTTCACACACCACACCAGTTACTCGTTTGAGGCTGAGTCGACCTAGGAGAGACCCAGGACCGGTTCGAATAATCGTCACCGGTGGTGGCCGTGAGCGGGAATCGAACTCGGGTCGCCGGGTTCGTAGCGTAGCGCTACCCGCTACACTACAATGCGTTACGCTTCCACGTGCGTGGGTCACGTGACAGATGTGACGTCACAGCTCACTTGCCGTGCAGAAAATAAATGCATTATTGAGCTCCCCCCCCCCAAAAAAAACCAAAAGTGTATTTTTATAATTTGTGCATGGTGTACAGACTTGAAAGTACCCACATGGCACATTTCCAGTTTGTTGCATGTCGGGAAGTACGCTAAACATTTTGAACAGACACACATTCACAACTTTTCCTTTTATATATATGGAGATGTGTTATTTTTTCAATGTACGTACAGCCTTTTGACGATCCATTGCTGCTTTAAGGCCTCCCTCAACCCCTTGTCGGTAAAAAAACTTGATTTGGATCTTTTGTGACTGCAGGAATTACTCTTTGGTTCTTTCGGTAAAGTCACGTAGAAAGAAAAAAATTAACCTGTAAAAACAAAGTTTTTCACTATAAATCCTTTATATGCGTGGCGGCTAGAGTCCTCTCGTCCTCTGGCTTGAGATGGCTGCCACATATGGGTCAGATGATTGCCTGCCACCATTAAGCAATTGGTATTTAATATAATTAATTTTTTCCTAAAAAGTGTAAAATTTTGTTTAAAAAAATTTCACGAAAATAAATTGTCACGCACAACGAGTCTGTGTGCAAAATGTCAGCTCGATTGGATCACGGGAAGTGGGTTAAAAAACGACTAAAAGATTTGCACGGTCGTAAGCACGCAAGCAAGCAAGCAAGTGAACTTAATATAAAGGATTTAAAAACATATTAAATGATAGCATGCGACGTTTCGATTGAAACACAAGCAATCATCATCATCATCAGGTACACATGAAAGAGAAAACAAACCTGACCGTGCTGGTTGTTACTTCATGTTGAACTTCTTTCGCGCTGTACGTAGCCAGCCGTGCTAATCAGCGGTGCGGGTTGGTGATGGGATGGAACGGGAGCCATGAACGGAAATCAAACTCGGGTCACTGGGTTAGTGGCACAGTGCGTTAACCAAATGGGCCCACTAGTTCGCGATTATATTTTTATTTAACAAAAAAAAATGTCAAAGGGGCCGTCCATAAATGACGTCACGCGATTTTGGACGATTTTGACCCCCCCCCCCCCTCTTCGTCACGCGGCGTCACAAAAAGTCAGACACCCCCTCAGATATGACGTCACAAAGCTCTGCCCCCCCCCCCAAATAAACATGCTTCAAATCGCTTTAAACTATTGTCATTGTAGTGCGTATTTAATGTGGCGCTGCACTCTGATGTTGTAGGAGACAACATTTATTAAAAAGTATCTTTAATTAAGTAGAACGTGTTGTCTATATTTTTTAAAGTTGCGCATTTTGATGTGACGTCACATTTCTCAACCCCCACCCCCCTCGTCATCACATCGTCACAAATGTCTGACCCCCACCCCCCCCCCCAGGTGCGTGACGTCATTTATGGACGGCCCCAAAGCAATATCCTGCTCAGATGAGCACTGAGGTTCATCTGAGTAGATCAATCACTCTCCAATACGTGGTTAAGTATTCGTTTAGTCGCCGCTGGTGGGATGATAGGCTGTCAACCCCCATCAGGATTTGAACTCACAACCTTTTGAACTCTAAAAGGTGGCAATTGTGGATAAAGTACATTACGCTAAAACTCTTAATTTAATTGTACCATACAATATGGCTCAGTTGACATTTATATCCCATAACATAACATTAAACGCCAAAGAACATTAAAATAGACCCAGGTGACCGCTACACTGCCCACTGTTATGGTTATGTATTTTAAATTATGCATCTTTATGCGTCAGTCATAACGGAACGCTTGCTTATGTCAGTGGCAGATGAATTAGGACCGTGCCTATAAAAGTGATTGATGGGAGTCATCTCAGGCCATTGTTTCAATGCATAATTTTAATAATGGATATGTAGTACTTCATTTGCAGTCCTTAATTACAGGCCTTGGTGGCACTAATCCCCAGGAACAGACATGGTACGGCAATATCTGTCACATATCTTTATCAACTCGATCATCTCAATCACAAATTGACGCTGTCGATCCTTTGTGGCAAATTCACTTGCATTTTACATGTGTGTTCATTGTCTGTTTAGGGGCCGTCCATAAATGACGTCACGTACCTGGAGGGGGGGGGTCAGACATTTGTGACGATGTGTGACGAGGGGGGGGGGGAGTTTGAGAAATGTGACGTCACATAAAAATGCGCAACTTTAAAAAATATAGAAAACACGTTCTACCTAATTAAATAGACGTTTCAATAAATGTTTTCTCCTACATCAGAGTGCAGCGCCACATTATATACGCACTACAATAACAATAGTTTAAAGCGATTTGAAGCATGTTGAATTTTTTTTGGGGGGGGGGGCAGAGCTTTGTGACGTCATATTTGAGGGGGGGGGGGTCTGAATTATTGTGACGCCGTGTGACTAAAGGGGGGGGGGGTCAAAAATCGTCAAAAATCGTCAAAAATCGCGTGACGTCATTTATGGACGGCCCCTTACATATTACTGCAATGGCCATCCTATATGCTTGTTTCTGCAACTTAAATTGTTAATTGTGCTATGATCAGTTTAAAGTGAATCTGTCCCGAGTCTACGTACACTACAGAAATTTGTATTTCACACTGATTTGTGTGCGTGCAATATTTAATATTTCTCATGACATCGGTTGCTTTTTTCTTCTGATTTATGCGCTTTGTTTTGCTTTGCCTGTTGTCACTCTGTTGACCCGGGTCAATCACTCTTGCAAATGAGACACGATTCTCGTCTCTTCGAATTCTCACCGATAAAACAAAATAAACGTGAAAACTTGAAACGTGGGGTTTTCATGGGAAGACATGGCCAAATCCACGCAACCCAGTTAAAGTCTGGCTCAGTATCTTCCTCTTTAACACATTCCTGCAGAGGGAGCTGGTAGGAACGTTGGGTTGCTCGGTCAATGGCCAGGGTCAACGGCGGCGTGGTGTATTCCGCAAATATGCCCGACTGTGAGGGCGGGCACAAGCCGGCGTGAGTAGGTTAAACGTTGAGTTTTATAAGGACACCACGGGGTGACCAGCCCCTCCCCACCCACCCACCCAGCCCCACCCCCTCTCCACCCTCCCCACCCAGCCTCTCCCTGCCCACCCAGCCCCTCCCTGCACGACGGACACAATAATCCCCTGTGGGCTGGTGGAACCAGTGGGTTCCTACCAGTATACACCCTCGCTGTGACTTTATTCTCTTTAAAATGCACAATATTCCGTATGCACAGAAACAGGCATATTGGTAAATCTACTGCTGGATGAGAGCCTCCTCCAACACTGTGAATGGGGCCACGCGGGTTGAGCGATTTCATGGACAAACATTCATCCAAGCAGTGGATTCATTGAAGATTGTGGCCTGTGAATCATCACGTGCATTCGTTTTATCTCTACCATGTGCTATGCATCTCCTATACCAATGGTACTGCCTCATCTGTACATATCGTACATAGTGTACTGCCTCGTATCGCCTCTCATTCGTACTGACTGCCTTACTTGTACTGCGTATCGTCTGTGTTGTCTCAGCTGTGTACGATCTCGTATGCAGTTTATATGTACTGTAGATACTTGCTGTACTGCTTCGCTTGTAGTCTCGTCTATGACGTTATCGTGTACTGTGTCCTGTCCCTCGTGTGTCATCATGTACTGTCTCTCGTGTCTCCTGTGTGCCATCGTGTACTGTCCCTCGTGTGTCCTGTGTGCCATCATGTATCGTCTGTACTCTGTGCTGTTTCGTGTACTCTGTGCTCTGTGCCTTCTTGTCTGTACTGTGCTGTCTCGTGTGCACTCTGTGCCGTCTTCTGCGTACTCTGTGCTCTCGTCTGTACAACACTGACTCATTCGCGATGTTTCCGTCCACTCTCATTCCCTCCCTTGCGACGTGGGGTCGTTAATAAGCTATTTGCATAACATTTGCAAGAACCTCAAGTAATCGATTCCAAAGCAAAGCGACGATTCGTCAACACGTGCCATCTAACGACTCTGCGTCATGCACCACACCCAACGATTCAACACGTGTGTCGTAACGTGTGCGGGAATCGATTATCGCGTCTCTTACGGAATCGACAACGAATCGATTCTACCCCCACCCCACCCACCCCTCCCTGGCCCCGCCTCGTGGGGCCGGGTGACGCCGTCGCCGCCGCCGCCGCCGCACTACTTTTTCTCTCCCTCGCACGCGCGCGCGCTCGCGCAGGGCTACACTTCACCGCCGTCGCGCCGCGCCCGCGCGCTCCGCCCCGCGACCCGGCGGATGAATCTATCATGGCGCCGCGTCGCGGTCGTGTTTTGCGGTAGAGGGCGAAGTTTGTCGACTAAAAAGCGTCTCGCTCTGCGCGCTCGCGACTAATTAACGCGGCGCCGACATCCAGGGACCTTCTCCCTCTCGCCCACGGACGTCTACGTCCTCTCGTCCGACGCCCGTCAGAGGGCCGCCGACGCGACTAGGCCTCCGCCTCGCACCGCTCCTCGGCTAGAAGCCCTGCCGGCCTCCCCCTCGCCTCGTCCCGCTGAGCGAGCCAGGCCGCGCCGGTTTGCTGCCTCCCCGCCCCCGCGGGGCCCGGGGGTTTGGTTTGCCAAGCCATGGCGCACCTAAACGTACAGGTAACGGAGCCTAAACACCTCGAACGAAGGGGGATGGTGTCGTAGTCGATTTGGCGATGTTAATCGTCGTCGTCTCTATCTTGTGTTAGACGTGTTGTGACTTTATGGGGCGGACCCCTCAGATGTGGAATCCTCTGTGTGGTGTGGGCGAGTGCATGTTCTCCTGTGACTGACTATTGCGTGTGTTGATGTGTTGCTGCTCGTCGTTATATTCTGAGTGTTTTCGTGCCTTGTGAGTGTTTTTGTGTGTAGAGGAGTGCGTGTGTATTCGTTCGTGTGCGAGGGCTGTCGTGTACACCTCTATGGCTCTCTCCCCGAAGTGTGATTTTTCGTCCGGGTCTCTTTACAAGTGTGTCTTTGTGTTCGTCGGTCTCTATGGGATTTCTTCTTGGTCTTATTAAGTGCTTTCACACACTCGCCCCTACAATAGAAAACGTGAAACGGAGTTGGCGAGGGTAGTGGTTAACGCACTTGCACTACGAACCCGGCCACCGGAGTTTGATTCCCGCACGAGGCCCTCGTCAACTGTTCAATGCTTCTCACGACGTAGCCTTAATTGGGTATCTGATGCGGCGTGTAAACATCAATATTGGGGACACAAAGGCGGTCGGGCGTGGACTGGCCACCACCCCACTCGTGTGTCGTGCCGGCTTTAATAGGAGCTTGCTTATATGCGTTTGTCTCGTGTCTGTGTTTTGGTTTTCCTTCGCTCACACACGGTCATTATTTTCTTGGTAAATCCGAACGTGAATGTCCCTCCTGGGTTAGCTTCTCTCCGTAAATGCAGCGTGCGCGTAATACAATATCAGTACAGTATTGGGCGGCGTATACGCTGTGCACACAGTAAAAAAAAATATCAGCCCGCTCAGAAAGCAGGAAGTGTAAATGGCACACGCACACACTCAAACGAGTGCAATATGTCTGGTCCTCTTCGTAAAGGTGCCAGATTTTTTTTTCCAACGGCAGGTTCAACAAAATGGCATGGAGTGTTCAGTATAAACGCAAGCTCAAATGGAATGGTAGCTTGAAATCTGTTTTTTCTGCTACAGTTTTGTCGGTAAAAAATGGCCCTTGGTTTGTGTTTGGCTGTATGAGGTTTCCCACTCATTGGCTGACTTTCGACATGCCGTCTTGGATAAAATGCATGAACATATGGGTTCTTAAATCTTATTTGTGTTATTTTCTTTGAACCTATCTACGTGACGTTACCGAAAGACCCAAATAATATATATGGGTTCTTTTCCAGGATAACCTTTAGCAAAATCTCAACTGCCCAATAATTTTCTCGTTCTTTTGCAACATGGATACGAATGCGACACCGTGTTTGCCAACTAAATAACTCATCGTTGGTACATTGATATACTATAAACCTGCACTGCTTAAGGGCATGCAACTCTTAGTTGTGACACGCTTGTGACGCTGGCTGATGGCTGCTGAGATGAAAGTAGAAAAAAGTCGGTGAATTGTTAGGCTTGCCTAATCGCTGGAAACGAGTCCTGCGTATTGCTGCAGTTGCGTCACGCTGTTCGGTTGCCTGGAATGTTGTGTACAGTACATAATTGTCGTGCGGGAACAACGCAAAAGGCCAAACGAATACAACCGTGCTAGAGTTTGTGATGCAACTTGAGTGCCGTATAAACATGTGCCTTGTCGTGGCCTGCATAATAACTTGAAACATTCCTCTCGGATGAATCGTTTTATATACCGATCCCGGTTTGTAATGTAGGATGGGTGTTTCTTGGTCATAAGTGGTTTAAACCCGGTGGCAGGTTTATCGATGATTCATCTCGGCGTTTTTTTTTCTATGGCTTAAAAGTCACATGTTCGGCGTAATAGCCCACACCCAGAACTCGCATTCTGTACGCCAATTAGTCACCTGGCCTAAAGCTTGTTCCCATATTCCATCCAGTAAGACCACCACGGCGTCTAATACGCACCGTAATTATGTGTGTGAACGATCATCATTGGATGGCATCATGTTGGCCTAACTCCCTTTCAGATTGCTGTTGTTTTGCGTTGTGACCTCTCTCAATAATTATTGTTCGTCTTTACTGAGTTAATGTAGCGTTTTGCTAAGGACTTACATGCACCTCCTTGAGGTGGTCATAATTGGCAACGTTTTGAAGAAATATCTATCATATTGTTGGATAGTAACACAATTATTATACAAAAAGGATTACTGTACGTTTGTGTTATTACTTTACTTGCATTCATCCAGCAGTAGATTGATAATGGATGATTATCAAATGGCGAATATTAAAATGAACCCACAGCATAGATATACAGTGTTAGATTGTTAGTACTACAGCTATGTGACCTTGACTAATCTCAAGGCATTGGATTTATGTCTCCACCATGAAAATGTAGTCAGCATTTTATGTGTTATATTTAATGTAAGTGTGCAGCACGCTGTGAAATTATAAACACATTTGGCTTCCCACAGGTTTGTCATGCAAGACAAATATTTTCTCAAATAGACTGTTATGGCAACTGGTGAAAATACAATTACGTTCTCATATGTGAAATTGTATACAGCACATAATTTATCACCTTATTATACCCTTTGCTTTTGAAACGTAGATGGGATAAAACGTTTCCCAAATTGAATATTTATTCTAAGGTGGGTGTGTGGATGCTATTTTGTCAAGCTTATGGTTAAGCTGCGTTTTTTTGCTATCTTCCCCCATCACAACTTTTGTACGGGACGCAAGTCCACACAACACTGTGGTCAATAGAACACGTTCCGGTGTATCAGAAACGATTTGCCACCACGGCAACATTTACGGCGTTGGACGCAGAGCGGTTGTTGGTTGTGAACGAGTCTATGGGGTGAATGCAGTGCATTGTTTAACAAGTGAAGCACAGTGTACAACTTTACTTTTGAATTGAGGCTCGCTAATATTGCTCTAGTCGTGCTGGGGTTAAAGGATGGCATTTATGGGTGATTCGGATCAAGAATTGTTGTGCTACACAAAACATCGTCCCCCACACCTGTGCTGCACTATTTATTGGGAGGTTGTGACTTCACCAGATGGTTTAAATTATTCTTGCAGTGCTCCACGTTATGCTTGGACATTTTTTTTTCACTTGCCAGGACACCTCTTTAACTAACTCATGGATGTACAACTTGTGCAGAGTTTTACGAGTAACTACATAGATATGTAATTGCACAATCGTGTGATTGAGTAAAGACTGAGGGAATACAGTGCACACAAATCTTCACGTGGGAAAGCTTAATGGCCCAAATAGTTATAGATTTTGGCATCCAAATTGTTTACATATACATAATTTAATGTATAATATGTGTAAGTAAAAGTGTTTAAGCTTCTAAATATGTTCACTTTACATTAATGTCTGGCTTTGGCTCAATGCTAGCAGTAAAACTTCTACACTTGCAAATGTAGATCACCATAATAGATTGTGAGTTTTAAGTGTACCTTTTTAATCTTCAGTCAACTACTACTTTCCTGAGAAATTGCACTAAAATGCATCGATTAGGGTTGGAATTGATTGTGGGGAAATAAAACATTGGACATTATCTTTACCAGTCCCTCTTATCACCGGCATGCATTGGTTCTTAATGTCTTCACTTGTCATTTCCCTTGATCCAAATGGTGAGGTTTGTCCTTGTAACAAATTAGTACATGGTAGAAATTCACATTTGTTGGACAGCGGGTGATTCTTTATGGTGTGTGATGGGAATTGTTTTATGCTGAGGAGGTGCAGACCTGCCTATGGTTTTGTTTATTTCACGAAGGTACAAGTAAATTTCGATTTAAAGCTTTCGTGACTGCAGGGATTCATATTCTTGGTTCTTTCGGTAAAGTCACGTAGAAGGGAAATAATAAAATAATCAAACAAATTCTCACGACGTTTCGATTGCAACACAAGCAATCATCAGCTGTGAAAACCACAGCAAGAAAATTTGGAAAAAGTGGCGGTTTTTTTAAATTTTCTTGCTGTGGTTTTCACACCTGATGATGATTGCTTGTGTTGCAATCGAAACGTCGTGAGAATTTTATTGTTTTATATTTTTATTTTTCTATTGTTTCCCTTCTACGTGACTTTACCGAAAGAACCAAGAATAAGGAACAAGTAGTCTGGTTCTGTGGTCTGCTAACTTCACGCTGGTATGCACATCCAAATTGATAATTATCGTAAATTTTTCACATGCCTCCAAATTAGCTCGCGCTCTTATATAACACAATGATTTTGAAGGCACCTGCACATACCAGTCTCTTCGTGAATAATTCTCCTTTACGCATCTCTGGTGTATTTCAATGTGATTTCATGCTACAAAGAGCCACAGACCACTGGTTGGCATTGACCAGAAGTAATTGACAGATACAGAAATCCCCTGGATATGTTGTTCTATTGTATTTAAAGCATTGTATTGTAGAACACGGCCATTGTAGAACATGACAATATTGTACATTTGTTGTAGTCGCCATTAACAACCTAACCAAATACATGAGGTGGTGGGTGGAAAGGGGAACATGTGATTGCAACTTTGTGTTTGGGCCACCTTTTGCAGCACTTGTGTGTTGTAAAACTAACTCCGTACACACTGACCAACAGAATCATGCAAACGATTAAATCTAGATTTTAAGTTTGTATTTAATTGTCTTCATAATTTGTTTCTACACGTGACACTTGAACATCAAATGGTGATGTCTACTAAATGGCGAATGCTTAAGCAGCACACTTCTGATGCCTTGCTGCTTGTGATGACAATCTGATGCCCGTGCCATCTTGCAAGTGGCGACTGTCAGTATATTTATAATCTGACATGGTTCTAAACAATACAGCACTGGTGTAGTCGTGACATAAGTTTACACTAAACTGCCACACAACAGCTGGTGCTGATGGAAAATATTTACAAGACACTAAATGGGTGATTTAATACGCAATTGTTTTGGTTGTAAACTTCGCTATATTTAGTGTAGACCTTTGAGAAGTGATTTGTGAGTAGTTTTACATAAAATCATCGGCAGACATGA